TTCATTATCAACGCATTTTCTTTTAATGTCTTTGAATTGAAAATCGTTTAAATTGGATTTAAAATATTTGATACGATTTTAGAACATCCTAAACATGCATGTAGAATATTGAATAGAGCGTATTATATATCATATAGTTGGATGGATGTAGGTGTATGTGTATACACTACTATACACACTACTATAGTTAGCAGTTAGATTAAGTTATTTTAAAGATTTAACCTACCTTTCTGATTTGTAGAAAAGAAATGATTCATTAATAGTTGTTATATTAGTTGTGTGCAAAATGTTGAAATCTAGTCGACTCGTTCTATCCGTCCTCTCCCTGATGGAAAATGACCTGGAGAAAAGTGTACCTTGGTCCGGAACCCAGGGATCCATGTGTAGGTCCAGGTCGGAGCCAAGGGAATCAAATTATAACCGTCTCAGTTCGGGAAAAAGCTGGAATGAATCATATTCAAATATATGTAAATAGATTTATTTAAAGTTTTGCATAATTTTTCAGACAAAAAACAGGGGAAGGGGTGTGGGAGGAAGCCTTACAAATTCCAATTATATATTTGCTGTGTGTCTGATGAATATAAAGGACTGACAATCATAAACTGGGTCTTCTTCATATCACATCATGTTTAAACAAAACTAAACTGTTTCAAACTAAAAGTTAAAATTCACATATCTATAATCAATATACACTTTATTTATTTACTAATATGATTTATCCCGCTCTCCCCAGTTTAACAACAGCAACGACACAGGAACCATGAACATATTCATAAACATTTAAATTAAGATAAACCTTCTTGTAATGTCGGAAAGCTGTAATATATGCACGAATATGTTGATAATAATTCAGTGTATAAGACTGAATGAAAAACTGTTTGTTGAACATGAATAGAGGATTCTATACAAACTAAAGGTCGAAGCTTATGCATAACTTGAAAACTTTACATTCAAACTCGGGTTGTTTTGAAGTAGGGGAGAGAAGGAGTAGGCGGACATTTCAGCTTTTCAGTGGAACAAAAAACAGGCAAAAAGTTTGAAGTAGTATACGGCAGTAATAAGGAAGGGAGGTGCAGATACTTAGGGAGATTAGGAGAATAGAGGGAATATTTAGGAAGATTAGGAGAATAGAAGGAATATTTAGGGAGATTTGGAGAATAGAGGGAATATTTAGGAAGATTAGGAGAATAGAAGGAATATTTAGGGAGATTTGGAGAATAGAGGGAATATTTAGGAAGATTTGGAGAATAGAGGGAATATTTAGGAAGATTAGGAGAATAGAGGGAATATTTAGGGAGATTAGAGGGAATATTTAGGGAGGTTAGGAGAATAGAGGGAATATTTAGGAAGATTTGGAGAATAGAGGGAATATTTAGGGAGATTAGGAGAATAGAGGGAATATTTAGGAAGATTAGGAAAATAAAGAGAATATTTAGGAAGATTAGGAGAAGAGAAGGAATATTTAGGAAGATTAGGAGAATAGAAGGAATATTTAGGAAGATTTGGAGAATAGAGGGAATATTTAGGAAGATTAGGAGAATAGAGGGAATATTTAGGAAGATTAGAAGAATAGTAGGAATATTTAGGAAGATTTGGAGAATAGAGGGAATATTTAGGAAGATTAGGAGAATAGAAGGAATATTTAGGAAGATTTGGAGAATAGAGGGAATATTTAGGAAGATTAGGAGAATAGAAGGAATATTTAGGAAGATTAGGAGAATAGAAGGAAAATTTAGAAAGATTAGGAGAATAGAAGGAATATTTAGGAAGATTAGGAGAATAGAGGGAATATTTAGGAAGATTAGGAGAATAGAAGGAATATTTAGGAAGATTTGGAGAATAGAGAGAATGTTTAGGGAGATTAGGAGAATAGAAGGAATATTTAGGAAGATTAGGAGAATAGAAGGAATGTTTAGGGAGATTAGGAGAATAGAGGGAATATTTAGGAAGATTAGGAGAATAGAGGGAATATTTAGGGAGATTAGGAGAATAGAAGGAATGTTTAGGGAGATTAGGAGAATAGAAGGAATATTTAGGAAGATTAGGAGAATAGAAGGAATATTTAGGAAGATTAGGAGAATAGAGGGAATATTTAGGAAGATTTGGAGAATAGAGGGAATATTTAGGGAGATTAGAGGGAATATTTAGGGAGATTAGGAGAATAGAAGGAATGTTTAGGAAGATTTGGAGAATAGGAATATTTAGGGAGATTAGGAGAATAGAAGGAATATCTAGGGAGATTACGAGAATAGAAAGAATATTTAGGGAGATTAGGAGAATAAAGGGAATATTTAGGAAGATTATGAGAATAGAAGGAATATTTAGGGAGATTAGGAGAAGAATGTTTAGGGTGCTTTAGAATAGAAATTAATTTTGGGAGATTTGGGTAGGTTTTGCATATTCGATAACTGATTAAATTTCTTACTCAAAATAAAATACTTCTTGACTCTTTGCTTGCTGCTTTTGAAAATAATGTTCAGTACTCCTAAGATTGGTGGGATGCATACTGAAGCATTATGTTCTCCTAACCTCGTTCTTAATGAAACCTCAACTCCGTCTAGATCTTCCGGTGTAGGAAAATGTACAAGTATATCTACTCAGTGTTTATCATCCCCTGCTAACCGGGAGACTACAAGTAAATCAACCGGCTCCGGTATTTTCTCTCCCACTTCTAAACCAGCACTTCCATTACAATTTCAGTCTGAGCTCGAGCCCGGAGAAGAATTTGAGAATAGTTTTGGAACCAAGAGTATTCTTCTGGATACAAGGTTACCTATGTGTATGACCGGAACTAACAGTATTCAGGACAGATCGGAAGATATTGACTTTTTTTATGAGTTACAAAAGAACGAATGGATGGAAGAGAGTTGGAGAGAAAACCAGGTTGGGTTGAAACTAGGAGAAGAGGAAAAAGGGGAAGAATCATGTGAATTCAAGAGTGAAGATAAAATTGATTTTGAATCTGATTCTACGTTCTCCAAAGGGCGGACTCAGAGCTTGACATCTATATATTATTTAAATGAAGAAGAGGAGCTGTCAAGCATCAACACATTTACGGACAAAGGTTTTCTAGAGTCGCTCAGCCTTGAATACAACCTAGAGTTTTTACCAGATATATACGTCCCAACTCAAGTCTCAAGCTCTTCAAGTTCATCTGACAGGTCGGAGCAAAATGAATCAAACACTAATTTTGATATTGAAAATAACTCTGAAATCCTACAAGATGAGAATAATATTAGGATTGAAATGAACTCCGAGCTTGAAACCTGTTCTACCGTTAACCTTCACATGCAATTCTTTAATGGAGATTCTCGTAATTTTCAGACAAAAGAAGGAGTTTCCCCTGGCCTCCTGCACGCAGATTTAGAAGGGGAAAATAGTAGTTCTACCCCTCCTCCCCCCCTTCCCCTGAGCGCGCCCCCTGCACACCCCAACTCACAGCTGATTCTGGGTTCAGTACATGAGGGAGAGGAATCCGAGCTAGTTCTACAAATCTTTCCTCCCAACCCAACCCTGCTCAACTTCAACCCTTGCCCAGTGTTTAGTTCTATTCACGCATATTCAAATCCTTCACAGAGAAGTTTACAACATCCCTCCAGCTCTACACCATACCTGGAAACTCATTTTGATTTTATTCCACAACCCGAGGAAACAAAACAGTTCCATGAGTTCAATAACGAACCTAACCCCTCAGTTTACAATGAGGATTGCAGTGAAATGAATGACCCGGAGATGGTAGAAGTTGATTTACAGCACACATGGAGAGGTAACAAAATATACTGTGTCAGCTTTGTGTGAACTTCAGGCGAATCTTTAATTCATAATTATATGACAAAATTTGACCTAAGGTCGAAAGACTCCGTTAATAGGTTTATATAATGGCAATTTGTTGTAAACAAGGCCAACATTGTACTGAACATTGTTCATATAGACTTATTTTTGTTGTTAATGGATACTGTAAACTATCATTCTTGATCAATGGAATCTTGTTTAATTTTGTAAGAGTTATTTTGGGATTTTATATGAAGTTAGTATTTGATTTTTCTAAAATTGATATTTCATATTATATAAAGTTCATGCCTTATTAATGTAAACAATAAATATGCAAAGATTATTTAGTTTGTTTGAGGCTTAACGTTTATTAAACTTGTTCTTAAAGCGTATTGGACTTTCATGTCCAGAGTTTTAATTTGATTTGCATAAAATATACATACTTACTTATATATACATACTCTAAATGTTCATTATATATTCACGGGATTGATTATTCAGCACTTTCAAATAAGGTAAATGTAGTATACAATATACAATAAACAGTATAAAGGTTTGGCCCAGGAATTGAGGTTGATCTTATCTATATTTCCAAACCTGAATCCTGATCCCTTTTCAGAAATATTCTTAGTTTTTCCTAAATATTCTACCCTTGACTCAGTTTGATCAGTCAATCAGAAGAGTGAAAAAAAACTTCAAAAATATCAAAAAAAAAACATGATGATAAAAAGCAGTATCTTCATAAGTTTTTAAATGAAGTATAATTTCTTCCTCTAGGCAAACCTGTAAAAAAAAAGCCTTCTTATAGATCATAAGACTGTATCACTGGAAACCTATTAATATTAATGTATTAATGTATGAACACAGGAATTGAGATTTTACAATAAACTTCAATTGGTTGATCCCTATATCTTTGCAACACCTTTGTACACCTTTTGTATTTCAAACTTTGACTTTAAAATAAGACATCGGAGATATAGGGATTAAGAAAATTAGATTTTGTGGCAAAAAATCATTACCTTACACAATTCTAATATTTACTCTCAAATTAAACTCCCATATTTGCCCCCTGTTTACGACCCTACCGACCGTCTAGATCTTAAAGTTACAGCTTTACAAGATTCCTGACCCACTTCAATTAAAATATTTTACAACCTTTTTGGGCATGATAACCAATTTATACTTGTTTTTGAAAACAGCAATTTTTATCTAAACGCCCAAGGGAATGTTAAATAAATAAGCTGTAGAAAAAAACTCTTAAAATCACCTAAATTGTTCAAAATTTTAGATAAAGAATTTTTAATGAAAATTACTTTTTACTTTTAGTGTAAAACACGATGTTCAGATGACCTTCATTGACTTTCCTTTCGATCCCTTTTACCTAAATTGTTTTTCATATTTACTATATTTATACTTTCTTGTCGTGCTTTACGTTTTGGTTTTTATATGTTTAAGTTAAAAAAAATTCTTTTCCCTTCCTTTGGTGGCTTTTGATTAAAAGATGGTATCCTGTTTTAATTTAATGCGATACGGTCAGGACACGCTCATATGTAATTAGTATGTAAGTTTTGTGGTTTTTACGGGTAAAAATATTTGATGCTTTGGTAGAATTAAAGTAATTTGAGGGTTTAATACATATAGTATATTCAAAAATTTAAAACTTTAAAATAATGTTTTCAAAACAGAAGTTCTTTTTATTAAATGGTTCTTTTCTACCATTGGAAAAAAAAAGTTGTTAAACAATATTTAAAAACTATTTAGAAAGTCCTGTTTTGATAGTTATTAAATAAATTATTCAAGAGGTTCGGTTCACAGGTTCACATTTCAGTTCTCAGTTCATAAAGCAATTTTTAGACAGGTGTACTCTAACTCTGTACTGTACTGTACTGGTTCATACAACTCACGCATTTTCAAACAAAAATAATTTTAAATTACATGTAAAAGTTATATTTGAACAAAAACAAGATCAATCTTGCATCAAGATCAATCTTGCATCGAAGATCAATCTTGCATCAAGATCAATCTTGCATCAAGATCAATTTTGCATCAAGATCAATTTTGCATCAAGATCAATCTTGTATCAAGATCAATCTTGCACCAAGATCAATCTTGCACCAAGATCAATGTTGTAACAAGATCAATCTTGCATCAAGATCAATCTTGCACCAAGATCAATGTTGTAACAAGATCCATCTTGCATCAAGATCAATCTTGCACCAAGATCAATGTTGTAACAAGATAAAACCTTTCATTACGATCCATCGTATCAATATTACATGTAGGGTAATTTTGCATCATCTTGGGTCAAGAGTCAAGAGCTGTCTTGCATCAAGAGGAATTTTTCATGAATTAAAATTTTGCATCAAGGCCTATTCATCCAATTTATTATAAAAGCGTGAAATCATAGGTTTTTATTTCACCTTCCCAGGAATGCTCCAAACAGCTAATCTGGGATTCAAGTCATTTTCCAGAAGTAAGATTTTGTCTAGTTAAGCTTCAGGAATTCATTTAAAAATTACTATAAATTCAACCAGGTCAAACATTCAGAATCAAGGATCAGAGGATAATATTATTAAAGCTTAAAGTTGAATAATGAAAGAAAAGCTTTTCGTCGGATTTCATTTTGAATACTTTTTTCTATTTAAAAATGTCTCGCTTTAAAAAGATTAAAAGTTGTAAAGTTTTCAGAGAACCAATGGGTTTTGGTTGAATTTTTAGGAGTTTTTAATGTTTTAAGATATCTTCCACTATTTAAATATCAAATTTACTAGATATCTAAACACTAGTATTACATAATTAAAAACTAAATATTTCCAAAAACCCGCCAAATATGAAAAACTCAAATATTAAGGAAGAAACCAAACCCTTTGTCAACTATTGGCCTCATATGCCCCATATCATTAAGTTATACAGAACATTTATAAATAAATTTTAAGATTATAATATTTATTTATTTACGTTCAATAAGATACTGAGTTTTGCTACAAACCCTAACCCCTTTATCTTTGAAACCAAATATAACCTTTGATATTTCAAACTATGAATTCTGTCAGATCTAAAAGTCTAAGTTTAAAATGTCAAAGGTTTCAAAGATATTGGGATTAGACAGTTTGAGTTTGTGGCAAAAACTTGCAATTCCTTTATGAATTCATTACTCAGTAATATAATAGGTGATGCATGCATTATTGTCACTGCTTCAACCTTTTCAAAGCATGCATCAAAGAAGTAATTGACCAGAACTTCTAAGATAAATGTAGCCTTTAATTATCTTCTGAGGACTTTTATTAACAGTGACAATTCTTATTGGCGTAGTAGTTAATTATACCTAGAAAAGAGGAGTCTTTAGAAGTTTAGAATTGGCATACTTGTTGTTTTTAACTCTTACATACATTCCTTTGTCAGTATTTAGTATTTATAAACTCAAGATACCAGTGTCTTGCATTGACTTGTATATTTCAGTATCCAGTATTGTTTATTGATATACATATTCCAGTATCCAGTATCCACGACGTTTTTCTGCTATTATCCGGCATTGCCAACTTTTGTTTTCAAGTATCCAGTATCATATATCCGTATACATATTTCAATATTCAGTATTCTTTATTGCCATTGATTCCATTCAAGTATCCAGTTTTATTTATTCTCTGTAATTTTCAATGCGCAGTATCATATTTTTTTATTCAGTATTTTGTGCATTTTCTAGTAATCAGAATAATAAACTTATATACATGTTACAATATCAGCTATTTATATTCTCAATTTATATATATACTTCTTTTAATATCAAGTATCCTTAGCTTTAAGTATCTAGTGTCGTTATCTCCTGTTCATATTACAATGTTCATATTCCAGTATCCAGTATCGTAAACTTATATGTTCTTGTATCTATGCTAGAGCAATCCAACCAAGAATCCTGTATCTCAATCTCGAATATAAAGTATCTATAAAGAATCCATCTATCTCTATCCGTCTGTTTATCCATCAATAAACCTCGCTAATTAAACCTTTCTTGCAATTCTTGCCATTTGTATGCGCTACCCAGAATGCCCAGCACTCAGATAAGGATTCGCACAAATTTCCGCTTTAGGATTCTATATTTCGCGTCCTTTCCTGCATCCTGTATGTACACTGTACAATGAACATTGTACAGCATGTACAATCATTCCAAAAATTAAAAGTTTTCTGGCCTTGATTCATAATAATCTTGTGGAAAAAGAATCCAGGCAAATCAACCTTTTTGTAAAAAATCGGAGGAATATGGTTGCCTTAAAGAGACTGTCAACGTATATTAAGGTTACATTCCATTAAAAGATTTTAAGAGTACTCTTCAAACATTTGTCTTGAGTAATAACAAAGATATCTTCGTCAGGTAACTTTTAGATTAAGTCATCTTAAACTACGTCAAAAGTCCCTTTAAAGGGGCTTTAAACGTAATTTCATGCAAAGATGGCAATTTCCCGATTCACAACGGTACACTTGAAATTTCTGAATAATAATGTGGAAGATGTTGTCGTTTTTCTGTGTTTAAAAGTGTTAACTTCTGATAACTCCTATATAAACCTACACTTGTTTCAAAATGTTGTTTCATCTTAACCCTTAGGCAATGTTACAGACCTCAAACCTATGCCTGTATTCTCAAAACAACCAAATATTTTACAGCAGTTAAAAAAATCTCAATTTTAGATTCCAATTCGTAGATTAGTGTGCTTTGAGTATACAGTGAGTTCCAATTACACATGAGAATCGGGTGACGGGGATTTGAACATATCGCGTTGTCATTGAATATATTCAATATATTGACCTTTTCTTTGTTTTCCAAACTATCTTCATAAACTTCTACTCTCCTATAAAAGTCATCCTTGTATACTCGAGCAGACCTGGATTCAGAACTTGGTAAAAAGACTGAGCAAAACCTTGACTGATCCTGTATCCTGCAGATTATTTATTCTCAATGCTATATACACTGAACTGTAAACCCAGGGATAAATATACTTATCATGATAATTACATACACTATAAGGGTTTTATTCTAAAGAACACCATGTTTATTTTATTTGTGCTCAGATATGTGTTGAATATTCACCCCTGTTTAATGGTGCCCTTTCCTTCACTTTGTACACCAATTACCCAATATCCAAACTTCGCCACAAACCTGAAATACCATTTAGTGTTTTCAGTATAATAATGATGATAATAATACAAATTAGCATAATATTCACATATATTTATAATATATATTATATATATTCTAGATGGAGGAGGTATGGACGGAATGATGATCCTACACAACCCTCAAGGTTCAGTTGACTCTACAGACTCCAGTTCTATTCCTCCAACTTACTCTAGGCTGCCTCCAGATGGACATGAGTTCCCAGAAGGTGAAACAAAAATCTTTAGAATTCAATCATCTTTTTACCTTTATATTTATAATATCATCATTGAAATTTAATTGGGAAATGTGATCAAAAATCATGTTTCTTGCTAAACTAAATTTTTATAAAGGCACAAACTCTAATTTTTTTATATCTTTATCTGTCTTAGATCTTTGATATTTCAAACTTTGAATTCTGTATAGATCAAATAGCCAAAATTTGAAATAAATAAGCTGTTTACACTATCAGGTTGCAAAAAATGAGGATAAGAAAATTAGAATTTGTGGCTAAAACTCAGTTCCTGAACTTCCATTTTTCAGACTATGTGGATCCTGGATTACGTGGGTTCCATGATAAAACTGGGATGCAAGAGCAGGAATTTCTCAGCAGGAAGTCCTCAGGAAGTTCTACAACTAGCCTGGATAGACATGAGATGAGACTGAGTATTGCCGGACGAAATTTCTCCTCGAGTGAGGATAGATCCTACGGGGTTCGAGCAAAGATCGCGATGTTCTCTCATGGAAAATCTGAGAGTAAGTCGACCTTGGGAAAATTTCAGAGTTCAGAGGATATTGGAAAACTCTCCGGGTTCTCTAATTCAATGGTGCGTGCTCATACACAGGGGGATGTTCGGTTTGAGGACGGGTTGAAAAAACAGGGACTCCAACAGTCATTAAAGTCTCTAAACACCATAAACAGCTCTAGGGCTGGAATGGAGAATAAAGGAGTTTCCAACCTAAAACCTCAAAACAGAAACACATCTTTTCGTAGTATGATCAACGTATCTAACCACAGGGATACAGCTAAACATGTGGAGGACAAAGCAGTGTCTGTGATTGATCTTTCAGGGTCCAATCCTCCCCCTATACTGGAGGACCTGGAGAAACCAAGTGCCATTAATTACAGATCTCAGAGTCTTAGTGAAATATGTGGATCCATGAAAACTCCTGATATCTCTGTAAAGGGTAGATCGAGTAGTTCGAATATATTAGGACAGAATTCTGAACCCAATAGGAAGGGGATTAGTGGACTAGAACAAAGAAGGAGAAGCACAATGAGTAAACTTAAGGGTTTGATAATTCCAGAAGGAAAGGAGAGTGCAAGCGCAGAAAATCATGATGTGAGTAAAACTAAAGTGTCGACATGTGATGCTTCGCTGATTTCTAGCAAGCTGACAACTCCGCCGTGGAAAGATAAAAATGACTCGAATGATTTTCCAAAATATTCACCTGCGTTCAAACGAAAACCTTTCTCCGTGTACAATACCAATGAGAGAAGCACATCAAGCCCAGAGGATAAGGTAGAAAATGGAAAACCTGGTTCCACGAGAAAACCCCAAACAGATGACAAGAGAAGGAGAGAAAAAGGAGCTGTATCCTTGAATCCTAAAGGTCCTTCGGACCAAACATTTAATAAACCTCCGATAGGAAAAAGAAACTCTGATGAAGGATTATATCTACAAAGTAAACTTGAAGACTCTGACAATGATTCCGCGGTTTCAAGTGGAAGATCGTCGGTGTCTGGTCGAAGCAGTTCCCCAACTAACTTAGAGTTGAGAGCAGAAGAGTTAAAGCTATCAGATGGAAATCCCAGGCTACTAAAAAAGAATTCAATTGAGGCGATTAATCGTCAAAATGTGATGAACGTTTGTAAAAAGAGAAGTTCCACCCTCGCCAAGAAAGACGCGAAAGACATGGTTTCTAGCAAAATTGAAATGATAAATTCTGATTCTAGATCAGGGAAACCAGCAGTTAGATCCTCATCATTCAATATTAGCGAGAGACTAAAGGGCCTTGACGGAGAGTTAACCCTATCTCGTAGAGAATCAAATTCCTCCCAGGATTCCTTGTCCCGTCGGAGCTCTAGAGATATTCCAGAGAAGCAAACTGTCCGGAGAAGCTCCCGAGAACCAATTGAACAGATTACTTTGCGCAAGATATCCTACAAAGGGACTGATGAGGGATCCAGGAGAGGATCTAGGGTTGCGACACCTACAGGAAACCAAACATTTCCTGATTCAATAAATGATATATCTGAGAAAGTTTCCTATATGAACGATGTAGTGGATCGAACCACATCTACAACACCCACGGATAGACGTTCTCTCTCCAGAACCAACAGTGTTGCATCGGAACGATCCTACTCCAGTAGGTCCAGCAGAAACAGTAGTATTGTGTCAGAAAAAGCACCTTTCTGTAGAACCTCCAGTATGCTGAGTAAAGACTCGGCTATCTCTGAAGATTTCGGTTTCGACTCCGGCAGCTCGGCTCCGTCTACAAGAAAGAACAGTGATAAATGGGTAGAATTAGAGAAAAAATATTCCAAGGGTGTTTCACCAGAATCTATTGAAAACAAAATATATAAGCTGAAAGGTATAAATGAAGACAATCAGATGAAAACTGAGCGGCCTAAAGATTTGGCAATTTCACAGAAGAAAAATAGCCTCAACTCCCCGAGTACACCCGGAGCCAAGAACTTTAAAGAACTCGCAGAAAAATGGCAAACGTTCTCCTCGGAAACTCCTACTCCTACACAAACAACCTTGATATCTCCAGGTTCTAACTTTGCAACGTTACCAAGAAAAAGCAGTAAAGAAAAGACGAATAGTTTAGAAACTACTCCTACACTTCCCGTGGCAGTGGAACCCTCCTCCATACCCAGAAGGCGGGACGAAACCTCTGGTATACCCAGAGGGCGAGACGAAACCCCCGGTATACCCAGAGGGCGGGACGAAACCTCAGGTTTACCCAGAGGGCGGGACGAAACCTCAGGTTTACCCAGGGGGCGGGACGAAACCTCAGGTTTACCCAGAGGGCGGGACGAAACCTCAGGTTTACCCAGAGGGCAGGACGAAAACTCCGGTATACCCAGGGGGCGGGACGAAACCTCAGGTATACCCAGGGGGAGGGAGGATGACTCACCGGTGAAACTTTACGAGGATTTTCCATGGTCTCCACCAAACGTAAAGAACTCGTACTATCAAGTGTCAGGAGATACGGAGTGGTCAGGGTTCGACATGGTCGGAAAAACAGATATTCCAGATAGAAAATTCAGTGTGCCTGTATACAATGAATCCGCAATTAAACTTCGAGATAAAAAGGACAATGTTCCCTCCCGTCCTTCCAGCCTTATAGAATCAACAGACCAGAAAGATCTTAAGATATTTGAGATAGGAAACCTAGGAGACTGTAATCGCATGCTCATGAACTCCAACTCTACTTCCCGTAGTTCTAGTCAGGCAGATATGCTGGACTCTATGAATTCTGACACGCCCAAATCTCCCTTACCCAGTTCTAGTAGCAGGGAAATACTGGATGCGTTCAGTAACAGAAGCAGTAGAAGAGCGGTCAGCGTAAACGATATCCGACGAGCGTTTGAGAAAGCTGAGAAGAGTTTATCCAACTATGGAACTCCAACCAGATCAGGTCTCTCAACCTCATCCAGTCATAACCGTATGTCCTCCCTAGACTCTACAACTAGTGAGGAGTCTAGTATCCCTACTCCACACTTCCATGGATCTGTGAGTAGTCTAGCCTCCGGTCATGGAGGACTAAGGGATCATTATGGGAGTATAACATCCCTAGCTTCATCTACCAGTATGATTTCTCCCCAGGTAAATGACTACTTTTTAAAACTCTGTTTTGCTTTACAATTATATTTTTGGTAAGTTACTCATAAGGTAAAATGAAGCCCTTTTTTATTTCAAACTCTCATTTAATCCATTTTATATGAAAATATCAAAAGAAGGTTATTGTCTATAGCTAATCAATATAATTGTAAGCTTTAAATTTCTGAGATTTTATTAATTTTTATATTATATTAACTCAATCTCATCTAGCGTGTTAACTTCATATCATCTAGATTGTTAACTCCATCTCATATAGTGTGTTAACTCCATCTCATCTAGCTTGTTAACTCCATCTCATCTAGCTTGTTAACTCCATCTCATCTAGCATATTAACTAAAGCTCATCTAGCTTGTTAACCTCATCTAGCTCGTTAACTCCAGCTCATCTAGCTTGTTCACTCCATTTCATCTAGCGTGTTAACTTCATATCATCTAGCTTGTTAACTCCAGCTCATCTAGCTTGTTAACTCCAGCTCATCTAGCGTGTTAACTTCATATCATCTAGCTTGTTAACTCCATCTCATCTAGCTTGTTAACTCCATCTCATATAGTTTGTTAACTCCAGCTCATCTAGCTTGGTAACTCCAGCTCATCTAGCGTGTTAACTTCATATCATCTAGCTTGTTAACTCCATCTCATCTAGCTTGTTAACTCCATCTCATCTAGCTTGTTAACTACATCTCATATAGTTTGTTAACTCAAGCTCATCTAGCTTGTTAACTCCATCTCATCTAGATTGTTAACCCCAGCTCATCTAGCTTGTTGCCTCCAGCTCATCTAGCTTGTTAACTCCATATCATCTAGCTTGTTAACTCCATCACTTATAGTTTGTTAACTCCGGCTCATCTAGCTCGTTAACTCCAGCTCATATAGCTTCTTAACTCCAGCTCATCTACCTTGCTAACTCCAGCTTATCTAGATTGTTAATCCCAGCTCATCTAGATTGTTACCTCCAGCTTATCTAGCTTTTTAACTCCATATAATCTAGCTAATTAGCTCCAGCTCATCTAGCGTGTTGACTCCATCTCATCTAGCTTGTTAACTCCATCTAATCTAGCTTGTTAACTCAATCTCATCTAGATTATTAGCTCCAGCTCATCTAGCGTGTTGACTCCATCTCACCTAGCTTGTTAACTCCATCTCATCTAGCATATTAACTACAGCTCATCTAGCTTGTTAGCTCCAGCTCATCTAGTGTGTTAACTCAATTTTATCTAGCTTGTAAACTCCATCTCATATAGCTTGTTAACTCAAGCTCATCTAGCTTGTTAACCCCAGCTCATCTAGCTTGTTAACTCCAGCTTATCTAGCTTGTTAACTCAAGCTCATCTAGCTTGTTAACTCCATCTCATCTTATTTGTTAACTTAAGTTCATAAGCTTATCTAACTTGTTAACTCAAGCTCATCTGTCGTGTTAACTCCAAACTAATACAGTTTATTAACTCCATCTCAACTAGCTTTTTAACTCCGGATCATCCAGCTTGTTAACTCCAGCTCATCAAGGCCGTTAACTCCACCTCATCTAGCATATTAACTACAGCTCATCTAGCATATTAACTACAGCTCATCTAGCTTGTTAAATTCAGTTCATCTAGCGTGTTAACTCCAGGTCATCTAGCTTTTTGACTCCATCTCGTCTACCATGTTAACTCCATCTCAAATTACTATTTCTGCTCATTTTCCAGCTTATACTGGGCTTATCATTAAACTTATCATACGCAATTCGTATACCTACATTTTTATATTCAATACATAGATACATTTTATGCAGTTTAATTATTTAGCTCATTTATTAAAAAAACTTACGGTTGCATAATCCATGATGAATGCTTAATTAAGCGCATGCTCTGTAAAAAATCTGCGTGCTCATTAAAGCGCGCACTCTCCTAAATCCTAATGTGTTTCTAATCGTTTAATGGAACGTTTATCAAGGTGTGGAAGAGTGTTAATCTTAATTCTTCTCGTTAAATCGGGACTTTTTCTTACTCTTTTCCAGCCAACCATTGTTTTCTGGTTATTTTTCCCTCTTCTTATTGTTGATTCTATTTTTACTTTTTTCTTCACATTTTTACTCTTGTTTTGTATCCTTCTTTTCCTTTCTTCTCGTTTCTTGCCCTCTCCTTCTTCTCCTTCTTCTCCTCCTTCTCCTTCTTCTCCGTCTTCTCCTTGTTTCCTTCTTCTTCTTCTTCTCCTTCTTGTTCTTCTTCTCCTTCTTCTCCTTCTTCTTCTTCTTCTCCTTCTTCTCCTTTTTCTTTTTCTTCTTCTCCTTCTTCTCCTTTTTCTCCTTCTTCTCCTTCTTCTCCTTCTTCTCCTACTTCTCCTACTTCTCCTTCTTTACTCCTTTTCCTTTTCTAATATTTTACGTGTCTTATCCTCATTTTTCTCCTTCTTATTCTTCTATCACTTTCTTTCCTACTTTTACTTTTTCTTCTCCTTCTCATCTTTTCCCAATTTTTCATTGTAACCCTCCTTTCTATCGATCTCATCTCAACATTCTTCTCTTTTTTCCCCCTGTTTTGTTTTTTCTCTTCTTATCTTTCTCATTCTAGTCCTTTTTCTGCTCCTTCTCCTTCATAAATCTTTCCTCCTGTTCCTTTCCTTTTTTTACTTTCCCCTCTTCACCTCTTGAGGTCTTATTATGGTTTTTAAATGTTCTCTTATCTCTAGAACTCTATCCATTCTTTCCTACTACCTTATTACCTACATCCCTCCCCCGTTCCACTTTCCCCCTCCTCTTTCTCCTTCTTCCTCCTCCTTCCAGCCCCTTCTGCCTTACACTTTATTATAGCCTTCCAATTAGGAGTGCCTTGCCTTATATATCTAATATTTGTTTGTATAAATTAATCCCTTATATGGCGAGTTGACCTTTGAAAATGTGAAACAAAATACAGATAAATATATTCACAGTTTCCACCCTGTATCACATTGTTCAACCAATCTACAACATTTTCATAAATATTTTATGGGTTTCTGAACACACTATACTCAATATTTACATTTTCGAAACATTTTTAGCAAAGTAACAGTGCACAATGTCAGAAATATACATTTTTAACCAATTTTGAGCAACATTATTAACCTTGTTCATCCAAGGCTTTTTACTTTTCATTCTGGGAAGGGGCGTGTATTCTAAACAAAATGAAATCTTTGAAATAAGAAGAAGTTTATGTAATCTCAAGTGCATTAAATGTTGTGAAAAATCAAATAGTTTTACTCGAATCTTAAAAAACAACTTATCTTGTGAAATGGGCCTACGTCAGGGCGTACACTGCACAATTTCTCTGTTTCCCGTTCATTCAAAACCATGCCTTGGGTCAAACAGTAGTTATGGGTCCCAGGCTGGAGACTAATAAAGGTTTCATTATTACAAGTTTTTTATCTTCATTTTGTCATTGAATTTTAGTCTCCTTTTTCTTCTCAAATTTTTTAGTTGAAAAAATTTATAGTTGTTTATGTATTGTGGTTCTCATCATTTTCTATTTTTACGATTTTTGGTTTTCTTATTTCTCCAACCTCTGAAATCTAATTCAGTTCTCACGACACTTAAGCTGGAATAAGAACATGATCTGTTAATTTTTCTATTCTATTCCTAATTTTAGTTTCGAGGATCCACCCAATCCTGTGGGAGGGGGATGGATTGGGGGAAGAAACCTTCATGATTCGTCTTGAATTAATAATAAGAAAAATAATCATGAATGGTTTGATATTGATTAGTATTCTGCTTGTATCTTCCCATCATCAATCCTGGATTCATAATTTCTCCGGGTATAGATTAGATAGAGCCTATTCTCTTCCTTTGTCATTTTGGTCAGGGTTAAATAATTTGCATTTAAACAGAGTTTGTTTTTAATTGGTTTCTGAAAAACGTTTTTATTTATGAAAGAAAATATGTAATTATAAAAAGGGTTTAAAGTATTTTTTATTTGGACAAGGGTTTGGAGTTAAAAATATTTGTACACTTATTAATTTGATTTAGATTTAATGCAAAAATTATGGCTAATCTGATCTTTTAAAAGATTTGTTTCAATCTCAGGTTTGTGAAAAGGTAGGGTAATGTGTAGGCGAACAACTAGTTTTAATATTCTTCATTCATTTTATTCAATCATTCAAACATCTTTCACTTTCCTACTAATTCTTACTGCTAAATACATTTCATTCATTAAAACATCTTACAAATTAATCTATTATCCTACTAATTCTTACTGCTAAATTCATTTCATTCATTAAAACATCTTACAAATTATCCTACTAATTCTTACTGCTAAATTCATTTCATTCATTAAAACATCTTACAAATTAATCTATTATCCTACTAATTCTTACTGCTAAATAAATTTCATGCATTAAAACATCTTACAAATTAATCTATTATCCTACTAATTCGTACTGCTAAATTCATTTCATTCTTTAAAACATCTTACAAATTAATCTATTATCCTACTAATTCTTACTGCTAAATTCATTTCATTCATTAATCATCTTACACTTTCTTTTATCCTACTAATTCTTACTGCTAAATTCATTTCATTCATTAATCATCTTACACTTTCTTTTATCCTACTAATTCTTACTGCTAAATTCATTTCATTCATTAATCATCTTACACTTTAATCTTTATCCTACTAATTCGTCCTGCTTAATTCATTTCATTCATTAATCATCTTACACTTTAATCTTTTATCCTACTTATTCATCCGCTTAATTCATTTTTAATCGTACTCCTTCGTACTGCTTAATTTGTTTTATTCATTCAAGTATATTTTACTTAAATCCTGTATACTTCACATTTGTACTGCTAAATCTATTTCATTCATGTTTAAATCATGATCAAGAATTCTTAAACCTATTTAATTCAATCAATATTTAGTATATCTATTTTTAGAATTTTCATTCATTCTCATTTACTAGATTCTTTAATTTTTTCTTTAATTTGATTTAAGCATTTCCACTTTGTTTTCTTAAATCGATTTCATTCAATCATTCGTTTCGATTTCATCCCATGCTCGGTATTAATCTTTTAAGTAGTCACATCCATTTTATTTTTTTCCTTTACTTTTTTGTATAATTCTTCTGATTACAGTTTGAGGTCGTGTATTCATTATCAATATGAGTTTGATATTTTTTCAATTTTAATATTAATGTGTTTATATTAAATCAAAGCAATCAAACACTAAGATGAAAAATATGAAGATAATTTATTGTGTCAAAAGTTTAGATTATGCACATCTGGGATTGTAAAAACATTCATTATCTTTCCTTGTATAAAATCTATATTTTTCCCCATTTGAACATCTTTGTTTCCACTTAACAACATCTATTTATCCACCAATAAACATCTATTTTTCCACCTATAAACATATATTTATCCACCTATGAACATCTATTTATCCACCAATAAACATATATTTATCCACCTATAAACATCTATTTATCCACCTATAAACATTTATTTATCCACCTATAAACATCTAGTTATCCACCTATAAACATCTATTTATCCACCTATAAACATTTATTTATCCACCTTATTTATCCACCTATAAACATCTATTTATCCACCTATAAACACCTATTTATCCACCTATAAACATCTATTTATCTACCTATAAACATCTATTACCTAAAAACATCTATTCATTCATCTAAACTTCTAATTATCCACCTTAAACATCTATTTATCCACCTATAAACATCTATGTATCCACCTATAAACATCTATTTATTCACCTATAAACATCTATTTATTCACCTATAAACATATTTTTATCCATCTTTAAACATCTTTTTATTCACTTATAAACATCTATTTATCCACCTCTAAACATCTATTTATCCACATCTAAACGTCTATTTATCCATAGCTAAACATCTTATTATCCACCGTCAATGTCTAATTATCCACTTAAACATGTTAACATACATTGTTCTATATCTACAACCACACAAATAAAGAGAAAATTTCTGCCCAAAAGCTTTATAACACTGCGAACCAAAATAACAGTGTTATAAATAGTTTTTTTTTCAATCATTTGATGTATCCACCGACGTTCAAATTCATCTATTTATCGTCAACTTTTCATACATTTTTCGACCTTGGTTTAGGAGCTACAGAACCTGATTGACGAAGCTAACCAGTCCTTGGAGGAGAGTGGAACTCCGTCCCACGAGATAATGGTTATAGTCCTGCACCGTGAGTTCTCTGGTGGAAGTATAGGGATAACTCTAGCAGGGGGAGCAGACTATGAGTGCAAAGAAATCACGGTAAGATAAAGTCTTTTTCACTTATTTTCTCTGTTTTTTTTTTGTCTGAAATCTTTAAATAATAAGAAAAAATGATAATGCGAGCTAGTAAATCTTTAACTTCTCCCAAATCAAACAAATGTTTAGCCAAAAACTTCGCCATGTTGCTGTTCCAAGCGGGTTCTATAGCTAAAGTTGATATAATATTTGACAAATTAATCCTAATCCCATTTCAACTGTTTAAAGTATATATATTGTATTTCATTTAAGCTATAGAAATAGCATATCAAAACCGTAAAATTATTAAGATTATGATAAAAACTCACTTAATACGCATTTCAGTCTATCGCTTTTCCTTTAAGAATTTCGCTCAGGACGTTATCAATTTCCTACAGATTAGTTTTATGCAGTTAAAATTATATTGGCATTAAAGGTTTCGAATACACTCAATGCACTTTGTTGAACCTGGAAAAATGTGTCTATCTAGAGATCTGAAAGTATTCCTTTATTCCTCCAAACGTAGATAAACTATGTTTAAGCTTTGTAAAGAAAATCTCAAAAATGTTGATGTTCGATCGTTAATTGTTTTATTATCCGTTAGGATTCCATAGCAGAGTGTAAACCTGCAAAAATTTAAGAACTCTACCCATCTGCTGCACGTTGCAGTTCAAATTTTTATACATTTCATTTTTTTAAACCTTGGGTTCAAGTTTTAGATAAGATTGTACATCTTTAAGTGAATTTAAATTTTTTGTTTCAGAGCAAATTGGATTGAGAATTAATTTAAAGTGAGGAAAAGTAATATCGTTTATATTTTCTGATTTCTTAATAACTCATGTTTCTTTGTCATGTCTAGGTTCATAAAGTAATAGTTGGAAGTTTGGCGGATAAAGATGGAAGAATACAGAAAGGGGATCGTGTACTTTCAATCAACGGTAGATCCACTAAAGGAGTTTCACACAGAGAAGCACTCTCAATTCTCAAAGTAAGAATTTTTTCATTAAAGATAAGGTTATTTGATGCTTGGATACCATACCAGTGCGAATTTGCCCACTTTTACCACCTTCAGTTTTAATTTGCAAGCTTAAGATTCTGTAAGTATTGTTTTTCTTTCTTTCTTCATAGCGTAACATGTTCAAATCGCTGAAATTTGAACCCAAATATGTTTGAAATATTCCGGAAACTCTAGTTTCGAAGTGTGACAAGAGTTAAGGAGAAGATGAAACCATATTCTATGCACAATACCAGGTGTTTCAGGAAACAGGAATTAAAAATGTAAAAGAGTTTAAGCAAAATAAAACTGATTCTTTTCAAGTTTGTGTTTAATATTGAGTTTCAAGCATTTTTGTCTTTTTGCTCAAACATAAATTTTTTTTATACACCCAGGATATTATATACACATTGCACAACCTGTTGATACAATAAGTTGCATGTTTAAAAACACTTTGTCTCAATCTTAATTAAACATTCTTCAGGACATAAATCAACCAAGGGGTAGATTAAACACAGAATATCCTGGTGTAGATTAAACACAGAATATCCTGGTGTAGATAAAATACTGAATATCCTGGTGTAGATTAAACACAGAATATTCTGTTGTAGATTAAACACAGAATATCATGGTGTAGATTAAACACAGAACATCCTGGTGTATATTAAACACAGAATATCCTGGTGTAGATTAAACACAGAATATCCTGGTGTAGATTAAACACAGAATATCGTGTAGATTAAACACAGAATATCATGGTGTAGATTAAACACAGAATATCCTGGTGTAGATTAAACACAGAATATCCTGGTGTAGGTTAAACACAGAATATCATGGTGTAGATTAAACACCGAGTATCCTGGTGTATAGATTAACAACAGAGTATCCTGGTGTAGATTAAACACCGAGTATCCTGGTGTATAGATTAAATACAAAGAATCCTGATGTAGAAAAAACACTGAGTATCCTGGTGTATAGATTAAATACAAAGTATCCTGGTGTAGATTAAACACCGAGTATCCTGGTGTATAGATTAAATACAAAGTATCCTGGTGTAGATTAAACACCGAGTATCCTAGTGTATATTTAACACAGAATATGTGTACTAGTGGTCTCTTAAACAATAAATATGTGTTATGTAAAAATAATTAGAGAACAAATGAAATTTCACAAATAAAGAAAATTTGTAAGTTTTTAAGAACTCAGTTCTGCTGAAACTCCAAACAAGGATTAGATAAGATAAGATTAGATCTTACATGTATACTCCTGCATTGCGTAGGCTAGTTGCGTATACTGACGCAAGGAGGGTTGATATGGAGAATTATTTCAGAAAGCTGTGAATTCAATTAAAAACAAGATCAGAAATTCATTATTATTCAACATTGTTTTGGACTCATTGATTTACAGTCCGCTGTTGCACAACTAAATTTATTGCTAAACTTTTAATGATATTTAAATCTTTATTTTCTTAAGTTTTTGCATGAGGGACTTTTAACAAAAACACTTCAAGAAGAAGAAATAAATAATAATCCGTATAGCACATTGACACAGAACCACGACAGTACGGATTTTGCTTCAAAAGAAAAACAATTGCGTAATGCCTATGACTGCATTTCAAATTATTTTTAATTGCTTTTTGAAAAATATCTTACTTTATAATTGAATTTTTGTTTCTAATAATGATAAAAATAGTGAATTAGAAATCTATATATTTTCAATTGTTCAGATATATTCCGCTGTATAGTTAGAAATGTTAAAAATTGCAGCATTTGAATTGTTATTTATAGAGTTTTCTTAAAATAGATAATATTTCGTTAATTGTCGTTGATGCATAGCTTTTTAGGGCACCGTTGTGAATTTGGCAGAGTAGAGTCACTAAAAATTACGAATACAGACCCTGTAATTTGTGATATTTGTAGGCTCCCCGAGCTGAAGTTGTCCTGGTGCTCTCTAGGTCAAGATCAGTTACTCCAGCAGAACGGAACTTTGACCCGAGTGAAGCCAGCTATGCTTACATAAACTCTACCAGACCACCTAAGATACTGGAGAGCCCCCTTGATAGCAAGTCCCTAATGGCAGGTGTGTGGGTTTTTATAAATTTTACATTTTCATTGTTTGATCAAGTCATTTAATCATCTGACCAAAAATATATAATACTGCAAAATCTGTTATTTTATATTCCGTTTAAGTAGATTAGTTTAAAATGTTACTTTATCTATACCCATTTTTCTTAGTAAATGATAAAAATGAAAATTTAAGACCTCGTAGATTTTTAATGATGGATTTAAAATTAGCTGAAAATCTTTTCATTTTCATTCCGCAAAACATTTTCCCCAACAGATAAAAAAGTTTTAAAAAATACGAACTCTTAATCACTTCGTTTTTTTCCTGTAATTAAATTATAAAATTTACTTAATTTTGGAACTTTTTTAGATTTAAAGTTTGTTGATGTCCCAAGAAGTACAGCGATAACAGTTAGTTTAAAGAAGGAAGGAACAGGATTAGGGTTTAGTCTGGAGGGAGGGAAGGATTCACCATTCGGAGACAGACCAATGACAATCAAGAAAATATTTACAGGTCATTATCATTAACCTTGTTGTTGTTGTTCTAAGGAAGGATGGGGTGATCAGTTTTAAGTGCGCGCAATTTGTCTACGCCAAGTTTACAAACCAGGGGTTTTTTTTACACAAACTAGAAAAAAATATTATTATAATTATTTTCATTATTATATTTATTTTATTATATTTGTATTATAATTGCATATAAAAATTGTGAATGTGTAGGTGGAGCAGCTGATAAGAATGGAACGCTGCGGGTTGGAGATGAGATAATATCTGTGAATAATGTTGATGTGACAAGGATGACAAGGTTGGAGGCCTGGAACTACATGAAGAAGTTAAATGATGGTCAGCAGACTGTTGTAGTTCGGCAGAAACTTATCAACCTTCCAACCGTTAGAACTGAACTAGTAGGGGAATCTGCTCCTATAGAGAAAACGCACTGAACCTAAATTTTTTTATATAAATATTTAAAATCCTACGAAGAATATTCTTTTTCGGGTGAAAAAGAACTTTTCTTGCATAAATATTAACCCTTGTTGAAAACACTAAGATTGCCAGTGTTTTGGTTCAAACGGCCTAGATATATTCCAGATATATGAATATACTTTAGATATAGATTTATTTACTAATCTATGTACATTGTTGTACTTATGTACATTGGATACCTAAGAAAGTATATGTAAATATTCATATATTTAATACTAACATTTTTCTTTCAATTCTGTTTTTTACAGTGCTTTACTGTACTTCCCGTGCTATGAATGATATTTGCAAACTATACATAAAGGGGGCTCTCTCCATATGCATATATGTACATATATATATTTACAGTGTACATGAATAGGTGACAAAACACCATTTTATCCCTGGCTTAGAGGGGTCTCAATACCCACCAGCCTTTCCAACTGTGATTAAAGATATTTTGTACAGTTTTAGTTCTTCAGTAAATAAACTACGTAATTTTTGTAAAAAATTTTCTCTCAGAAATATACCAAGTGACAATAATATGTAATAATTTTTTCTAGATTGAAAACTATTTAATTCTGACCATTTCCTCCATATTGTTCCGGAAGTAGAATTCCGTAAGTCACTGAATATAAAACCTACAATTGAAAATAGTAAGTTTCAATCAGAATATGATTTTTTTCTTATGCAGATCTTATTCAGGCAAAGCTTCAACGGATACAGCTGTTAATTGGACATCACACTCTAGAAATGGAGAAAGCTCCTAACTCCTAATTAACTAAAGATAGGAAAAATACGCATTAGCTTAAAGGGGCTGTAAAGGAAAAATTAATGGGGGTATAGGCTAAAACCTAAGCATTTTAGGAATTGATCGAGACCCATGAAAGTTCTATCTGATGTTCCTGTCTCGAGAACTGGGTCAAAACGAAAATCTATATATATAAAATTTTGTATAAAAATGGTAGGTTTAAACGGATCATATTCAACAAAAAAAACAATCTGAAAACAACAAAATCCATGTTTGCTCCTATTATTATTTGAATTTAATCATTTTTACAGAGTTACACAAACTAATCACAACGGTACCATTAAAACAGCAGTGAGATATCGTTGTTTTTGAAATGAGATAATTTATTTCCTTCCTCATGCCCTGGTTCATAAATCCAAATTTTAATGGAGAAACCGAAAGATATCTCTCTCACTTTTGATGAGATAAAGGTTAAATGGTATTGTTATGAATCGGACACGTCTAGAAGTTTAGGTTTACTTGATTTCATGTTTTGTATCAGCAGTCTAATATCTTCAAAACTCGCAGGCCATTTATCCTACCCCCTCCAAACAAAAAGAAATTATTTTTTCTAAACCTTGAATATCTAATATCTCTCAATCTATCTATCTATATATATATCTATAATCTATCTATCTATCTGTCTGTCTATCTATTTATAATATCTATCTATATCTAGCTATCTGTCTAACTATATATCTAAAATCTCTCTATTTATCTATATATTTACTAACTATCTATCTATCTATCTATATATATATCTACTATCTATTTATCTACCTGTCTAGTGATCTATGAATGAATATTCCAATATCCACACTGCACTGCAGGATACCTCAGTAATGAGGGCATAAATATCATTGAACCCAGTTCCATCTCATTTCTCATTCCTAGTTCCTAGAACCCAGGCTACCCTTCTTCCTACCTCGGACTCTAGTCCAGAACAAAATTCACTCTTAGTTCTTATTCTATCCCGGGCTAAACTCATCCTTAGTTCTCATCATGAACAAGGCTAAACCCATCTTTAGTTCTCATCCTAACCCAGACTAAACCCATCCTTAGTTCTCATCCTAACCCAGACTAAACCCATCCTTAGTTCTCATCATGAACAAGGCTAAACCCATCTTTAGTTCTCATCCTAACCCAGACTAAACCCATCCTTAGTTCTCATCCTAACCCAGACTAAACCCATCCTTAGTTCTCATCCTAACACAGACTAAACCCATCCTTAGATCTCATCCTAACCCAGACTAAGCTCATCCTTAGTTCTCATCCTAACCCGGGCTAAACTCATCTTTAGTTCTCATCCTAACCCAGACTAAACCCATCCTTAGTTCTCATCCTAACCCGGGCTAAACTCATCCTCTTAGTTCTTATCTTAACCCAGACTAAACTCATCCAAAGTTCTCATCCTAATGTAGACTAATCTCATGTTTGGTTCTCATCCTAATCCAGACTAAACTCATCCTTAGTTCTCATCCTAACCCAGACTAAACCCATCCTTTAGTTCTCATCCTAACCTAGACTAAACCCATCCTTAGTTCTCATCCTAACCCAGACTAAACCAGACTAAACTCATCCTTAGTTCTCATCCTAACCCAGACTAAACCCATCCTTAGTTCTCATCTTAACCCAGACTAAACTCATCCATAGTTCTCATCCAAACCTAAACTAAACCCATCCTTAGTTCTCATCGTAACCCAGACTAAACCCATCCTGTACCGAACTCTGTTTAATGAGAAAACAAGGTCACTCATGAGTACATATATATATCTTACAGTATACGAGGTAGTTAAATCACCTTAACTACAGGGTTAGTCAAGGAACATGGAATTTAACAATATAAAGATTCTTTCTCATACAAACCTGCATTTTCATTGTACATACATTCACAGAGATTCTCACAAACATTGTGGATAAGATAAATGTATGTATATTTTCTTGTTTGGTTGCTGACCTAGAAACGCTAAAATCACCACAATTTTTTATGCGACCATCTGACTGGCAAATTCTTCAATTTACAGAAATTTCAATTAAAAAAGATATAAACAGGAGGAGAATTTGAAGAGTCAAAATTTCCCAGTTTTCCTTTCACATTTCTGTAACCCTTAACAGCTTTCTTTTCTTTATCCGCCGTTCTTTGCATTGTCGGCCATTTTTCTTTTCCACAAGTTCTATAATTTTTCATTATATACCCACAGAAGCCCCACCCCCGCACTACCCCTCCCAACCTCCCTCCCCGTGTTCAGATCTATTTTGGTTCAATTATATTGATTCTCAATATCGTCCCATTCCTATCATATTGTTCTAGAACTTCATGTTCATAATCTCCTGCCAAAATAAAATTCTTACGTCTCAAGAACTTCCATTCAACCGAGCCCACCTTCTCATCTATTTCATTATCTCATGATCCAAACTATCTTCCAGATATAGGAGGTTCCAACCATGGTTCCAACCTGAACCACGTTATCTTGCAAGTATATATTTATATTTGTCTATAACCCTTTCTTTTGTGAGAGTTTAGATTTAAACAGATAGCTTTTAACCTCTGTATTCAATTTATAAACTTAGACAACGTTTATAACAGAAAGCTGAAAGGGGTATATCTCATAAAAAAAAATAAACAGAAAGCATTTTTACTTTGAAAACCAAAATTTGTCCACTATCCTTTGGACTTTCTGTAGCTAATAGCTATATTGTATAACAGTAGAATATATTGTACAGAACGGAACGGAGATAGTTATGCTCTAAATCTTTCACAATAAAAAATTTTAAATGAATGCATTTATTACTTATCTTAAATTCTCCAAAGCTACAGCGCTGAAAATATAACTTTTTTTAAAGATTAGGTAAAAAATAATCAATCGTTGTAAACTACAAGTATAATTAAAAGACCAGAAGACCACTGAATTTGAAACATTTATTACAAACTACATTAATAAAATCTACACTTACATTGATTACATTTAAACAGTTTTATTATCTTTTGTTTTAAAGATCTTAATCTATGAATGTATTTTCAATGAGAACAGATTCAGCAACATCCTTTCTACCGATTAACCAGTATGTCTGCTGTTCTCCAACCTATAGTAAACGCAATCAAAATAAAGCAGATTAAGTAATTATATTCATGCCAAGTACATCCCTTAGTAAATTAAAACAAAATCGCCAAATCACACTTAAGACGAAAAGAATACAGATTACATTTTGGAAATCCCATGAGCTCCACATTTTTTGTTTAGTTCTCGGGTTAAATAAAACTTTTTTGATATCTCTAGATTTTGTCTGACCTTGGGTAGATGAACTATACCCCTTGAAATAACGTTGAATCCGCCAATCTCTTCTAGAACCTTTGCAGAGGCGTCAGACATTTGAATCTAGATTAGTCTAGTTTAAATCATAGGATTCAGATGTCTGGATCTGAATTAGTTCAGTTTAAAGGAAAGGATTCAGACATTTGAATCTAGATTAGTTCAGTTTTAAACAAAAGATTCAGATCTTGATTAATTCAATTTTAAGCAGATAACTCCAATATCTGGATCTAGATTAGTTCACTGAATCTAGACTAGTTCGGTTTAAAGCAGAGAACTCAGATATCTGGATCTATAGACTAGTTCAGTTTATAGCAGAGAACTCAGATATCTGGATCTAGTTCAGTTTATAGCAGAGAACTCAGATATCTGGATCTAGACTAGTTCAGTTTATAGCAGAGAACTCAGATATCTGGATCTAGACTAGTTCAGTTAATAGCAGAGAACTCAGATATCTGGATCTAGACTAGTTCAGTTTATAGCAGAGAACTCAGATATCGGAATCTAGATTAGTTCAGTTTAAAGCAGATGACTCAGATATCTGGATCTAGATTAGTTTAGTTTAAAGCAGAGAACTCAGATATCTGGACCTAAATTAGTTCAGTTTAAAGCAGAGAACTGAGATATCTGGATCTAGATTAGTTCAGGTTTTATCAGAGGACTTAGATATCTGAATCTAGATTAGTTCAGTTTAATGCAGAGAACTCAGATATCTGGATCTAGATTAGCTCAGGTTTTATCAGAGGACTTAGATATCTGAATCTAGATTAGTTCAGTTTAAAGCAAAGAACTCCAATATCTGGATCTAGATTAGTTCAGTTTATAGCAGAGAACTCAGATATATGAATTTAGACTATAGTTCAGTATAAAGCAGAGAACTCAGATATCTGAATCTAGACTATAGTTCAGTTTAAAGCAGATGACTCAGATATCTGGATCTATATTATTTTTGTTTAAAGCAGAGAACTCAGATATCTGGATCTAGATTTATAGTAAAGTTTAAAGCAGAGAACTCAGATATCTGGATCTAGATCAGTTCAGTTTAAAGCAGAGAACTCAGATATATGGATCTAGATTAGTAAAGTTTAAAGCAGAGGACTCAGAATCTCAGATATCTGGATCTAGAATAGTTCAGTTTTAAGCAGAGAACTCAGAAATCTGGATCTAGATTAGTTCAAGACTGAAGTATAAGCATTGCATATTTTTCAAATAATGCCTATGTGATTGTAATTTAACTATACCTTCATAGGAAGTCCACTGGATTCCATTAGACCAGCCAATTCCACAGTATCTCCGAAAATAGAATAGTGCGGTATCTAGAATGTGGGTAGACGGATAACACATTTTTTTGGGTATTTTTGTTATTTGAAGCATTTTTATTTATCTTAAGGTTACCTTAGTGCCAACTACACCCCCTACTACACTGCCTGTATGCATCCCAATTCTAATCTTGAGCCTACAGGCGAACCAATCATTTAAATAAGTCTTCTAGATGATATTTGAAAAATATATTCGCTTACAGTCCATGTTAGTTTGGAAATATGTAATATCGACATTGAGGGACATTGGTCAACATTAGCCATTTTTAGTAATTGGGCCTCATTTTTTTGCATACACTTTTCAAAAAGAAAGAAAAAATGTTAAATATAAAATGAGTTGATTCCTGTATCCAGGTTTATGCTGAATTTCAAATGTCAGTGTTTTTCCTGGAAAAATAAAAATTATTTTTTCTATTAGACCCCAGAATCTTTTAATTTTATCTAATAAGCATAACAACTTTTATACAATCTGAACGCTTTGTTTTTCAAATAGTGTTGAAAATTACAACATCAAAAAATCCTATAGGTCACCTAGAAGGTCAAGGGACATCTTTGCTATCTCTGATACATGCTGGTCACCGTTAGGTACAGGTACACCACTAGCTACCATATATGCATCTCCTATTGTCTCAACCTTTAGAAAACATAAATCTTAATCAACACTTTTCAATTTAATTACTTGACGTAATTAATGGCTTTTCATATAACTGGTCAACCTTTAAAGTATTTTTTTTTTTTATTGATATTAAGTTTAAATGCATAGAAAATACCTACCTTGTAAACATCATAATTATCAATTCTTTCATCAAACAGATTGTACAGATCATTCAAAAACTCTGAAAAAAAAGTGTTTAAAGTGTTTTAAGTGTTTACTATTATATTATATATTCGCTAACCTATAATTTGATGTGCGGTGCTTTCTCCTGCTATCTAAGGGTTACCAATTTTACCAATTTTACCAATTTTTCCAATTTTACAAATTTTTTGATAAAGGCTTTCTAGAGTTTAATTAAAAAACACATAAATTAAATTAAATTAAAAAATCATATTCTTTTGTTTTTGAATAAAAAGTTGGTTTCCTTGGTAAATGAAACGATATCACAGAAGAAAACTGTAGTGCTCTGAAACTGAACTGGACGCGGTACCTGACCTCGTTTCATTTGACGGATAATCGTCTTTGGTAGCAGAGAACTCAGCAGCTTAAATAATCATATTAGAATCATTAAATTAATATTTTTTTCTGAAGTTAACTTTAAATACTAAAGCATCGGCTAACCTATTTTTTGTAAAATCAAATTATTTTGAGTTTTACCGGCTGTACCGGCTGTACCGGCTGTACCGGCTGTACCGGCTGTACCGGCTGTACCGGCTGTACCGGCTGACAACATTTTGTACCACTGCTCACTTTTAATTTTCTAAACTTTAGAATTTACAAGAATTTACAATATCTCTTAAAGTAATTTTTTAAAATTGTGTCCAATAATTATTAAGATTTTTTACTTACCTTCTCCGTTTTCTTCTTCTCGGCCTTGAAAATGTCAACTTTTTCATTGTAAATTCTAAAGAAATTTTTGCTTTTAATTCTTGTAAAATTTATTATTCTTGTTTTACGAACCTTGAGAATCTAGTCATATTGGCAGTTATGTTGAGAGTGAAGAGGATACAGAGCGGGATGAATAGGATTAGAACAATTATCAGAAAAAGAGGAAATATTCGTTCTTGTCCTTTCCTAACAAAACAATACATATATACATATATACATACAGTTTTCATATAATCTATGTAATAAAACAAGACATTCATACATATGTTACTTCTAGCCAACCAAACGGCTGGACCAAATGGGCTGAAATTTTTTGCGGACACTCCTGAGTAAACATTTTTTATTATTAAAAAAAAATTTTAAATTTTTTCGACAGAGATATTGTTTTTTTGGATTATTATTATTATTATTTTGGATTATTTGATCTAACATAATTCATAGTTTTAACTATATAAGGCCTTCGACATCGGGTTGAAAAGATAAAGATAATAGAAGACATGAAAAACTATCAAAGGAATTGAGTTTTTCCCACAAACTTTAAGTTTTAAATCCTATATCTTAACAACCCAATGATATAGACCTTAGATATTTCAAACTATGACTTCTTTAATATCAAACAATATAAGTTTGAAATATCAAAGGTTTACATCATTTGGTTGTAGAAATATAGGTATTAGAAAATTGGGATTTGTGGCAAAGACTCAATTCCTTTATAAAATTCATAGAAGTTAATATTTACTTTTCACGCTGACATAAATGAATAAATGTAAAACTTACCTGGTGGAACTATAATCTACAAACTGAAAGATTTCATCAACAATAGATTTTATTATTGTCCTATGTAAAATATTCTATATTAAAAAGATAATTTTCTACCAAAATAACAAAATAACTTACCTCATATCATTTGAATAGTTTAGAAAATTGACAAAATACTGAACAACAATATCCAAACTTTTCCCGAGAATAGTTTTCTCAGCTATACTCGCCTGATTGGGAAATAAAAGTATTGTTTAGTGTTGAGGTTTTATTTATACATTTTAAGGGATGCGAAAAAAAAATCTTTTTAAAAAACTTTCGAAATGGTTTTTCTTTTTTTGAATAATAGACACAGAATTCTAAGATTGAAATATCAAAGGTTCACAACATTAGGCTGGAAAGATATAGGGATTAGAAAATTAAAAGTCTTCAGTTTCAGTTCTTGTCTATTTCTAAAATAAGAATTCGGATCTAAGAAGCTTTAAAAATGATCCGGATCCGGATCCTGTTTTTGACGGGATGAGACCTAGATTATGTTGGTTCAAGATTCTTGTCTGTTTCTATAACATAAATTCGAATCTAAGAAGCTTAAAAAATAATAATCTTGAGATCCGGATCCAGTTTTGGAGGGACTCAGGAGGACTCAGGCTTAAACTATGTTGGCTCAAGATAATTGTCTATTTCTAAAACATAAATCTGGATCTAAAAAGTGTTTTAAAAAATGATATCCCCGCGGATCTGGATTCTGTTTTTGAGGAACTAAGGCCTTAATGGTATTGGCTCAAGATTTATTTTTATTTTTCAGAACTGAATCCGGATCCAGAAAAAAATCAGATCCTTATAATCCGGATCCAGTTGTTTTCAAAATATAAAACCATTCTTAAAAAGTATATTTCTGATTTCACCTGAATTGCTGGAAACGTATTTCCTTGAATTAATCTGTAATATTCCTCTCTTGTTGAAGGAATTACGTTGAAGGTTTGGTTCAAGTATTCTCTCCTGTTATACAGAAATTAAGTGAAGAAGAATTAAATCTCAAAACAGCCACACTATCCCATGATAAGAATATAAATAACATATGTTTTAAATCGAATAAATTGTTGTGTTAAATCATTACATTTTTCTCTTTTACGTTGTTTAAAATTATTTTGTGTTTTGTTTGAGTGTTTTCTAATGATCTAAAAGCATACTGATATGTATGTTCTTATGAACTATTATTTAATCAAGAGAAATTTTTTATGAAGTTATTTTTTTCAACACATTGAGTAATTCTTAATTTTTTTTCCCTGAGCATATCGTATTCAAGAAACCCTTGAAATTTATTCTGAGTAGATATTCCAGTAGATATGTACGCCATACCATGAACCATAGATTTACCAGCATATTCAACACTACGGAGTAAATTCTTGTAGCCTAAAAAAAAACATAATTTATAAAAGAAGGACATCACGCTCCACTAGACAGGAGGAGAAGATTAAATTTATGCGACATTACTGATACGACTTTGTGATCTTGTATATCCTCTAGGTTGATTTTACGCTCAAGCATTAGGGCAGTAAATTGAGTTTTTGCCACAAGCTCGGATTTTCTAAACCCTATATTTTTTAAACAAATAATTGTAGACCTTTAATATTTCAAACTATGATTTATGTTAGATCAAATAATCTAAGTTTGAAATATCATAGGTTTGAACATTAGGTTGTAAAGATATACGAGTAATAAATTTTTAGTTAGTGGCAAAAACTCAGCTCCTTTATTTCGCTATTTTTTGTTCATTTTAAAAGCTTTTCAATAAAAGGAGTTTATGATTGAAAACATGTCAGATTTCAATAAAAGGAGTTTATGATTGAGAACATGTCAGATTTCAATAAAAGGAGTTTATGATTGAGAACATGTCAGATTTCAATAAAAGGAGTTTATAATTGAAAACCTACAATTAACTTTAATTTGACGTTAGACACTTGGTAATTTGAAAACTTGACGATTATAATCCAAATGTATTGAGTCCTTATCACAACCTCTGACTTTCTAATCTTATATCTTTGCAACCCAACGTCGTAGACGATATCTTTTTCATTGTTACTCTGATAAATAGAAATAGACTAGTGTTACAAAGGTTTGGGGTTTGAAAGGTGTAGATTTGGATTTTATGTTTATTGAAAGTGGGTAGTTATATTTTAGGTTAAATTAAAGAGATAGTTGGATTATGTGTTACATTAAGTAAAGTTTTTTTATAAGCTTAAAGCTAAGATGTTGTACAGTTGTAATATCTATATATATATAAAGTATAGTAATCTCTGTTTGTTTGATTGGGGAACTCGGAAGAACCATAGGAATGTTCTTAGCTGAGTTAAACGATTCTAAAGTCTAGTGGTTTCACAAATTAGAGAAAGTACAGTTTCCAGTTAAAGCTGGGTTTCCAAGTTAGTCGTGTATAAAGTGTTTACTAATCAGATGGAAACTACTCAATTATTTGTTCGGAAACCCCCCATACATACAAGCATAGAACTTCATACATAATTGCTTCTTTAAACTATTGTCTTTAAATGCAATACATTTAAACTGATGCCTAAAAACATCTGTAAAATACATATAAAAGATAATTTACATGATGAAAACATCTATATCTAGAATGTTTCAGATGTATAATTACTAGAAATGAATATATAGATATATAAGATATATTACATAGAATAAATATGCAAAATATATTACATATACTATATTTGTAGAATATATATGAATATTACCTATAATATATCTGTAGAATAAATAAGATATATTACCTGTAATATATCTGTAGAATAAATGAGATATATTACCTGTGATATATCTATAAAATATATATAAATATTACCTATAATATATCTGTAGAATATATATAAATATTACCTATAATATATCTGAAGAATATATAAGATATATTACCTGTAATATATCTGTAAAATATATATATAAATATTACCTATAATATATCTGTAGAAGTCTGATATATCGGAATCTTGTATTGAGTAGGTCACTACACTTAGAGTTTGAGTATTCACCTTGAAATCAAGTTCTCTTTAACGTGTCCTAAATCACATGAAACTAGACAGAAGGAGAAGCTCTATGCGATATTACAAGAAAACCTTCGTCACCTCCTTTTCTAATTTTCTAAAGTTCTTCAATGAGAGGAGGTATCATTTAAACATTTAAGATTTTAATCTTACGTAGAGTTTACTTTAGTTAACATCTGAAGACAAGGAGCTGAAGAAACTGAACAATCACCAACAAAACTAATTTTCTAATCCCTATATCTTTTCAACCAGATGATATAAGCAACTCTTTGATATTTTAAAATATGACAATTTGATCTAAAAATGATGGAAAGCAAAGACAAGACAAAAACTAAGGTCTACTCTACGGCATGAGGTTGCAGTGATAGAGAGATTTTGAACAATCAAATTTTGTTGCGATAATCATTTACTTTTTATATCACACCAAATACATTAGAATTAAATACAATTAGAGAATCCCGAAAGGATTTGAGTCTTTGCCGCAATCGGTGCTTTTCTAATCCCTATATCTTTGCAATCCACTGTCGTAGAACATAGGTATTTTCTTTGAAATCTGTTAGATCCAATAATCCAATTTTGTAATAAAAAAAGGTTAACATCAGGTTGCAAAGATTCAGGGATTAGAAAATACTCAATTTCTTTGTTTGAAAATGTGATTGTATTTGATAAATTGAAACAAAAATTCTTTAAATTTAAATTTGTAGAAATCTTTAAACTCCTTCCAAGGAGACAAAATATTTTAATATTGTTCACTTTTAAGGAATAAAAATATTACAAACAAAAGAAGACATTAAAGTTTTGACAAAGAAATCATAATATTTACGCTAATTAATTAAATAGACATTTTAAAGGTCTTTTCCTTGTTATACCAGTCCAGAACACTGTTCATTGATTTCTCCCCATCAGGGATTTTTGTCCTGAACATTTTGTTATAATCAACTTCATCTATATATACTTGGCTTGCCTGTCTTGATGTATGTCTGTTTGTCTATCTATCCAATAAACGTCAAAACGGCTAAACCGATCGGGCCCAAATTTTGTGTGGGACCTTGCATGACTCTAGGGAAGGTTTATGAAAGCTCAGAATTACAAATAAAGATGCCACAGATAGAGCCACAATTAAAAGTTTAAATAAAGGATAGGCGCGAAGTGTTCTAAAAGCCTAGTGAATAAAATTATTGAAAGATAATGTGACGCCAATTTTAAAAATTTAAATAAAAACAAAAAAAAGTTTTTTCTGAATTTTACCAAAAGATGATACCCTCAAAAATATTAAAACTAAACCCACTAAGAATCTTCTTTTCTTTGAAAAAAAGAATTTTTATTATTTCAGATATACCTGAAGAGGGAGTGCTGTATTTGAAATTTGAGTTTGGTTTGAAAATATTGATCCTGGAACTCCTGGCCCTGTACAATCAGAACGATCTGTTAATTTGGCTTTTTAAATAATATAACAAACTTACCATTAAAACATGGCAGAAAATCTTAAAAAAGAGACCATTGTCAACTACATTCAGTGTAAATAGAAGTAAGGTTGAGTACCAAGTAAAAATAATATTGTCCTTTAATGTTCCTGTGTGTGTTGGTGAATGATTTTACAAATTGTTTTTTTTTATCAAAGGTAAAATATGAAGTGTTAAGAAACTGACAATCAACTACAACGTTAGTTTTCTCTTAAAACACTCCACAAAGACTTTAAAATATGCTTTCAAAGTTTCATTAAAATGCGCCAATTTTGATCCTGGTTGACCATGATTTACAGATAGGTTCCTGTGGCCAGTATTGTACAGACTGTAGGATCTGATCTGTAGAATTAAAAGTATTGTGTAATGTATACTTCTCTAGTATTCTTCTATCCTCTGCTGCTGAGAAACTGTAAAAACTAATATAACAGGTTACACAAAGATAAGTACAGATTTGGCGCGTACCAGGTACTCAAAGATTCGTACAGATTTGGCGCGTACCAGGTACTCAAAGATACGTACAGGTTTGGCGCGTACCAGGCGTCTGAGAAGTCGGTACGTGTAGTTTTTTAACGTGCTTAATGCCGCAAAGTTCATGTAAAAATGTACAATCTGCTTAAAGAAAGAAATTTTTTTATTTCTATAATTACTTATTAAATGATTAACAATTCAAATACAGGGTGAGTTTTAAAAAATGTGAATAGCGAGATCTCGCATATAATAAATCGTTTTATTTTTGTAATCTCATTTTTGACAATTATGTAAGAAATTTTTAAGTTTTTTTATAGGTCATCTCATAGACCCTTTAAAAAAATCCGCGAAACCATTTTTTACTTAGATAAGTAGTAAAATAAAAGTGCGGAAATATATTATTTCTGTCACACCTTAAAATCTTAAACAGGTCAGATGAGAAGTTTTGGAGAAAATGCGCGAAATTAAATTAATAAAATCCGCAATTTTAGTGTTGAAATAATCATTAGAAATAAAGTTCTGCCTACAATGGCTCCTCAATTTTCATCAGAACAGACGCTATTCATTCTTTTTTTTGACTCACCCTGTATGTACTTTATTTAATTTTTCCAAACAGCCACTTTAAAATATTTCTTAATTATATTGAAAAATAAAAAAGACGAATATAAACCCTACTCCATTAGCTGTTCCAGGTTGGAGATGTTCTGTTCGTTCTGAAGAAAGTAGTTTAGACCAACTGATGCTCGTTCCTCCTGTATATGTACATCGATAACTTGTAACTAACCCAACAGCACAATTTAAAGGGAATGTAGATGCAATTTCAAGCGACCCTCCAGTTAGATAGTGGCATGTCTGATTCACAACGGTAACCATTAAAACTTTGTCTGATAAAGGCTTAAAAAGATATCCATGTTTTTCTTTTGAAGACTAATTATTAAATATTCGTTTTGTATACAATGCACTAAAAACGCCGAAATAGTTGGCCCCCAGATGTCTCAGCTGTCAATGTTTTGAATGATTACATGTGGCAGAGACACCTAGCGGAAAAAGTTGTTTTAAGTATAAAACAAATAACAAATCTCGTAAAATATTAACTATATACGAATGCGTCAAAAAATAATCGATGACTTGAGGTTGTGATATCAGTTAGTCCTTAATTTTAAAGATAAGAATAGAGCGTTCATTCCGATAACGGCATTTTCCGTTTTTTTATAAATTACCGTTATCTCAATTTTATTAACAGCGTTTTCGGAAAATTTTCAGCTGTTGTTAATGGCTCTAGTCGTTAATGGTACCGTTATTACAAAATTAACGACGTTAACAATTTTTGTTACGGTTGAAAAAATTGTTAACAGCACAGCCTTTAACGGTATATTAGAGTATTAACAGCGTTTATAAACACAGAAGATAACATTTAAAAACATCAAAACCCGTTAAATTTGCTAATTTTTTAAAGATTTCATGCAATTTTAATCAGAAAATAACGAATTTAGTTAACGTTTTTAACCGTTATTTTTTGTTCAAAAAGGCTAATCCGTTTCGTTAACGATTTAAGGTTTTTGGTCGTTCGTTAACGGACTCTTCCGTTAATGTTCGAAAACCTCCGTTTCGTTAACGGAACTTTGCCAAGCGCTATTTCTGAGGAGAACCCAGATTCTTTCTTGGCTGAACGAACACAAAATTTGTGTAATCAAAATTCAAAGGTTACCGCGATCTATTCTCAGCATTTAAGGTTGTGAACACAGAACAAATTGGTTCCGTTTTCTTTTCAACCGTAATTATTTCAAAAACGGATAATCTGTTTCTTTAACAATTTAAAAATTAACGGTTTTTGCCGTTTGTTAACAGACTCTTAAGTTAATTTCGAAATTATCTGTTCCGTTAAAGAACATTGCCCAGCCCTAAGGGGAACCACGTTCTACCTAGTAAATTTTGGTATGCAATGGTACAACTTCATGTAAACGTAATGTGTGAATTTGAAAAAAGAAGACTTTTTTTAAGATTATGATAAAAGTTTATACTCAAATTAGAAAAGTCTCAAAGGGATTACAAAAGTTTTGTACCTGTAGTTGTTGGGTCAACTTAGCAAATTCCAACGCGTTGTTTAGCTAAAAATAAGATTAAAAAGAATATTTTGATTTCTATATTTTTTCAAAGGATACAATTTTTATCTTTTTACCTGTTCCTTTACATCAACAAGAGCTTGGAGGGAGAATGCTATTCCAGCATAGTTTGTACAGTTCTATACAGTACAGTTATACACTACTATTCCAGCATAGTTTGTACAATTCTATACAGTCAATTATAAACTTACTATTCCAGCTGTACAGTTCTATTCACTACACTATAACTTTCAGCTTGTAGAGTTCTATACGGTACAATTATACACTTATTATTCCAGCTTTTACAGTTCTATACAGTACAATTATACACTTACTATTCCAGCTTGTACAGTTCCACACAGTACAATTATACACTTACTATTCTAGAATAGTTTGTACAGTTCAATACTGTACAATTATACACTTATTATTCCAGCTTGTACAGTTCTATGCAGTACAATTATACACTACTATTCCAGCATAGTTTGTACAATTCTATACAGTACTATTCCAGCATAGTTTGTACAGTTCTATACAGTACAATTATAAACTTACTATTCCAGCTTGTACAGTTCTATTCACTACACTGATACTCTTACTATTCCAACTTGTAGAGTTCTATACAGTACAATTATAACTTTCAGCTTGTAGAGTTCTATACGGTACAATTATACAGTTACTATTCCAGCTTGTACAGTTCTATACAGTACAATTACACACTTATTATTCCAGCTTTTACAGTTCTATACAGTACAATTATACACTTACTATTCCAGCTTGTACAGTTCCATACAGTACAATTATACACTTAATATTCCAGAATAGTTTGTACAGTTCAATACAGTACAATTATACACTTATTATTTCAGCTTGTACAGGTCTATGCAGTACAATTATACACTTACTATTCCAGCTTGTACAGTTCCATACGGTACAACTATACACTTATTATTCCAGCTTGTACAGTTCTATACAGTATAATTATACACTTACTATTCCAGCTTGTGCAGTTCCATACAGTACAATTATACACTTACTATTCGAGCTTGTAAAGTTCCATAAAGTACAATTATACACTTACTGATGATAGTGATAATATTAATAATAATTAAAATGATTATTATAATAATTATAATTACAAAATATTTTCGATTGTGTAACCTGTACAAGTAGAATAAAAACAGGAATCAATGGGAGAACAACTATACAATTAAATTTAACAGTTTTGTAAAAAAAAATCGCAAAAAAAACTCCTTAGACCTTTTAGTATTAATATTTAGTTACTCATTCACGAGGTTTTCAAATGATAACTATATTTAAATATTTGATGAGATTTCTGACCTTAGTTTAAATAAAAAAGATCAAAAATGTACAGGGTTACCTACTTCAGAGACGACTGTACAGAATTTGTACTTTCTGTTCCTTATTATTCATGATATCCTGCAACTGTAAACTTGTTTCTTTCTTTGCCAGATTATTTGGTGAGCCATCAAAAACTTTATTCAATACTGAAGACATTATTTATCATTGGGATCGCCTATTTTTAGAGTTTCAGGTCGTCTTTACAGTCTCATCCTTTGTGGGTGACTCTGTATTTAAGTTTTAAAATAAAGAAACTGAAATAATTCTGAGGATAATTTTCTTAAATCATGAAACAAATAAATGTTTAAAGAAATGAATTTTTTCTTTATATCTTAATATTTGTTTATATTCCTAGATGACAAGTATGGAGACGTTGACCATGTTCAGTCCCAAGATTGATCTTGTAGAAACCCAGGTTCATGGCGTGGGCTGACATCAAGGTTGCAGACTCAGATCCAGCAGATCCAACAGATCCTTCTTCATCCACCTTACCAGCCTTCGGCTAGCATACAGACAAACATCAGACAACATTTTTACAAAATACCAATTTTAAAAAGGTAGAAATGGACCCCAGAATCCGGGTATTCTAGCCGGAGTACAAAACCGATCTTATTAAACTTGCCTCCAACTTTGGTCTTCTAGTCTTTACACATTAGTAACCTGATGGTGAAAACCTTTGTTTTTCTAACTTGCACTATTTGATCTTAAAGAGTTTGTTGTTTAAATAATAAAGGTCTACGACATCAGATTCCACAAATATAGGATAAGAAAGTTAGAATTTGTGGCAGAGTATTTAGTTCCTTTCAGAAATTATATTTTGGGGAAACGCTCAATTTAAGAAATGTGGATCGCCAAGACTTTTTAACCATGTTTGCTGTAATAAAAGAAAGCTGAGTAGCTACTAAGAGCAACTTAAATCAAAGAAATAAAAAAACTTTGCTTACAAAGATTTAATTTTGACCCAGAAACATTGGTTCTTGAACACAATAGATTTTGAAACGAGTGTTCAATTACTTTCAGACCTTTCAGAAATTATATTTTGGGAAAATGTTTGAATAAGATAAGAGAGTTTATAAAGTGTTGATTGCAAAGACTATTTAACCCTAAAAGCAACTTAAATGAATGAAATTTATTGCTAACAAAGATTTTATTTTTGACCCACAAATATAGGTTCTTGTAAACAACGTTGATTTTTACAAAAATGTGGTGACACCCAACAGGGACCTTTTTTTTGTTAAAGACTTAAACTTTAGTATTAAAGGAACTGAGTTATTGCCACAAACTCTGAATTTATAATTACTATATCTTTGCAATCCAATGTCGTAGACCTTTGATATTTCATATTATGAATTCTGGTAGATCATTTAATTAAAGTTTGAAATATCAAAGGTTTGCAATCCCATGGAATTAAAATCTGTATTTGTGACAAAAACTCAATTTACCATTTCCTCGTCTTTCTCTGAGAATATCTCTATGGCGTCTTTTAAGGATGCACGCCTGAAATATAATAATCCAAAGAAAATCCTTTAAAGAATTTAGAAGCTGACTTTTTAGTTAAAGTTTATGGCATAAATAATAAAAAGAAGAAAAATCATGACAATATCTCTTGAATTTCAGATTTTGACATATCACAAGATATTACGTGGTTAATCAAATTTAGACCTTGTGTCGTTTATATCCGGACTATCCAGAATATCAACCTTGTTCTTCATCTTATATTCTACACTCTCTAGACTCAGTCTGAAATACAAGGGTAAACTCAGGATACAGCTGGTAAACTAAACTCAGTTTACAGGGTTAACTCAGGATACAGGGTAAACTAAACTCAGTATACAGGGTAAACTCAGGATATAGCTAGTTTACTAAACTGAGAATACAGGGTAAACTATACTCAGAATACATGGCAAATTAAACTCAGAATACAGGGTAAACAAAACTCAAAATACATGGGAAAATAAAAAAATTAATTTATGGAGAGCCCAATAACAAATGTTGAATACAGGAAAATGGAATAAATTGAAAGTTTTGATAATTTGAACTCCTGAGTCTCTTGACACTCTGGAAAACAGTTTTCATAAAAAAAAATATTAAAATAAACTGACTGAATCTATAAAGCTCTAGCTGAGGAATAAAGACTGAATAGACCGGAGCTCAGGATTACATGGATGAGATTAAAATATGATTAAAATATCATGAAACTTCATTTTTCTAGAAATTTAAGTTTTTAGCTTTTTCATCTTTGTTTATCACGACACACATACTCTGGGTTCTAAAACATGAGAATAGAGCTAGGCCTCTGTTCCTAACATCTTTTTATTTCTTCAGTTTTTTAAGAAATAATCAGGCTTTTCGGGCGCGTCGCGCTCCTTTCCTGTAGGTTTGCTTAGCATTAAACTGCTGCTCTGAGAGTCGGCCATTTAAAATCATTTTCCAATTTCAGCGGATTTTCTTTTTGAATAGGAACAATCTCAACAACACAAAAAACAACTATTTTTCAGGATTTTTTTCTTCTCCAATTTTGATGTTCCATGAACCTTCCCCTGGGGTCACGTGAGGTACCACACAAAATTTGGCCCAATCGGTTCAGCCGTTAATTTGATGATTAACGCTAACAAACAAACAAGCAAAGTATATTCATATTAAGATAGTCTTACGAAGTTTAGCTTGATATATTCTCAATGTTTAGAGACTAGAGACGCATGTTTTAAAAAACAGTTTTTTACATGATAAAGAAAAGAGCATTTTGGAGAAACTATTTAATTATTTGATACTTTTTGCCTGAGACATAATAAGATTAGTTTAAATATGTTGCTGACAAATATTTAAAGATTAAACGTGTTTGAAGTAAAAATCAATTATTCTTATTATATTTTCATTCGGGAAAAAAATAGATATTTTGAAACGAAGCTGGTAACTTATGGCTGTACATTACCCATTTAAATCGTTTCAAATAAAGAGAACTCAGGTGTCCGAAAATACCTGTACATTGAAAGTTATTGAGTGTCAAGGATCTCGAGGTCAATCCTTGATTTCCCAGAAAAAGTATTGGCATTTCGAGAAATATATTGTGCTTCCAGACAAGTTTTTGAGCATCATAAAGGGGTTGTGCATCCAGAAACGGTATTGTGTGTCCATAAACTATAATTTATTGTGTCCAGGAAAGGTATTGTGAGTTCAGGAAAGGTATTGTGTGCCCTGGAATGATATTCTGTGCCCTGGAAAGGTATTGTGTGTCCAAGAAAGATATTCTGTGCCCTGGAAAGGTATTGTGTGTCCAGGAATGATATTCTGTGCCCAGGAAAGGTATTGTGTGTCCAGGAAAGCTATTTTGTGTCCAGGAATGATATTCTGTGTTCAGGAATGATATTCTTGCCCAGGAAAGGTATTGTGTGTCCAGGAAAGGTATTGTGTGTCCAGGAATGATATTCTGTGTTCAGGAATGATATTCTGTGCCCATGATATTCTGTGTTCAGGAATGATATTCTGTGCCCAGGAAAGGTATTGTGTGTCCAGGAATGATATTCTGTGCCCAGGAAAGGTATTGTGTGTCTAGGAGAGGTATTGTGTGCCCAGGAAAGGTATTGTGTGTCCAGGAATGATATTCTATGCCCAGGAAAGGTATTGTGTGTTCAGAGCTGAAAACTTTAGAATCAGATATCCTAATCCCGATTACTTAATCTGATTATCCAATGGACACACTTTTGATTTTCTTCTTAAACCGTTCTTTCTTGGATATAGTAGAGAAAAATCAAAAACCGGTTTTTCTAAATTAGAGAGTTCCTCCCATTTCTGTATATAATCTTAAATGGCGCTCAAAATTACAAATTTATCAGCTTCATATACGAGACTCTGATTGGTTTAATTTTATATACTTTTCAGGATACAAGTACATGATTAGATTAGTCTCTATATTATGAAAAAGAGAGGATCACGCATTAACCCCTATATCCACCATTATAAAGTTTTCAGATCAGGAAAAAATATTCTGTGTCCAGAAAAGGTATTGTGTGTCCAGGAAAAATATTCTTTGCCCTGGAAAGGTATTGTGTGTCCAGGAAAGATATTCTGTGCTCAGGAAAGATATTGTGTGTCCAGTAAAGGTATTGTGTGTCCAGGAAAGGTATTGTGTGTCCAGGAAAGGTATTGTGTGTCCAGGAAAGATATTGTGTGTCCAGGAAAGGTATTGTGTGTCCAGGAAAGGTATTGTGTGTCCAGGAAAGGTATTGTGTGCTCAGGAAAGGTATTGTGTGTCCAGGAATGATATTCTGTGATCAGGAAAGGTATTGTGTGTCCAAGAAAGGTATTCTGTGCTCAGGAAAGGTATTGTGTGTCTAGGAAAGATATTCTGTGCTCAGGAAAGGTATTGTGTGTCCAAGAAAGGTATTGTGCCCATGATGTTTTATGTCTAGGAAAAGTAATAAAGGAAATATTATAATTGTAAATGACGAGAATACCTGTATTGTAGAGTTTATAAACAAACCCGGTTTCCAGGTAATTAACTTACCTAGACAACCTTCATGAATAATTTATAAACCTGGGTTTAAACCTCAGCAGTAGGTTAAAGGTTTTTACACAAACTTTAAACAAATTTTTAGTTTAGTGATTAAATAACATGACTTAGTTGAATGGGTCAAGATTAAATATATTCAGTTAATAAAGGTTCAAATGATTTAACATCAGGGTTTAATACAGGGTTTAATATAAGCAGAGAACAATTATACATGGTTTAATATTAGCAAAGAACAAGTCTACAGTGTTTAATATTAGTAGAAAACAAGTATACAGGGTTTAATATTAGTAGAGAACAAGTATATAGGGTTTAATATTAGTTGAGAACAAGTATGCAGGGTTTAATATTAGTTGAGAACAAGTATGCAGGGTTTAATATTAGTAGAGAACAAGTATACAGGGCTTAGTATTAGTCTAGAACAAGTATATAGGGTTTAATATTAGTTGAGAACAAGTATGCATGGTTTAATATTAGTAGAGAACAAGTATACAGGGCTTAGTATTAGTCTAGAACAAGTATATAGGGTTTAATATTAGTTGAAAACAAGTATGCAGGGTTTAATATTAGTAGAGAACAAGTATACAGGGCATAGTATTAGTTGAGAACAAGTATATAGGGTTTAATATTACTAGAGAACAAGTATGCAGGGCTTAGTATTAGTAGAGAACAAGTATACAGGGCTAAGTATTGGTTGAGAACAAGTATATAGGGTTTAATATTAATAGAGAACAAGTATGCAGGGCTTAGTATTAGTCTAGAACAAGTATATAGGGTTTAATATTAGTAGAGAACAAGTATGCAGGACTTAGAATTAGTAGAGAACAAGTATATAGGGTTTAATATTAGTAGAGAACAAGTATACAGGGTTTAATATTAGTAGAGAACAAGTTACAAGGTTTAATATTAGTAGAGAATAAGTATACAGGGTTTAAGTAAAAAACAAGTATACAGTGTTTAGTATTAGAAGAGAACAAGTATACAGGGTTTAATATTAGTAGAGAACAATTATACAGTGTTTATTATTAAAAGAGAACAAGTATACAGGGTTTAAAATTAGTAGAGAACAAGTATGCAGGGTTTTGTATTAGTAGAGAACAAGTATACAGGGTTTAGTATTAGTAAAAAACAAGTATACAGTGTTTAGTATTAGAAGAGAACAAGTATACAGGGTGTACTGTTAGTAGAGATCAAGTATACAGGGTTTAATTTTAGTAGAGAACAAGTATACAGTGTTTAGTATTAGAAGAGAACAAGTATACAGGGTTTAATATTAGTAGAGAACAATTATACAGTGTTTAGTATTAAAAGAGAACAAGTATACAGTGTTTAGTATTAGAAGAGAACAAGTATGCAGGGTTTAGTGTTCGTAGAGAACAAGTATACAGGGTTTAATATAAATAGAGAACAAGTAAACAGGGTTTAGTATTAGAAGAGAACAAGTAAACAGTGTTTAGAATTAGAAGAGAACAATGTAAAAAAAATGTTGATTCTTATAGAAAAAAAATATACAGGATTTCATTTTAGCAAAAAAATAAATCAAAATTGATATTTAGAAGTTAGGAAATTTTGTTAAAACCTGGTAGAAAATGGAGTTTAAGAAATGGGCTGTACAGCCTACTTCTGAACCTGGCTCCGCTAGATCCAACCTAAACAGTTCAAGGTCTAGAGTTGTCTCACGACTGATGACTACAAGAGATCAAGAGATGACTGGGTCTAAGGTATACTTTGTAATAATCATTTTTAATATCGAAATTACAACTTCTGTTGAGTCTTTGAAACAGACTCTGATTTTCTAATCCCTACATCTTTTACAACCCAATGTCGTAGACCTTAGATATTTCAAACTATGAATTCTGTTAAATTAGATAATTTTTGAAATTTCAAAAGTTAAACCGCACCAGGTTGCAAAGATACAGGGATCAGAAAATTTGAGCTTGTGTCAAAGCTAAGGCTCAATTCACGTTCAGGAGAAATTATCTGAAAGCTTCTCTATGTCCCATGAATCCTCTCTGCAGCAGGAACCTATATCCTTCTCAGAGGAGAAAAATTTAGCTTCATCAGTTGGGGCTTCTCAATACTCAGGTTAAATATCTGGTTTTCATCATTTTACGCTACTCGCTTATTGTTTTTCAAACTAATTCAGAAAGACAGAAATATCTTTGCAGCCTGACCGTTTAAATCTTTCGTAGTTTACACTTTGGCTGACAGATATATCATAATTTATAGTCTAAATATCAGCCTCCTGATCAGGTTGTGAAGACATAAAGATTAGAAAATTGGAGTGAACTTATTTCTTTCTTAAAGATGGAAGGGTGGATACAAAAAACTCAAGATGGTTGGTTCCTCAGCCTGAGATTCAAGAAGATGAAGTCAAAAAGAATTTTGATCCTGATACAGTAAACTCATCCGTAGTACCCTCTCCTCTCCGTCCTATCAAGGTTAGTTTACTCTTCATCATAGTTCTCCGTCCAATCAAAAAAAGATTCTTCTCCTTTATAATTTTCAGTCCTATCAAAAGGGTAGGTTTTCCCCATAGCTCCTTCTTGGAATTTCCCTTATCCTCCCATCAGATTTTAAAGATTAAGAAATAAGAAAATTTTAATTGTATTTAGTTCTTTCAGAGTTATGAAATTAAAAATAAAATATAAAATTGTTTTTAGGTTTACTTGAGAATAGGGTTGTTGGTTGGAGCATTCCCGGCTGATGTCGGAGAAAGATATATCCATTACTTCTTCGAGTTCTGTGATGTAAACATATTTTATTTTTTATTTTATCAAATTCTACGTTACAGCGTGTGTCTCTGAAGATTTGAGAAGTAATAGGATTAATAATAATAAATTATTAAACAAGAAACTCTTTCTTGATTGATTTTGGTACACGCCATTTTCCATAGAACCTAAAAATGCGGTGGAAAATCGATGGATTCATTATATAATTATCCTCAGCTACTTTTTATTTTTTGCTAAAACTCCTTTTAAACGAATTGTGTACAATGATATCCAGAAAACAATGGAACAATTTGTAGCAATTCTGAAGAGTATTTGATGTATATGTATAGTGAAAACTGTACAACTGTTCTGTCTCAAGCTCATTGGAATTTTTAAAGTTAATACTTGATATTAAAAGAGTTTTCTGGCTATCACTGTACATATTTAATAAAAAATGTATAATTACCGATAACAAATACCTGTCAGAAAAATAAATTTACTTCAGGAAGACAAATTTTCTTAACTGATACGAAAGGTCTTTATTATTTTATTTGTAGGGTCGAACTTGGTACGTGATGTTGGTTCTATTGTTGTGGATGTTGGGAGGGGTTGGTTTAATAGTTTACTGTTTAATCAGCAGTACAACATCTACATTTATCTCTATTTTCCAGGTACACCTTGGGAACTAAAACATGTTTACTTATAAATCTATAGTTCTATTATTATTATCTAGATTAAAGCGAACCGTATTTTAGTTAGACTCTCTTAGGTTCAATTATTATTTAGAGTAAGTAAGTTCCTGCCTCTGGAGTAAAACTACTAAAGTACTATCATCCTTTAGAGTAAGACGACCTAATTTTTTTTTATCATCTAGAGAGAAGAAAAGGATAAAAGTTTTATTATTATCTAGAGTAAGACGAGCTAAGTTTATCATTATCTAGAGAGAAGAGAAAGATAAAAGTTTTATCATTATCTAGAGAGTAGAGAAAGATTAAAGTTTTATTATTATCTAGAGTAAGACGACCTAAGTTTTATCATTATCTAGAGAGTAGATAAAGATAAAAGTTGTATTATTATTATGAGTAAGACAACATAAGTTTTATTATCATCTAGAGTAAGACGACCCAAGTTTAATTATTATTCAGTCGATCCAGTGTATAGACAACGTTCGTTTTATTATAATCTTGAGTAAGACGACCTAAGGTTTTATTATTATCTAGAGTAGGACGACCTAAGGACTATTATTATTTAGAGTAAGACGACCTAATGATTATTATTATTTAGAGTAAGACAACCTAAGTTATATTACAGTGGTAGGCGTAAATATAATTACAATGAAGACGACTTTTATATTTAGAATCTGATTTCTAACAGGCTTTTATAAATCCAAGTTGACATTAAACAAAAAGAAGCTGGTTTATTGATAGCTTCTCTTTAATTCCATGTTTATGTGTACCCATGCTGTTTGAAAGCTTGGTAGACGTCTCCATTATTTTTTATTAACGACGATGAGTGTGTATTACCTAGAGTAAGACGACCTGGACCTGGATGTCAATGACCTCTACTGATCAATTGGTTCTACTCTCTATTCCAGTTGTGTCATTAATCTTCATTCCACTTCTTATAGGAACAGATATTACAGATTGCTACAAGGTACATGATGTACACAGAGTACATGATGTACACAGAGTACATGATGTACACAGAGTACATGATGTACACAGAGTACATGATAGAACAAACATGTTTTATTTTCATCATTAACATATTATACACACAAAGTTTAAATCACTTTGAAACCACTAAAATTTTACGTACTTTATTCTCTATTTTATGGATCACATCACAGACAATTGAATAATAAATACCGCTAACAGTGGTTTCATTATGGAGATTTTTAAAAGATGTGCAGACATAAAACACACAAAATTAAGTTTGATTTCATTAAGGTTTAATAAAAACGAAAGCCCAATATCAAATGTTATACATGGGGGGAAATGTAATCACTTTTGTTAACGTTACATAAGTAAGATAACTAACAGAGATAGTTAAAAGTTTTACAACCCTATCTGAAGAAACGTGAATGATTATATCTGTGTAAATATCTGACGGATTGATTAGGAATGTCTTGGAGCAGGATAAACTCTCTCAGGTCAACTTTTATTTTTTCGAAAAAGGAGAAAATACAATAAAACCGTAATAGCTGCATTATTTTAGATAAACATTACCTCCGAAAGCTTCTCTAATTCAAACTGGAAAGAGTATACAAATTGCCTTGGCAATGTTTTAATCATTTTTGAAAGATGGTCGAGCACATTTTAGAAATTTCAAGACCAGGCGTTTTCGATATTAGATGTTTAATCTGGGATACTGCAATAATTGGGTTTTATGAAAAATTGCCACATGGATCAAAGACGATATAAAAGTCATCACTGAATTCCCATGTTCATTGGGACACCCTGTAGCATAATGCGCAAGTCATGCTTCTCTAATCAGACTCCTCCCCTCCATGAAATGAGGTTTTCTTGAAAATATGTCTACATTCCCTTGAATATTACATTACACTATAAAGATGACCGAAGTTGGTCTTCCTCTCCCATTTTTCTACCAGAAATCTACTTCTCTAAACTATTCTAATATGTCATCTTGAATATCACTAATGCTCTATTATCGCTATAAATGAATGCTAATTATACGTTAAACTAAAGTAAATTGAACGTAAGATTGAAATCTTAGACGTTTTCAATCATATTTCCTTTTATTAAAGAGCTACTGAGAAGAAGAAAAATGTTTTGAATTTCTATAATAAAACCGGATGATTGTGTGCGTTAATTAAAAACTAGAGAACGAGGTCACAAAGTCGTATCAGTGATGTTGAATAAATTTTATCTTCTCCTTCTGTCTAGTTAACAGTGGATCCTAAACGCAATTAATAATTTACTATTTTAGTGAAATTTGCGAAAACTTTGTAACTAACGGATACAGGGTTGGATTTACTCCATCAAACAGAACCATGAGTGCTCTAGCTTATAGGTAATAGGTATACACGATAAACTATTTTGGTTGGGATTGGGTTCAGCCACATCAATCAAACACGATCTCCACGATCTCTACAGTGTAAACTTTTAAATGGATTTAAGTTCAATTGTGGAAATAAACCAGAAATCCACAAATAGATGAAGAAGAAGTGGTTTGAAATATTGGTTGCTGTGTCCAAGACTCAAATCAAACAGCCAGGGCCGGGATGGGAAATCGACTGAGCGCAAAATTAACAGACTTAAAATTTTAAAAGATTTACCTCTGATTTATTTTTTTTATTTGGCAAAGAAAGAAAGAAGTTTATATTGACAGAAAATCATGAATATAAAGAAACAACTAGTATAAATTCGCTACAGTCGTCTATGAAGACTCATTTATTGTGGGTAACCCCGTATTTATACAATTACAGAGTACTACAAGCATGACTACAAGTATTAATATTAATATAATTACACTGTATGTCCTGTAAAACTGTACGCTGTATTGCAGGCATTTACGGAGTGATGTAATATACAAGAATGAGTCCTTGAGCCGATCCTCTGGTGAGAGAGGAGAGGATGGAGAGTTTTATAGTAAAGTTTTAAAACTGGGTGGTTTACCTAAACGGTTGGATAGACTCATTGATGGAATCAGACATCTTCAGGTAGATTTATAATTTTCTCTTACTCATAGAACTCCCTTACTCCATTTGTCCGAACATTTTCAGTATGCTTTTCAATGTGGGGGAAATTGTCCGAGAAATATGACGTCATCATAGCAAAAGGGGACATTTGTCTGAATCTGATAAACCTGATCAATTTTTCACAAAATACTGTAAAATGTTAAGTACACTTTCGTCTCATTTCGTAGCAAGAATTAGATAAACAAGGAACCCCCATAGATATGTTTATAAAAAGAGGATATTAAAGTTTCTTTATTAAAAATAATCAAATTTTACTATACACTTATTATACTGAGTTTGTTTTTTTATTTAACATTTTTAATAGATATGATTGATAATATTATTACATTTAATCCATATTACGTCACCAGTACTTCAGCCAATGGCAGTACAGTATGCTGGTCACGTGATTTCCGTCTGTTCCACGTGACAACGATACTGCACAGTCATTGGCTGAAGTTATTGTGGCGTAATACGGACTATACGGACTATATGTAATAATATTATCAACTATATTTATTAAAAATGCAAAATCAAAATTAAAAAATTATAAAAGGAGCAAAAATGAGATTCTCAGGCTCCTGTGGGATATAATCGTTTTCAGATTGGTTGCGTAGTTGTTGTTTAATACTACAACTTTTATACAAAATTGTATATATATATATGAATTTTCGTATAAATTTGACAAAGTTTTATATCAATTTCTCAAGACAGGAACATCAGATAGAAGTCTTATATGTATCATTCAACGCCTGAGATTCTCAGGTTTCGTCCTATACCCCTTTTCATTTTTCCTATTTAGTCCCTTTCAATTGGTCTTTAAAAAAATCGGAGGACGAGGTTAACAAAACAAAGATTTTTAAATTCAAAATTCCGAGGATCCTTTTGTAAAACTATAGGAGGGCGGCGTTGATTGATTGACTGTAAGTCTGTTGATAAATAGATAGGTAGACTTGATTGACTGTAAGTCGGTTGATAAATAGATAGGTAGACTTGATTGACTGTAAGTCGGTTAGGCTCCTCAACTCAGAGGTTTTGATGGTGTAGTTAAAAACATTTTGAAATACTTCAGAAATGTAAACCCGTTTAAGTGGAATTTACTATGGATAGCAAAGTTACTTATGGATTAATAAAACGTTTCACTGTTTCGATTTTCCTTTGTCGGGGTAGAGAGGTAGAGTCGGAGAAATTGTTTGGTTTAGATTTGGGACTGGTAAAGACGACATTACGTGAGGGTGGGGATTAGAAGAACCTTTGATTATGTTCATCATGGATTGAGTGTAGAAACAAGAATACCAACCACAAACTATCAGAAGAAAAGATCATAGGAAAAGAGAGGGATATAAATGTTGTCTAAAAAATAGAATAAAAGAGAACAAGGATAAAAGAGAGAGAAATTAAAATGTGTTTATGAATGTCGTCTTCTACAAAACAGAAAAAGGTGGAAGAAAAGGATTAAAGTAAAAAATGAGTGAACGGATCGAAAAAGAAGGTTAAAATAGAACCAACACCAAAGTGAGGTTTGTGAGTGCCGTATTCTTTAATATAGAGTAAGAAGGAGAGGGTGGAACTGGAAGAGAAGGATAAGGATAAAAAATAAAGTTGTGAGCGACGTTAATGAAGGAAAGAATTTAAAAAAAAATAAAGAGAATACATAAACTTAACCAACATTTCGACCCTTGTTCTGGTTTAATAGTTTTACTTGAAACTGTGATACTATACGGAAGAACTAGTCTTTTTCTCTTCCAATTGAAATTTATTTTGGTATTTTTCTTATGCGTCTCACTGAAGTTTACAGGTGCAGACTGCAGACATCTTTAAATGCTGCGTCTTGGAATAATCATTTTTAGTTTCATCAATGTTAGTTAGATAAGTGTTAAGCACTCTCTTTATTAAAGGGTTAGTTGAAAATTCGTTGATTAAATTTACAATATCTTTAATTTTAAAAAGGTTGTGTACGGACCCCTTCTCTTCTATGAGTTTATCCTGTACATCTATCTCCTGATCTGTGTAGTCTACATGTCCTTCGCGATCATCATCAATTCATTCAAGGCAAACACACAACAAACATTTCCTCCTTGGTAAGTAAATACACAACAAACATTTCCACCTTAATTAGTTAACTCACAACAAATATTCCCACTTTAATAAGCAGACTCACAACAAATATTCCAACCTTGATGAGTAAACACACAACAAACATTCTCTCCTCGGTGAGTAATCACACAACAAACATTCCCACATTGGTGAGTAAACACAAACAACAAACATTCCCTCTTTGTTGAGTAAACACACATCAAACATTCCTACCTTGTTGAGTAAACACACAAAAAATATTCCCACCTTGTTGAGTAAACTCACAACAAATATTCCCTCCTTGGTGAGTAATCACACAACAACCATTCCCAGCTTGTTGAGTAATCACACGATAAGCATTCCCACCTTGGTGAGTAAACTCACAACAAATATTTCCACCTGGCCTTGGTGAGTAAACAAACAACAAACATTACCACCTTAAGTAGTAAACCCACAAAAAATATTCCCTCCTTGGTGAGTAAACACACAACAAACATTCCCACCTTAATTAGTAAACTCACAACAAATATTCCCTCCTTGGTGAGTAAACACAAAACAAACATTCCCACCTTAATTAGTAAACACACAACAAATATTCCCTCCTTGGTGAGTAAACAAACAACAAACATATGTTTTAGGTGGATATCAGGCTACCTAATACTGAGTATCCATCTATATATATGTTTAGGTGGATATTAGACTACCTAATACTGAGTATTCATCTATATATGTTTAGGTGGATATTAGGCTACCTAATACTGAGTATCCATCTATATATGTTTAGGTGGATACTAGGCTACCTAATACTGAGTATCCATCTATAAATGTTTAGGTGGATATTAGTCTACAATACTGAGTATCCATCTCTGTATGTTTAGGTGGATATTAGGCTACCTAATACTGAGTATCCATCACTACATGAGATTATCTATGTTCTGCCATGCTGGAGACCATCTTAGGAAAACAAATAAAAATAAAGAATAAATATACCCCATCATGCAATTATAACTTTCGTTAAAAGTATTTTATATTTTTTTAAATATTTTATCCTTTTTCTTAACGCATGTTTACAAGACGCAAAATTAAGTTTTGTTGTCAATTCGTTTCCAATAAAAAATTTTTTTCTTTCTTTTTTTTAAATCGTATTAGAAAACTTTTGTTGCTATATTCTAATGTAAATATAATACTTTTGAAAGCATGACAGTAATAAATAAACTTAAAGAAGACATTTTGTTCCCCTTTTTTCATTATTTGTGGAACTAGACGTGAACTGTTCAAAACCTTGACATTAATCAGTCAGTTTGGGTTCGTACAGAACGATACTGCTCTACTAGCACTGGCCATTGCTCGCAAGTAAGTGTAAATATATAAATATGTATTCATTTATCTATATAATAAAGCTCTTCGCTATAGCAGGCCAAAAGGCAGGTTCAATTTGGCTGACATTGTTTAGGGAACCCATAGATACCCCACGGGTGAAATGGGCTTCAAACTTTTAATTTTTTAAATTCCAGGGGCAACGCCATGGGCACTTCAGCAAAAATCATGATTTAAGAGTAAGACCAAGCGCGGGTAAACGGTGGAAGTACCTATGAGTAACCTGGGCAACGTCCGGCACTTTAGCTAGTATTTTATCAAAATACTTTTTTACTTTAAGCAAAAGACAGTCATACATATATTAGTTAGTGCTTTATCTTTAAAAAATTGATGAAGTTTTCTAAAATTTTGAAAAAAAACCTATTTATGATTTTAGACTACTAATAAGGGGTTAGGTCAAGATAGGAAAACTTCTATGCCAAGCGCCGCAGCTAGGACAGCTAAAGGAAGAGAGCATTTGGCCATAGATTAAAAATTAAAGGAGAAAAGATGTGTGCGTAGGGAAGGGGATGTTCGTCAGGAAAACGTTACATTCAGCTGTGTGCAGTGTTAGTTACGTTTCTCCCAATTTTAAATTTTTCTGATTAAATTAAACTTTTAACAATAAAACTATTTTTGTGTTTAGACCAGATCAGCTACTGACTGTAGGAGGATACTGTAGGTTGGATAGAACTTGTCTCAGTAAACTCCTATTTCTAGTTCTCCTGGCTGTTATTGCAATCTCAAACTTTAAGCTTTATGAGTTTAAAACTCTTTAAAAAAAAAACAATTTAAAACAGTAATTTTCAACAATAGATTTAAAATACAAAAGTATAAAAGATTTTTATCATACTTGGTTTGCTCTGTGTTCAGATTCTATAGCATATTGCATAATGAGAGGGTTGGATGTAGTTTAATATCGTTCTAGCATTCTCATGTTTATGAGTACTTTTTTATATGTGACAAAAACCACTGAGATTTATGATTTTTGGAAATTCAATTTTTAAGGAATAAATAGTTAATAAATAAAATGATGAGGAGAGTTTAAAAAAAAATTAAAACTTTCAAGTAAAAGAATCATTTCTTTCAAATTACGATATTTATATATATTATAGTATATAATAAAGCTCTTTGCTCAACGGCTGAATAAAAAAGCGTAATTAAAAAAAATTATATGCTTTTAATTCGATTCTTTTTTATTCCACGGTCAACGCCGGGTACTTTAACTAGTATCGCTCGTATCTATTAAATAAATATATGTTGTTCTTTGGTAATTTGTAATTGTGGTCCTGTACTTTACTAATCAATATATATCTAGCTTGCCTATCTGTTTCTTTGTTTATATCCAATAAACGTCAAAACGGCTGAGCCGATCTGGCAAAACTGTTTTACGGCAGTTTAATAGTCAGTCTTTGACTAATTTTGTCTGGGAAAAAGGCCAATATTGATAATTTTTAAAACACCAATTTAAACAGAAAATTCCGCAAAATTTTTTTTAATCTCCGGAGAAAAAGGTGACTTACAGATTTTAAAAAAAATTGTTGATACCTTCATAAATCTTTGAAACAATGAATAGAAAAGAAATCTTCTGACCAATGTGTCCGACCTAACCTTATTCAAAGCTTAAATAGCCTGCAGACATTATTTCAAGAGCCATTTACCAGATTAAAAACTTTGATATATAATTTCTCATTTTGATGTCACAAAATTTCACAACCCTATATTTGATGGCACTGTAATGTTAGTAATTTTATTAATTTTTGTGCAATGTTACTAAAAACTTTAAATATGTTTCAATACTGAAATCATGAAAAATTTAATTCTTAAGATAGGAAAGGGTCATAATCAATTACTTACGTAGTGTTGGTTAAAACTTAAAATCCGCAGTAAACTTTTAAGTTGGTCTTAAGAAAAGGGGGAACAAAAGATACTCTTAACCCCCCCCCCCTTTTCCGAAAGGGGGGTCTTCGATCAATTGACCCACCTCCAGTATCCGTGGACAAAGATCCCTCCAGGGCGTATAGGAATTTGTCCAGGGGCTTAAAATTGGACTTTTTATGTTCGACATCGGCATGTCGGAGACTAAATGTTTGCAGAGGCACCTCCTGTGTAGCATATACGCCTATCTGATACCTCCCCTAAAAAAAACAATTATACACATATATATATATATATATGATAAATGTAATTAAGAATTTCTATTTATATGCGCCTGCCGAGTCTGCCCGAATATCCCTAATGCTTGAAAAAGAAAGCAGGCACGGATCGATACCTTGTGACGTAATACGCTTGAAAATATGTACGCATGCGTCAAAACTGCGTCGTATTTTAGGGTGTATCAAAACTTAACACTTAATAGCGCCAAAAATATAATTAAACAAATAAATGAATCTAAATTTTTAATGTGATTTGTAAGTTATTCCTTTAATTTACGATCTTAAAAAAAAAAAATTTTATTTTGGGCGCGCCCATTGCTTTGTTATGACAGCTCCAGCTCTTGCGGAGTTGCGCAGAACTATTAGTTGTGTTTACACTGGGAATATTGACGGACAATTCTTTGCGTAAAGGTAAACAAACCCTTGGATTTTCCTGCAGTACACACTCATATACGCATTGTACAATACATTTTTGTTTACAGAAAAGTTAGTGAAATTATCCGACAATTTTAAACATCAATTTTATAGTGTTTACTGCGTAGGAGTACAAGATTTAGGGTATTACGCAGTTATATACGATATGCAATATATGACGCTTCTTGCGGCATCATTGTTTGCGGGGTAATATTGGCAATGCAATCATCAAACCTGGGTGTATTAGTGAATTATGAGAGCTACATAAAAGTAAAACAACTCTTTTTTAACGATCATAACATAGAGAAAGAGTAACTATACAATATACTGCAATGCAAAATATAATACAGGTTGAAAGGATGAGACTGTAAAGACGACTGGAAACCAAGGGCGTATGCATGGGGGGGCAAGGGGGTAGTGACCCCCCTAGACCTGTTAAGGGGGGGGCGTAGCCTGATCGTCTAGAAGCCAAACATTTTGAATTTACAGTTCAAATTTTGCCCCCACCTTGGAGCTTCTAAGGGGGGGCAAAGGAAAAATTTTTGCCCCCCCCCCCCTTAGATTTTATTTTGTATATGCCCTTGCTTGAAACTCTCAAAATAAGACGATTTCTAGGTTGAATTAAATCCTTTGCCTTGAACATAGTCTATTATAACGGCTTATTTAATGCCTTGGCAAGCCTGTTTACAGTGGCAGGGAGTTAGAAATATAAGGAATGCAGACAGTGTAAATTTCATACAATCGTCTCCGAAGTTTCATCCTTTGTGGTAAACCCTGTACCTACATATATTGAGTTAACATAAGAAAAGATTTAAACCATATAAAGTATAATCTATTTGTATTTATTTTAGTTTGCATAATTAGTTAAGAAGACTCAAGATGTCCGGAATGTTATGGGAAGCAGACAAGCAGCCGAATATCTGCGAAGCAGCTTCAGGATTCACCTTCTCTACCATCAATCTACTGATCGCTATCCCTATGTTCCTCTTGGATCTTGTGATCACCACTCTCTCATCCATCCTCTCCCTTACCTACCTCGCCCTCAACCCCCTGCTGGAGTACAGTCTGGAGTTCCTGGGAGTTGTGTGTGAACTTCTGGGAATAGATTCAGTTCCCTCGAACTTGAGTATAGTTATGAGCCTGCTAGCCTGTGGTCTGGTGTATAGAGTATACCAGGAGGTTGGACCTAGTTCCGGGGGCTCCTGGCAGCAGGTTCTCAGTAAACTTATCTACTATTCAACCTGTGTTCTCTGGTTTATGACGGTACTCCAGGTCACAAGGTTTGAAGCTGCATCTTCTCCAGAGTTGATTTATATTTATTTCGCTGTATCTGCTGCCTCTGAGATGTTGAATCTCTTCTTCAAGGAGTTAAATATGTTCAGGCATGATGTGAACAAGAGTGAGGTTCAGGTCTCGGGAGAGAAGTACGCCGACATGATCAAATATGAAAGCTTTTGGTTTCTACTTCTCTCTGCGTTTGGAGTTCCAACCTTAACCCAGGAGGATTCTGCTTCTCAATATATTTTCCTAGTTCCGGTTTTAGCTTTTGTTCTTATGCTCCGGGATGTTCAGAAAGCTGCTCCCCAACAACCTACTATGAATGGAGCTACTGTTAAAGAAACAGTTCTTGATAATGTGTCCGAACCAGTTGAACCGATTGAAGTAGAGAAACCAGTAGAAGAACCTAAAGCTGAAACTATTATTGAAGAACCAGCAGCCAAAGAGTTTGATACAGCAGCAGAGACTGAAACTGAACCTGAACCTGTCATTCCAGTTGTTCCTAGTGCAGAACCCGAGGAACCTGCTGCTGATGCCCCAGATTCTATGAATGTAACTAAAGTTGAAGCAAAGGATGATCTTGTTGTTGCTAAACTGGTTTGTATGCTGACCAGCCTGGTCGGAAACCTGGTGAACAAGGTTAAAGTTGTGTTCAACCCTGTCATGAACCTGACAGTGAAGTGTGTTGGTATTGTGAGTAATCTACCCTGGTGTGCATGCATAACCACGACCATTAACAATGGCTCATTCATCCTCGCTGCCCTCGCCTGGTTCCAGATGACAGGGAACCAGCTCTCTCTTCTCCTCCCTCTCCTCTCCCTCATACTACCCGCCCTTATAGAGCAGGTTGGAACCAGGATACCATCTCCTTACAGGTAATTCATCAATATTATAGTTCAGAGGGTTTGCTACGTCAATTATATCATCGCATTTAAACTTACATTCCACTTAGCTCAACTTAATAAATTACATTTTGATACCATCTGCTTACTTTGATTTTTTTAACCACTACGTTTAAAACATTTAAATTTTACAAGTTAAAACAGTATAAATAATAATGAAGCTGTAACGAAAATATAATTTTTAAATCACTTTTCCAATTTATCAAATATTTTAAAATATTTAGTAAATGTATTATTTCATTATTAATAAATACGTAAATTGATTTTATTTCTATTTCAGAGGATTGGCAAAAGAAGTTGTTTTCGCTGGAACAGTTCTAACAGAGTACGCTCTCGTCACAGGGAGTTTAATCCTCTAATGTGGAAAAATCTGTACAGGGAGTTTAATCCTCTAACATGGAATATTCTGTACAGGGAGTTTAATCCTCTAACATGGAATATTCTGTACAGGGAGCTTAATCCTCTAACATGGAATATTCTGTACAGGGAGTATAATCCTCTAAATATGGAATATTCTGTACAAAGAGTTTAATCCTCTAACATGGAATAGTCTGTACAAGGAGTTTAATCCTCTGAACATGGAATATTCTGTACAGGGAGTATAATCCTCTAAATATGGAATATTCTGTACATGGAGTTTAATCCTCTAAATATGGAATATTCTGTACAGGGAGTTTAATCCTCTAAATATGGAATATTCTGTACAGGGAGTTTAATCTTCTAACATGGAATATTCTGTACAGGGAGTTTAATCCTCAAAATATGGAATATTCTGTACAAGGAGTTTAATCCTCTGAACCTGAAAAACTTTAAACAAAGAGTTTAATTTTGTTTTAAAAACTCTAATGACAAGGAGAAATTTTTGAGTCTGCTACAATTCTCTATTGCTCTAAAGTCTTAGACTGCATCTGTATCAAAGTACAAAAATTATCTAATCAAAATATATTTACCCATTGATTGACATTATGTATAGTTGAAAATATCTTAGAAAATCGCAAACTAACTTAAGTAATGAAATCTGAAAATAAAATTTAATTTCAGATCAAATTCTCCGAAAGTATTGCGATATTTTTCTATGATGTTCCAATTATGTAACGGCTTTAAATGCCTTTTATGCTATCAGTACCTTCACCTAATAAGATGAATCTACTTCTGTAGAAAACCAAATACGTCTTTCTCTAAACAATTATCAGTTATGACAAAGAATATTAATTATTTTCAAGATTTATTCAAAATTTTTTTAGTTCATATAATTTGTTCACAAACATTGATAATGAATATTCTTCATGATTTTTTAATTCTCCTGCCAAAAAGTAACAAATATTTTTAGATCTCTTATCTTCTAATAATCTCTGAAAGTACAAAGTAAAGTCTAACCATTAAACCAAAGTATGTTTTGAAACACTACAAAGTATGCAACAAAAAGTACAAATTTTTCATCGTATATAAAAAATGTATTAAAAATGCTCAGTTTCTTGTTTATAGTTTTCAAAAAAGTTAAATGTAGTCTAGTATTTTGAGATCTATCACATTTTTTTTTAAATCAACTCATATCAAGATGAGTTTATTTCAATCTTTGACTTTTTTTATTAATGAAAGTCCGCAGGATTTATGTTATTCATGATAGTTGTTACTCCATAAGTGTGTTTGTCAAGATGATTGAAATTAGGTCAGAATAGTTCAGTTTAGGTCAGAATAGTCCAGGTTAGGTCAGAATAGTTCAGTTTAGGTCAGAATAGTTCAGGTTAGGTCAGAATAGTTCAGGTTAGGTCAGAATAGTTCAGGCTAGGTCACGAAAAAAAAGTTCAGGTTAGACCATGTTAGAAGAGAAACGTGCTGACTGCTGATCAAATGGAAAAGATAGGGATAGATATTGTTGGTTTGCTAAAAATTAAGCATAGCATAAATTTCTGCGATACATCTTAATTCTCATTAAATATTGTATGAATTTTTTTAAATAAACGATTTTTAAAAAGCACAAACGATTAAAATATTTTAGCGTGTAAGGATTGGAGAACTGTTTTTTAATTATTTACAACTACTTTACAGGGAAGTTAAGGGAACCCATGGCTAAGTCAAATTTTTATATTCCCGAAAAAGTAGTTGAACACAATTTTATCGTTTTTGAGATGAAAATGCAAGAATTTTTTGAAAAAAACTTCGCAGAGCGGGTCGTTATTTTACTTAATTGTCCCAAGGTACGTAATGTAACCTAACATCCCTCTGATGGGGGAATCATAGGTCGGGTATGTTGGTATAAAGGTGGTAAAATTAAATAAAAAGCCATTTTAAAAGAACAAGTGAGCGTGAAATTTTTAAATTGACTTTACTTAAGTTGACTTGAAATGACGTCGGTAAGATTTTTTTCTTTGCCGTTATTGTGCTTTAACTGTTACCGGAGCAATTAAGAATTTCGTTAATGTTTTTTATATATTATTTGAAACCAAAATTGTTGAAATCTGAACACAAATTCTTTAGATCTCCCTCAACGTCGAAAACACAAGAAAAGACAGATCACTTTTTGGAATGGCCAGAAAAAAAACTAAGGGTATTTTGTGATTATTAATTCAAGAATTTTACTCCTAATAAAGGTATTACGAATTACAGCCGAAATGTATTTCAACGATCAAAGACGAAATTCAAGTCGTCTTTAAACAGTGATGTTTCGTAGGACACCCTGTTTCTTCTTATTTTGATATTAATGTGTTATTACTGTTAAATTCTGAACTGCAATTTGTTGTTTTTTCAATTTAAAGATTAAGAGTTAAGATATAAAACACAATAGGCCAAAGAAATTAACAATTAGCTCGTTAATTAGTTTTATTTCATTTCATTTATTAATCATAATAATTAACTATAAATTACTTCGAATCCTTTAAATAAAAAGACATGAATAATAAATGGTTTGAACACTTTTAATTGAAAGTTTAAAACCTGGACTACCAAATATATACATCAACCTCTAACATACACACGTAACAGGATTATATAGAAACTAGAAAGTCTAGTATTCATGTAACCCTGGATCCATGTTACCATGACCTGGACACCTTGGAAATCAAAACATTAGATCATCAAACCAAACCTTTAGCTTTCAGTAATTCGTTTTACATGAAGTAGGATATATTATGTAAACCCATACTTAGAAATAATTATTTATTTTTCATTAAATTAAACATAAAACTCAACTTAAAGCTTACAGTTTTTATTCAACCAAAAACTTATCTTGAAAGAAACTCGAGTTGATTTATCTAAAAGATATATGATACAATAATCTTTATCTTCTAACTAACTCCGGTGTTTTCATCCAGACAGGACCAAATTTTACAGACAGAATTATTGCAACCCAAACCTAATCATCTGGTTTTAATCCAACCAAAACCTAATTCTTTAATTTTTATCCATGCTCAAACTTAATCCTATACCTTCAATCAAACCAAAACCTTGGATTTTAATCGTTTGGTTTTAATCCGACCCAAACCAAATCTTTTGGTTTGATCCAACCCAAACCTAATCCTTTGATTTTTATCCAACCCAAACCTAATCCTTTAGTTTGTATCTAACCCAAACCTAATCCTTTGGTTTGATCCAACCCAAATCTAAACCTTTGGTTTGTATCTAACCCAAACCTAATCATTTGGTTTGATAAAACCCAATCCTAATCCTTTAGTTTGTATCTAACCCAAACCTAATCCTTTGGTTTGATCCAACCTAAACCTAATCCTTTGGTTTTGATCCAAACTAAACCTAATCTTTAAGTTTTAACCGACCCAAACCTAATCCTTTGGTTTTTATCAAACCAAACCCCAATCCTTTGGTGTTGATCCAACTCAAACCTAATCTTTTGGGATTTATTCAACCAAACAAATCACCATCGGGTTTCTTCAGACATAAACAAAATAGCTTTTCTTATCATTATTTTAGTTAGAAAATGTTAAGAATTCTATGGTTAGTAGTTGTTCTGAGTTTAATGGGAATTATCCGTGGAAAGCCCCCGGACCAGAGTATGGTAAAAATTAGAAAACTATAGTTTCTGATCTAATGTAATAATCTTAATAATGTCGGTTTTAAGAAATAGATTTTATGATTACATTAACTTGGCCCAGTTTTTGTTCGTAAATAAAGGAATTGATTAATCTTCTAATAAATCATACTTTAATTTTCTTATCGTTTCTATCCTGGTGCTTTAGACCTTTGATAACTCAAACGTTGTATTCTGTATCAAATAATGGGCAAATTTAGGAAAAAAGGAAAATTAAAGTTTGATCTCGATATCCACAATAGATAAGTTTCCAGCTCAGCTCCTTTAAAGCGTTAAAAGCTTGAATAACTTTTAAAGAATTAACAAAAAAATATTGGGCTAAAAGAAATTTCGAACCAATAACATTCCCGACCTGTTGGATCAACTCCTGATATTTATATTCTAGGTTTCTCCGACCTGTTGGATCAACTCCTGATATATATATTCTAGGTTTCCCTGACCTGTTGGATGAACTCCTGATATTTATATTCTAGGATTCCCTGACCTGTTGCATGAACTCCTGATATTTATATTCTAGGATTCCCCGACCTATTGGATGAACTCCTGATATTTATATTCTAGGTTTCCCCGACCTGTGAACTCCTGATATTTATATTCTAGGTTTCCCCGACCTGTTGCATGAACTCCTGATATTTATATTCTAGGTTTCCCCGACCTATTGGATGAACTCCTGATATTTATATTCTAGGTTTCCCCGACCTGTTGGATGAACTCCTGATATTTATATTCTAGGATTCCCCGACCTATTGGATGAACTCCTGATATTTATATTCTAGGTTTCTCCGACCTGTTGGATGAACTCCTAATATTTATATTCTAGGTTTCCCCGACCTGTTGGATGAACTCCTGGTATTTATATTCTAGGTTTCCCCGACCTGTTGGATAAACTTCTGATATAATTATATTCTAGATTTCCCCGACCTATTGGATGAACTCCTAATATTTATATTCTAGGTTTCCCCTACCTAATGGATGAACTCTTGATATTCATTTTCTAGGTTTCCCCGACCTATTGGATGAACTCCTGATATTTATATTCTAGGTTTCCCCGACCTGTTGGATGAACTCCTGATATTTATATTCTAGGTTTCCCCGACTTGTTGGACGAACTCCTGATATTCATGTTCTAGGTTTCCCCGACCTATTGGGTGAACTCCTGATATTTATATTCTAGGTTTCCCCGACCTGTTGGATGAACTCCTGATATTCATGTTCTAGGTTTCCCCGACCTATTGGGTGAACTCCTGATATTTATATTCTAGGTTTCCCTGACCTGTTGGATTAACTTCTGATAATCATTTTCTAGGTTTCCCCGACCTGTTGGATGAACTCCTAATATTTATATTCTAGGTTTCCCCGACCTATTGGATGAACTCCTGATATTTATATTCTAGGATTCCCTGACCTGTTGCATGAACTCCTGATATATATATTCTAGGTTTCCCCGACCTGTTGGATGAACTCCTGTATTCATATTCTAGGCTTCCCCGACCTATTGGATGAACTCCTGATATTTGTATTCTAGGTTTCCCCGACCTGTTGCATGAACTCCTGGTATTTATATTCTAGGTTTCCCCGACCTGTTGGATGAACTCCTATTGGATGAACTCCTGATATTTATATTCTAGGTTTCCCCGACCTGCTGGATGAACTCCGGATATTTATATTCTAGGTATCCCCAACCAGTTGCATGAACTCCTTATATTTATATTCTAGGTTTCCCCGACCTGTTGGAAGAACTCCTGATATTTATATTCTAGGTTCCCCTGACCTGTTGGATGAACTCCTGATATTTATATTCTAGGTTTCCCCGACCTGTTGGATGAACTCCTCATATTCATTTTCTAGGCTTCCCCGACCTGTTGGATCAACTCCTGATATTTATATTCTAGGTTTCCCCGACCTGTTGGATGAACTCCTGATATTTATATTCTAGGTTTCCCCGACCTGTTGGATGAACTCCTATTGGATGAACTCTTGATATTTATATTCTAGGTTTCCCCGACCTGTTGGATGAACTCCTATCCTGATAATACATGCATGTGTTTCCTTGACCACTGTCTACAAGTTGCAAGGTTCGTAAAGTGGTTGTCAGAATAATGTGGAATATCAGGTGTATCTGAAATCAATTAACTACTTCCATAGCAAATATTTGTGTGCTTTTAATAACGAAAATGCCCTTTTTCTAAAAATAACTAGGGATCAGAAAGACGAGATTTAAGTGTTTTTGAGAATGTTTTAAAGCAAATAATTTGACCAATTTTAGCTTTAAAACCAACTTAGTGAAATAGGGCCTGTGTACACTGCACAACTTGTGTCTAACAGTCGTCTTCCCATTCAACTGTTAAATGGGTCCCACTGACGGTATTTTAAGAAAATTTGACGCTATTTAGAATGCTTTATGGAGAAGAAAATGGGTTTCCAGAACTATCTACAGAAGCACCATCTGCTACTACAGTAAGAACCGGAAAACAGTGGAATCCCCGTCGTCTTCTTTTTCTTTTAATTGTTAAATGTTTCTAAGAGTTTCGAAATTTGCAAATTCTAAACCATTGCCTTGAACATTTTTGAAGATAAATCAGCTGCAATAAATGCGAACTACGAAAAAAGTGAATGAAAGAACAGTTTTCTGGTTCTCATTAATTTGAATTTTCGGAGAGTAATTGACATCCCTTTGGAAAGAACTGGCTTCTCCTTTTAATATGGACCTGCAAGAATAAATGTATCGATTAGCGGGATTTTATGGGAATTGTTGCATACCAGAAAGCAAGCCTTTTATTAAGAAATATTCTACTCAGAGACCGATTACTTTACCAAAAAAACTCATGATATCTTTAGAGAAAATAATCAAGTGACTGATCCACAAATTGCACTTTTCAAAATGTACATTATAATATACAAAGTGTCCAAAAAAACATGGTAATCAAAAAGAGATGACTACAGGTCTTTGTTTTCGATTTGATCTGTTAACCTAACAAATACCAACCCTACTCTCTATCACTAGAATTACACCATTTTCTTCTCAATATATTTCGCCAAAAACTTTGGCATCATCAGGAGTTCGTCCTATAATATTACAATATATAAGCGAAAAAAAAAATTTACAATAAATATATAAAATAAATAATAAAAACAATACAACTTCAATAAACAAAGCACAGTACAAGAATTATTTTAATCTTTACAATAAGGAATTTTTCGAAATCAATAATGTCAAAACACATAAAACTTAAAATGACAAGAAAAAAACTAGAAAACCGTACCTTACTCGTTTGGAGAGTATTGAATGTCTGGAAAGGGATTGACTAGTTAATGGGCGTATGCGGTGGGGTGGGGGGAGTGGGTGTTGAAGGGGGTAGAATTCGTCCACAAAATTGTCAAATACTTGAATTCTATCAACACTGTAAGGTACTGTTGGTAATACATAAAAATACAGATTAAAACAAACATGATTAATTTTTTTTGAAGATTGCAATTAGCATTATGTTTTCTTGTTCAGTCCTGATCTCACTGAGTTGAATTTCTGGATGTAATGTAGTATGATTCCCTGACTTTGCTGACCATGCTGTCCCTGGACCTGATCTTCTCTATGGGAATGAAGGATACATCTGCATAGGAGTGGCCAGGGGCATGAAAGTAAACACCTACAGGGGCGTGGGTATTTTTGTCCTAGCTGTGTAAGGGTGCCTTTGTGACCCCTCAGCCTTTCTTTAGCCTCCTTCCCTGTCTCTCATATATATTGTGGATGGGTAGGACAAACTCGGCGTCCTCTCCTACATGTAATCATATATAGCATATTTGAGGAGGAGCAGGTCAGCTTATCCTTAATCCTCATCTTTTCTCCAGTAGCAGAGCTTAACCACCTCTTCAACAGTATTCTCTTCCATCTGTTCACATACTGGGCAGCGAGATTTATTACAGGGTTTAAACCCAACCTTATCTCTTCTTTCCCTTGTGAATCTCTGTCTTCCTGGAAGTTTAGACTTAACCTAGAGATCCTTTAAATTCTCCACTCTCTGGTAGCATACCATAGGAGAAGAGGCTGAAGAGGATGATCTTAGTGTTTCAGAACACCTAGGCAGTCTAGGGTCATATTTGACAATAAACCTGGTTCTATCATTCTCTGCTCTGCTGTTAAAAGTATTAAGTAAACCTCTAATGTACATAACGGTTTAAAAATATAAGATTTTAACAGCTATCTATGTCAGGAAAACAACAAAGTAGTTGCACCCCCCCCCCCCGGTCAGCTTCAGAAACAATATAAAAGAACATTCCTAAAAGTTGCCAGTCAAAAAAAGAGATTGGATACAAAATACCTATTGTCAAAACACCTAATATCAAAACACATTTAAGGCACAATACACCTAATGATACATTTGAAAATCTGCTCTTGGGAAATCACAATTTTAACTTGGAACAATATATACAAATATGTATAATGTTCCACTAATATATAAAAACACAATTTCCAAAACGAACCTTTTTATATTACTAATATTTGGCAGATGGCCGAGGATGAATCTACAATTGATTTGGAAGAAATATTTCGAATAATGTTTTCCAACGGTCCTGACACAGGTCAACAAATTTATATTTTTAAAACAAACACAATGGTCCTCAAAATTTATTTTATTTTATTATAGATCCTCCGACAGGTTCAACAGATTCAGCAGGTTTAACAGATTCAGCAGGTTTAACAGATTCAGCAGGTTCAACAGATTCAGCAGGTTCAACATATTCAGCAGGTTCAACAGATTCAGGAGGTTCAACAGATTCCGCAGCTTCAACAGATACAGCAGGTTCAATAGATTTGGCAGGTTCAACAGATTCAGCAGGTACAGCAGATTCTGCAGGTTTAACAGGTTCCGCAGGTTCAACAGATTCAGCAGGTTCAACAGATTCAGCAGGTTCAACAGATTCAGAATCAGATGCAACTGTCTTTGCTGATTCGGATTATTCAACAGATTCTTCTGCTTCAACAGATATATCCGATTCAACAGGTTCAGTAGGTTCGTCTGATTTAACAGGTTCAACAGATTCAGTAGGTTCATCCGATTCGGCAAGTTCAACAAATTCAGCAGGTTCAACAGATTCAACAGGTTCAACAGATTCAGCAGGTTCAACAGATTCAGCAGGTTCAACAGATTCACAGTATCAGCAGGTTCAACAGATTCAGCAGGTTCAACAGATTCAGCAGGTTCAACAGATTCAGCAGGTTCAACAGATTCAGCAGGTTCAACAGATTCAGCAGGTTCAACAGATTCAGCAGGTTCAACAGATTCAGCAGGTTCAACAGTATCAGCAGGTTCAACAGATTCAGCAGGTTCAACAGATTCAGCAGGTTCATCTGATTCATCAGGTTTAACAGATTCAGCAGGTTCAACAGATTCAGCAGGTTCAACAGATTCAACAGGTTCATCTGATTCATCAGGTTTAACAGATTCAGCAGGTTCATCTGATTCAACAGATTCTGGTGGTTCGGTGAATTCAGGGGATTTGTCAACGGTTTCCACAACTAACCCAGCTGAAGAGGAAACCAACCCAACCACAGAAAATATAATGATATTAGTTCCAACAACGTTCAGTAAAGTTGGTCCTTTTGGGGTTCAGATAACTGATAACAAAGTGGGACTATGTGATTGCAGGTATAATAAAAAAATAAAAATAAAAATAAAAACAACAAGAGAAGGTTAAAGTTAAGGATAAAAAAAATTGGTTATGTCCCATAGTTCTTCTCTAATATAAGTTAAATATAAGCTTTTAAAATTTTACAATTTAAAAGATTAAAGGAATCTCATGACACGTACTTGAAAAACCTTTTGACAAATGTTACATATACGTTATATAATCCATAAAATGATATAAATAAATGGTTACCTACAAAGGATGATACTTTGGAGAATTTATTTAATCTTTTTGTTTGCTTGAAAGGTTTCATGCACCTGTTAACGTTTTGTTGTCAAATCATTTAGTTTCCCCTTTAAAATAGTATATAATAAATATCGTCATTTAAACCTCATCCTTTGTGGGTAACCCTGTTTGTGGTGTATGCAAACTACTTCATTTTTCTTTATCAGACATTATTTTGAAAAGAAAAGGGGAAAATCGCAATATTTTAAAATTTAAAAGTATGTATGTTTAAAGTTTCAGGGTAGATTATTTTTTATCCTTTATCCTAAAGTGTCTCTTTTCAAGTGGAGATATAATGTTTACAGATTTTTAAAGGAATTTTATGGAACTATCTAGCGTTCTATTGTTTGCAATAAGAATTCAATCTTTAAAAAAGAAGCTATTTTTCCAGCATTATGCGATGACACTTTCTATTTAATATTTTTATAAGGAGTTTTCCATCGTCTATGCCCAACATTCTGTTTAGTTACATTATTAATTTTTTACAAAGATCTGAACTGCCAGAACAGCTGAAGGTTAAACTGATGATAGATATGCTCTGTACCCCACTATACGGAGATCAAAGGACAGGTAAATAGAAAAGCTGAAGGGTAAACTGATAATAGATATGCTCTGGATCCCGCTATACGGAGATCAAAGGACAGGTAAAAAGAACAGCTGAAAGGTAAACTGATGATAGAAATTATGTACGGAGGTAAATAGAACAGCTGAAGGTTAAACTGATGATAGATATGCTCTGGATCCCGTTATACGGAGATCAAAGGACAGGTAAATAGAACAGCTGAAGGGTAAACTGATGATAGATATGCTCTGAACCCCACTATACGGAGATCAAAGGACAGGTAAATAGAACAGCTGAAGGTTAAACTGATGATAGATATGCTCTGAACCCCACTATACGGAGATCAAAGGACAGGTAAATAGAACAGCTGAAGGTTAAACTGATGATAGATATAATCTGAACCCCACTATACGGAGATCAAAGGACAGGTAAATAGAACAGCTGAAGGTTAAACTGATGATAGATATGCTCTGGACCCCACTATACGGAGATCAAAGGACAGGTAAATAGAACAGCTGAAAAACTGATGATAGATATGCTCTGGGTCCCACTATACGGAGATCAAAGGACAGGTAAATAGAACAGCTGAAGGTTAAACTGATAATAGATATGCTCTGAACCCCACTATACGGAGATCAAAGGACAGGTAAATAGAACAGCTGAAGGGTAAACTGATGATAGATATGCTCTCCCACTATACGGAGATCAAAGGACAGGTAAATAGAACAGCTGAAGGTTAAACTGATGATAGATATGCTCTGGATCCCGCTATACAGAGATCAAAGTACTGGTAAAAAGAACAGCTGAAAGGTAAACTGATGATAGATATGCTCTGGAACCTTTTATACAGAGATCAAAGGACAGGTAAATAGAAAAGCTGAAGGGTAAACTGATGATAGATATGCTCTGGACCCCATAATACAGAGATCAAAGGAAAGGTAAATAGAAAAGCTGAAGGGTAAACTGATGATAGATATGCTCTGGACCCCGCTATACGGAGATCAAAGGAAAGGTAAATAGAACAGCTGAAGGGTAAACTGACGATAAATATGTTCTGGACCCCGCTAAACGGAGATCAAAGGACAGGTAAATAGAACAACTGAAGGTTAAATTGATGATAGATATGCTCTGGACTCTACTATACGGAGATTAAAGGTCAGTTAATTAAATAGAACAGCTCAAGGTTTATATGATAATCGACATGAATTGCACTACGCTAAACGGAGATCATTTGTTGCAAAAATAAGTATAACTCATAAATTTATTCTCTATTACACAGTACAATTACTGATAATCTAGCTTTTCCGATAACGGATGTATTTTTTTCTATCCGTTTAAAGATGATGTTAGTAAAGTCTAACAAGCAATTTGCCAGTATTCGATGCCGAAACCAATATTCGCGTCACTTTCTGGGGTTACGGCTGCAAAGCTATCTGTATGGAAGTGGAGGATATATGGTCGTATCTTGGTACAGACAGTATACTGTTTAGCACCTACAACTCGGAATAAAGGCTTCGAACCATCTCCAGTATTTGATCCAACCCTCTCTACACAATCTAACCTTTGTCCACAATATCTATCTCGACTCACTGAATTCTTAGAAGAAATTCTAAGTTTTTTAGAATCCTGACAAGTTCCTCCAGGAATTGAAATATAATCCGAGGCATCAGCACAGTCCGTCTCCTCTCCTTGTTCATTAGAAACCCTGAACATGGATGTATCAGGGGTTCCACCGCTATAGCAGATATTACAGAATCCACGCTCTGGTCTCATACAAACTGAATAGGACTGGTCAGCTAGTTGAGTTCCCAACCTGGAGTTAAAGTTGAAAGATTCAATATTGCCGTTTATGCCCTTAAAATACTGGAGACATCCGTCCGGGGCCCGGCTCGTATCATCACAGGAGAAATATATTACCCTGATTGTCCACTCCCTGGTTAGAAGGGTTCCTTGACCAAGGTTGAAGGTTGCAAGATTACAAGAGTCTCCAATATCCAGGTACATGTGGTATCCGGAGTTAGTTCCACAAATAGTTGGAGAGGATCTTCCTCCTGGAACTGCAACCTGGAACTTGTCTACTAAGCATTGACCATGAGAGGATAGGTTGGGTTCAAGAACTTTTAAATTACTCTGGGTCTCCGCATCATTCAGTATGAATGAGTCAAAATCTAACCTGACCTGACATATTTGTTTGTTAGGTCTACATAACTGCATAGAGCAGGTGTTCATATCAGAGCTGTATCCAGGACTACTGGAGGAGAAGTAGGTGTAGTTCTTCTCAATTATACCTCCACATCCGGTATCAAAGATACAACAGACTCCATATCCTCCTGCACACACTCCACTGATAACTCCTCCGTAGTCCTCACACTCTCCAGAGGAGTAACAAGTTCCATTCCTAACCTTGTTATCCGTCCAGCATTCGGTATTTGGAAATGAGACAATCTCAAATATAGAAAACTGTCTGGCCTTGCTTGTTGATTTTAGGGTTGAAACTGGCCAGAACCGTCCAGCTGTCAGTAATCCATAAATATTCCATAATAGGAATATCGTTTGTGATCCTAATCCTGGTTTAAGGTTCATTCCAGCTCCTAGCTTCAGATTCAACTGCTATTTTCTGTAGAGAGGGTGAAACCGTTTCTTAGAAACTTAAATCTGAGAAATCTTGTATAATTATTAACTTAGAAACAGGATGCAGAGAATTTGAAAAAAATAAAAGTATATTTACATAAAAATAAGTGGTTTGGTATACAGTATATAATTTTTAACTTTATACACCATAAAACATTTTAAAAAATGAACATTTAAACACCAAAAACCGCGTTTGCAAGCATGTGCACTGTGCATTACTTTCAAGTTACTGTGCTGTACAGAAAAACGTATGTTAAATACTTGGCTTTAAACTCCCTTCCCCTTGATCTAGGAATAACTTTTGATTTTCATTTTTGCCATTTTTCTGAGAGTATTTTTTTGTAAAACATAAATCAAGAAAACCAAAGATCACATAAATTATACTCTATGTAAAAAAATATACAAATGAATTTAGTCTTTGCTACAAACTCTAATTTTCTCACCCCTATATTTTTGCACACTGATTATTTGAATCTTTGATATTTTAAACTTAGATTATTTGATCTAACGATATTCATAGTTTGAAATATCTATGGTCTACTTCATTGTGTTGGAAAGATGTAGGGATAAGAAAATCAGAGTTTGTGGCAAAGACTCATTTACTTTATAGTTTAAAATATCAACGATTATACGATCGACCTCAGGTTGAGTTTTTGTCAAGCGTTCAGTTCCTTTCCTCTGCTTCCAATTTCTTAATTTAAAAAAACCTTTTAAAAGGAATAGGTTTAATGTAACTCATTGGAGCCTGTGAGGTTCGTCAAATATTATGTCTGATTGGTTCAGCCGTTTTGACATTCATTTAATAAAAAAAATATGTATTTAGAAAATACAGATAATCTAGAGATAATGATGATATTCTTAGATCAGTTTGCCGAATTGAAAAGAAGTGTTGAGAAGGAACTCAAACAACTCTTTAACTGGACGGATATACCGGTAATTTAATCATCTCTTTAACTGGAAGGATATACCAGTAATTTAAACATCTCTTTAACTGGACGGATATATCGGTAATTTAAACATCTCTTTAACTGGATGGATATACCGGTAATTTAAACATCTCTTTAACTGGACGGATATACCGGTAATTTAAACAACTCTTTAACTGGACGAATATACCGGTAATTTAAACAACTCTTTAACTGGACGGATATACCGGTAATTTAAACATCTCTTTAACTGGACGGATATACCGGTAATTTAAACATCTCTTTAACTGGACGGATATACCGGTAATTTATGCAACTTCATAAATATTTACTGATTTACAAATTTATTCTCAATTTTAAAAATAATGCCATAAAACAAAGTAATCGAATCTTTGCCACAAACACAACTTCCTATATCTTTGAAACCTAATGGTGTAAACCTATGATATTTCAAACTAAGATTATGGATATTTTTGTATATCACAAGGCCCCCAAAAAGTGTGGAAAAACAAAAATTTGATTTAGAAAATGGTCGTAAAATCCTAAAATTTCATAAGTCGACCATAAAACCTAAAAGTTGCATATTTTTCAAAATGTTTTTCATTCTTTTTGAGACATTTTACTTGTGTAATTCTTACATCTATTAATTATTAGCCTTGGCTTCAACAATTACATAAACTTGAACAATAAATAGCTAGGGAATTGAGTCTTTGCCACAAACTCTGATTTTCTAATCCCTTTGTCTTCGTAACTCACTGTCGTAGACCTTTGAAAGATTTTGATATTTCAAGCTATAAATACTATTAGATATAATAATCCAAGTTTGAAATATCATAGACTAACACAATCAGGTCACAAAGATGTAAGAATAAAAAAGATGAGTTTGTGGCAAAGATTCAATTCCTTTACAAATACTTATTACACTTGTTCGGTTTCATTCCATTTCTGAACCTCCGATCTTGATAAGATTTTAGTAAGTAGAATGAAATCATATATATATATATATATGTGTGTATATATAAACATTTTAACAGTATAATTAGACAAAATTGATATACATTTTTTGACTCGCCTATATTTCTAGATATTACGGAAGATAAACTCTGAATCTTCAAAGTTGGATGAAGGGTTGAATGTAGAGGAGTTCTATCCCTACTATGGATACACTGCACTCAGTCTGAACTTGAACCTATCCGAGTCAAACTCTAACAATAAACTTGCAACAGAGGAAACCAAATATAATAATTCATTATTTCAGTTTAGTTTATTTTATCAAATATAAATATTTATTTATATTTATATGCATTTATCAATTTTTGATTTCTACCAAACTTTCAAACAGTATGGAAACAAAGAGAAGCTGTCAATTAACAGCTTCAATGTGTTAACTTGTAAACTTGTAGTTTAAAAAAGATTGTTAACAATCAAAATTTGATAAAAAAAAGTCTTATTCATTATATTGATATAAAATCGTATAGCATATCAATATTGTCTAGAACTTGTTTGTTCCACACATTACATTCTATAAGTCTCCGTGTTTTTTATTTGTTTTTTTTCATGCATGAAGAAAAACAAAAATCCCCAACATAAAAAATATCTTATACTTGGTTTTGCCTTGCAGTCGGCAATAGTGGAGATACTAGAAAACTATATCAATAACAAGACCGACAAGGTTGAGTTATACTCCGGGTTCTCTAAACATCTGTATGAACCCTATCCTATATCCGTGGAAAGAATCCAACCAGAGAAATATGTTGGTCAACTTACTACAGCATCACCCTTGGAGGAGGATGAACTTGGTGATCTAAGGTAAGAACCCCCCCAACACCCACACACACACTTTTAAGACTGTAAGACTTGCAACTTATCAATAAAAAATATCTTTATATCTTTACAACCTTTTTCTCGAAATTATGCAAAAGTTAATATTAAAAGTGTTTTGATTATTTTATAGTTTATTAACTAGATTTCATACTAAACTGTGTCTATGAAAGTTAACCAAGCTAAACACATCATCATCTTTAATCTCCATTTTCAGCCTCTTTTCTTCAACATAAAATTTGTACAGGCAATAAATAATATACAGGGTGTCCCAAAAAAAATGGGAATTCAGTGACGAATTCGATATCGTCTTTGCTATGAATTAGCATTGTAATACCTAATTTCAAAACCCATAATATTGTTATGTCTGCTAGAGTTTGTTTTATAAAAAGGGTAAAAGACTGTAAAGATGTGTCTATAATGTCTCCGCAAGATGAACAGTGATGACGGACAAGTTTACTCTGTTTGTATACTGCAATTTTCTTGTTTTACTAAGTACAACCGTATGCAATCAAAACATAAACAAACAAAATGTNCCCCCACCAGTCCCTTATCTCTTACCTCTTATTCACGCCCCCTAAATCCCAAACCCCGTTCCCCCAATCCTTCAATTTTCTTGTATTTAAGGTTCCTGTTCCTTCCAATAGGGATCGTAATTCTCCTCATAGGAGTGTTCCTGTTCCTGAAGTCCTGCTACTGTAGACAATGGATTTAAATCAGTATTTTTCAGAAGAAAATAATTTTTTGATTGGGTTTAAAATATAAAACGTTATCATGCTACTATAAATCAAAACTCTTGTACTCTTAGGTTTAAGGAAATAAAATAGAATATTTGTAACTAAACAGAACTTAACAGGAGATAGCGGAAATATAAAAATCAGAGATATGCAGAACGGATTAATTCCTTCTCAATTTTTGAAACAGAGAGTTTATGATCCTATCTTAATTCTTGATACACCAATTTTTCATAACTACCCTGCTAAGTGTGTTCTCACGTCATTCCAATGCATCCTAGCTCAATGTATTCTCCCATCCTACCAATCCATTCTAGCTCAGTGTTTCTCCCATCATTCCATTCCATCCTAACTCTGTTAATTTTTCTAATCTTCCAATGCATCCTAGCTCAGTGCATTCTCTCATTCTTCCAATCCATTCTAGCTCAGTGTTTCTCCCATCATTCCATTCTATCCTTACTCTGTTTATTTTTCTAATCTTCCAATGCATCCTAGCTCAGTGTATTCTCCCATCCTACCAATCCATTCTAGCTCAGTGTTTCTCCCATCATTCCATTCTATCCTTACTCTGTTTATTTTTCTAATCTTCCAATGCATCCTAGCTCAATGTATTCTCTCATTCTTCCAATCCATTCTGGCTCAGTGTTTCTCCCATCATTCCATTCCATCCTAACTCAGTATATTTTTCTAATCTTCCAATGCATCCTAGCTCAATGTATTCTCTCATCCTTCCAATCCATCCTTGCTCAGTGTATTTATCAACCCTTCAAATCCATCAAAGTTCAGATTATTCTTCCATCCTTCCAATGAGGGGGGTGGGAAGGCAAGACGCACCCGTCCCGCAATTCAATCACAAACATAGACTTTTCGACAATGCGCTCACCCGTAGCGCTTACTTAGCCGCACGCATACATTGGTAATTTCCCAGAGAAAGATGTTTGGACCCACCCCCTCGGCCCCCTCCCCCCTTCTATCAATTTTGTACATGCATCTCATATTTAATACAAGGATTAGGTTGGCCCCCTAGCCTGTCCTAGCCGCAGCGCTCGGCCCAGAAAGTTTCTTAACCTAACCTAAGAATATATACTAATTTTTTTGAAAATTGTTGAAAAGGTCATGTACAAAATTGATAGGAGGGGGGTCGGGGGGGGGTCCAATAATTGTTCTCTAGGACAGACCCCATATATCTTCAGGCAAAATGATTTGCAAATTTTCTCCTAAAATATAATATTTTGTACGACATGTAAAATGTTATGTTTTAGATAGAGAAATTCCAATTTTACCAGAAATAACACAGTTTCGCGTGCAATTCGGTTTAAAATTGAAAATTAAAGTTGAAGAAAAGGAAGTTGAAGAAACGAAGAAACAGATAAAGTCTGTTTTAAAATACTGCAGCTGATAAGAATTTCATCACAACTGAAGAACTTAAATCTCAATCTCAATTTTATTGGTGTTAACAGATAATTTTCTAGCCGATTTTCCCCCTTCCATGCCACATATTATATTTTTTGTCTTTCGGCAGCCATGAGCCACAACCGTATGGTCTTCCATGCCACAGCATTTGAGTCTTTACTTTACGTTTTAAATGATAGATTTAGGGAATTGAAATTGAAATTTTAAAAAATCCTGCTACATTACTCGAAAGATCAAACCGTTAAGAAATTTTAATTGAAGTTTAATAAAGATCAATGAATTGTGTGTTTAGTTTATTAACTGCTTTACGTTTTACAAACATCATTTTACATCATTTTACGCATTGTGGGTTTGGTTTCCATTTTCCGAGAAAAAAACACCATTTTTTAAAGGAATGATCCAAAAATTTGTTCCTCAAAGTGAAATTGTGGCAAAATTCCGAATGAAATGGAAACCAGAATTTTTCCGGTTTCCAGTTTATGTAATGGAAACCCGAAATTTCCGGAACCCTGTTCCAGAATTCCGGAACGTTCTGGAAAAATTCAGGTTTCTTTTCTTTAAACCGGAAAAAATTTTTGCTGGGAAAATTATGGGTTCCATTCTGTAAACTGGAAAAATTTCCAGATTTCCATTGCAGAAACCAGTCTACATAAGGGGAATTATAAAAAGGCGTAGTTTATCTATAAGTTTCCATTCACCGGTTCTACTTCTTTTAAAAACTTTTTCTAATTTCTGTTATAAGGATGCCTACATACCCTACTAACTGGAAAACCTATAAATACGTATGACATTCGTTATATATGTACGTATTTTTATGTTTGGATTACGTAAAAATACGTATTTTCCATATGTATGACATACATATTTTCGTAACCATTTCGTTGGTAAAAATAAGTATTCTATATCCCTAAAAGTATGTATATGACAAAAGTAAAAATGCGTATGTAAAAATCAGGAAATTTTAGGTGTTTCCTATATGTAGATTTAGGTTTGAAAAAACCCTCACATTTTAAAATTTTTGGAATTTTTACCCATGCGTAAAAAAAATTTTAAGAATTTGAATATGGTTTTCCATGCACATTGTTCCTTCATATCTATACATCTAATTCCACAAATTTCTTAAATCCATTTATTGATATAAGATATCAATTATTTTCAATCTGCAATCTAGTCCAATATTCTTCTACACAAATTCACACCATCATCATACCTTCATACATGCATTTTGTCTGTATCTTCAACAATTACGTTTTCTATATCTATTATACTTCATACACTTACCATGTTACAAAATCAAAATCGAGAATTTACTGACATTTATTCTAATAAAAAACATCAATTCATTCCAAAATGATAGAAAATTTAAAACATTGTATTTAGTATTTACCAATATATTTGCATTGAATTTCTTACATAACAATTCTTTTGAAAATTCATAAAAAAAATTCTAACTTTAAAATGCATTTTTTAGCAGTTGAGGTTTCGTGAATATATTTACACTTAGAAAAATAGTTGGCATGAAATTTGCTACGAAATTATACTTATTTTTAATGGTTGCACCAAACTTTTCAAAAAATACAATTTTTTAAGAAAAGAAAAAACCGAAAAATATACATTGTTTAAGGTTTGTATCAAACTTACAAACCTAAAAAAAAGTAAAGAAAAAACCGAAAAATAAAACGTAAACGTAAAATAAAAACCTAAAAACTTTAAAAATTGCTTGCGGAGAAAGGTTAGAGTTTCTTGGTATGAAATTTACGAAAATATACATATATATATATAGGTTTGCATCAAACTTATAAACTCTAAAAAAAATACATTTTTTTTTGTAAAAAAAAATACGAAAAAATATGTAAAAGAACTTAAAAGAAAAACCTAAAATCTGAAAAATAATTACTTGGTAAAAAGTATTCGCAATTATTTGTAAAATTACGTTTCTGGAAAACCTAAAAGCACTTTAAAAAGCCGCTTTGTATGATAAATACGTAGAAATATGCAAATATATGCAAGTTCTTTACCAAAAAGTTGAGCATACAATTTTTAAGCAAACATATCTAAAAATAAGTATAAACTTATATAGAGGCTTTAGTATTTTTAGATTTTTGGGTTAGTATACAGGGGACATTAGTTCAAAAACTAACACTTGTCCCATTTCTAACACTGAGTGTTAGAAATGGTCACAAATTGAAAGACTGGGTTTTTGGGATCATGGCCAAATTCCAGAGTAGAAGTCTACATTCTACATATCTTTTATTATTCTTTAGACTACCCCAAACAATTAGTCTGGTGCCCACAATTAGGGGTTCCACCGAAATTCCGGGTTAGGGTTTACGAATGGAAATGATCCAGAATTTTTTCCCATTTCCATTATGGAAAAGGTTTTGCAATTCCGGAATTATACGGATCAATTCCGGAACGACTTTTTTATTTGTAAACTTGAAATTTTCAGAATCCTGTTACGTAATTCCGGAACATTTTGGAATATTGTTCCTGAAATTTCTGGAATCATGTTACGTAATTTGGTTAACGTTTTGGAAAACTGTTCCGGAATTTTCCGGGACAAGGTTCCAGAAAAATGTAAGAGACATAGAATTTGCGCCTTATTTAGCTGTAGTTAAAGTTACTACTGTGAATTATCATGAAATATAAATTCTGGCTGCCAGTATCAATCGTAATCATGTTTCAGCTCACACCCTTTAATCAATAAATTATTAAAGTCAAAAAAAGTTTATTGAGCTTATATAAAGTTTTCACATTAAAATTATAGTTGAAAGATGATGTTTTCTTATAGTTTCTCCCAATTCCTCATAGCAATTTTTCCGTCTTATCCTTTAATTTCGCTCAAGTTCAATTTGTTAACATATATAGCAATCCTTAAGTCTATTTGATGTTGTAAAAATGGAAATAGAATAAATAGTAATTTACAAAACCAATTGCCATGTTTCATGCAGGTCATTGAACTATATGAATTGTCATAACTTAAGTCTAAGAGTAGTCCTCCTGATCCAGAGTTTTCTGGTTCTTTATTCATTATTGCTTGTTTGTTTGATTGTCCGTTTATATCCAATAAATGTCAAAACACCTGATCCGATCAAGTCCAAAATTTGTTAGGTAACTCACATGACCCAATTGGGAAGATTAAAAGTGGTCAGAGTTTAAAATTTGCGTGGAAAAAATGTTGAAATGTTGAAACAATTGACAAGATTTTTTGGTAAGGTAAAATATAAACAAACTAGGAAATAAAAACTTAAACAATTCTTTTATAATTTAAAAATTATTAGAGCATTTAGAAATAAAAATATTAATATCATTTGTTCATACAATTTATATCGATTTAACTAGAAATGCGGGAAACTGTTTGTAATTAATGCTTGAAAATAAATCTTCGGTATTCTCTAAATTATAAACAGATAAAATATGGAAACTTAAATTCTAGAATTAAATTCTAGAAATAATTCATAAGTTAATTTAGTCTAATTGAAATGGAACACCTGCCATTGTCTTGAAAACGGTCAAGAAGTTTAATATTAATATAAAAAGAACGATCGACCTATAAGCTATTATTTTGATTTTTTAAAAAGTTTGAAATTGGGAATTGTTGTCCTCGTCATGTTTAATAAAATGTTGGTTATAGTTTTTACTGACGACTTTTACTCTGGATATGGGCCGGGATCCCAAAAACTAAGTCTTTCAAGTTTCAATTTGTGCCCATTTATAACACTAGAAATTGGGCCAAGTGTTAGTTTTGGAACTAATGTCCACTGAACTTTAATACGACTAATACGACAGCTATAATTTTACAAGTTAGGAGGTTCAGTGAAAATTCATCTAGAACTTTCCGTCTGCTATTCCCTTAGTGTACACTGTAGACCCAGGTAGATGTTATTTGTCATTGTCATAGTTGAATAAGAGAAAATGGCGGATTCGGACGTGGAAATTGTTACTGAGGTATTTCTTTTGTTTTTAGATCAAATATTCGATCTTTTTACGCATCTGACTGTTGTCGACAGTTTCTTATAAATTGTTCCAACATTTGACATCTTATTTAGAACCGAACAATCGCAATATGTGCTGTTACAGCGCTAAACAAACATGCCGAATATTTTAATCAATTAATGCCGAAGATGACTAGTAAAATATTCTATGTAGAATTTGATTTTGTTTTTGTTAAAACAATTGTTTTATGTCTCCATGAATAAATATTTAGGTAAAAACCATCAGCATTCAAGTAAAAACTCCGAAGGAAAAACAAACTGTAGAAATTGAAGAAAATGCCAACATTAAAGCAGTAAGATTTATTCCTAACTTTTTAATAGAAGAAGTGATCTTATTTATTTTGTAATAATAATTGGGTCCGTCTGGTTGTACGCTTTTTTTGTATTAATTTTGTACAAAATTAATATTTTTCAACCTTATTATCAATATTTATATTGTATAATGTGTCCCCCCCCCTTCTCTATCCAGCAACATAACTCCACTCTTTTTTATCTTTAATGCAATGAATAATAATAATTGTAAAACCTCTTATCAAATCTAGAATTACAAACAGTTTTAAGATGTTTTCAACTAGACATTAATATTTTTCTGTTTCAGTTTAAGCAGGCGATCTCAGAGAAATTTGGAAATGCTCCGATCGAAAACCTTTGTCTTATTTTTGCCGGAAAAATCATGAAGGAAAGAATCAAAATTTTGAAGTACAAATTATGCATACTTCTTTATAATATTAATATTAAACTAATTCGACCTCTTAAATTAAATAGTATTAATTCGACTGCGATAAATAACGAGAATTTAATAAATTCAACTTTTATAATTTTGGTTCTGTCAGGACACTGAAACTCTTACAACCCATCACGTAAAGGATGGTATGACAGTTCATCTTGTGATTAAACAAACTCCAGGTTCAGGGACTACTACACCTTCTCCAGCTGGAGCATCATCTCCGGCACCTTCTACTACTCCTGCCCCTCCTCCTCCTGCAGCCAATATTGGTGCTTCTCCCTTCGGACTCGGAGGATTAGGGGGGATCGGAGGGATGGGAAATCTTGGAATGGGTTCAGCGAACTTTATGGAGATGCAGCAGAGAGTTCAGAGAGATCTTATGTCCAACCCAGACATGCTGAGACAGGTTGGTTACAACGTCTTATAGTTTCTCCCAATTCCTCATAGCAATTTTTCCGTCTTATCCTTTAATTTCGCTCAAGTTCAATTTGTTACAGTCGATCCATCCAATCTGTTTTCTGATGACACATTTTAAAGTTTTCAACTCAATTTCTAGTAAAATGTCTAGAATTGCTTGTATTTACCTAATGACTCTTAACTTTATTACATCATACTTTTCACTTTTTCTATGCGTTTAAAGCTTTAATTTTAAATGTTCGTTAGTACGCTAATTAATCATTGAATTAAATTCAGGTTATGGAGAACCCATTAACACAAAGCCTGATGAGTAACCCTGATGTTATCCGTCAGATGTTGGAATCCAATCCTCAAATGCAGGTTGGAATATAACAGGGGTATATATTTAGATGAACAAAAACACCCTTCCCCCCCCCCCCCCATCTTTATAAATCATTTTCGATATATAGACATATGCAATAAGTCAAGTATTTTTTTTTCTTATTTGAAACTTTATGGGGCTTTTTTAAATGGGCAAAAAGTCTCATATTTTTTACTTATTTTCGAATTTATGTTATCCCTATCGTTGACAAAAGTTTTTTTTCACTTTTTTGGGCATTTTATATTGATAAACTGCAAATATTGCAAATAGAACAAATTTAATTGCAATTTTCTGGTTTTTATCAAGGATGAAAAGTCAATCGATTGCAACTACAAGATGTTAAAAATGTTTTTGCCGAAAATTTATGGTTTTTTCGCCGAATTTTAGAAATGAATTTATTTTAAAGGGAAAAATAATGAATTTTCATTGGACAATGTTTTGTTTTGTTGTATGATTTTGAAAACATACTTTTCAACTGAATAATTCTGGTTTAGGAAGTGATGGAGAGAAACCCTGAGATTAGGCAGATGTTAAACAATCCTGAAGTCCTAAGACAGGTTGGTTAATGATACAACTCTTAATAAAGGGGATCAAAGGTAATAACGGATCCATTGATGATCCAGTGGAGTAGAGTGTAATAAAGGGACTGTACGCGTAATTTCAAGTGACTTTCCATTTAAAGATAGCAATAACCGAGTTGCAACTCTTCCCTTAAAAGCTTTGTCTAATCAAGTATAAATTAGACATGTTTTTCTTTCTTTAACCTGTTTCTTTTCTTTTTCGGGGTTCTCTGCAAAAGTGTCTTGCGCCTTTCTCGCGGAAGAAATCAATTAAGAAATTTTCAGAATTAATCCCTTTTTGAGTCAGGAAGACGACGGCATTTCCACACTTTTGATCAGAATAAAGTTTCAAGGGTACCGTTGTAAATCGGGGCATTGTCATCTTTAGATGGAGGGTCATTTGAAATTACGCTTCCAGTTTACTCAAGTGAAAACATATTTTTCCGTTCATATGAAATGCATTGTATTATCCCAAAAATCAAAACGAAATAAATTGATTCTCTATATTATAAATGTTCTCATCATTTTCGTTTATATCTAAAACTGAATTGTATTTTATAAATGTCATGTTATTTATGCAGCTTATGTTTTCTCTACTCTAAGATTTTAACATTTAAAAAAAAAATATTTAGTTAGTGGTTAAAGATATTAATCCGGATCCTCAAAAATATTTGGATCCACGGATACGGAACCAAGGGACAAAACATCAAAAAAATCGACCAAAAAAATATGTCCCAAAACACAAACAATACGAAAAAAGAGTATTTTATATTTGTTAAAAGATCAGATTATCTGCATGATCAGTATAAGTCATAATCCTTTTTCTCATCTTTTAACTTGTCTGAACCCTTAATTTTGAAAATTTGTTCCACACCTGCGATAATACCCGAACCCTATAATAAATATCTGATATTTAGATGATGGATATAGCTCGGAATCCTTCCCGACTTCAGGAGCTCACGAGATCTATGGATAGACAAATGCAAAATCTTGAGTCATTACCAGGTTATATGCATTATTTATAGGAACAATAATATTTCGAATATTTCAGTAGTTATTCAATTGTCTGAAACTATAGATACAACTTCGGGGGGTTTTGGTTAAGTTGTACCCTAAAAAAATCCTGAGCTGGGAACTTTAGAATGGTGGCTATCGAGATCAATGCTTAATCCTCTTTTCTTCTTAATCTCGAGACAAACCTAATTTTGCACTTGTATTCTGAAAATCTTTAAAATTCAACCAATCAGAGTCGCCTATCAGAAGCCGGGAAATTTGAGATTTTGCGCGCCATTTAATATACAGAAAAAGGAGGGAATCTCTTAATTTTGAAAAACCGGTTTTTGACTCTTCTGTACCGTATCCAAAAATGAGTGGGTTAAGCTAGAAATGAAAAGTGTCCACATCGGATATTCGGATTAAGCATTCGAGATTCAATGTTCCCAGCTCTGTTCGTTCTTCTGCACGGATTTTGTACCAGAGATAACACATGTTCATTGTACGGGCCATGTGCGAGAATACACAATTACTGTCATACAAATTCAAGATCAGATTATCAAAAAGAACACTCAATTTTTGTGTTCATAACAAAGTTGTTTCTAAAGAGAGGTGAAAGGTTTATTTTTTACAAAAATTAACACCCTAGAATGAGAATAAATCGTTATTTAATAATGTATTAACGAAATGGGTTTAGGTGGAAGGAATGTATTAGAACGTATGTACCGGGATATCCAGGAACCAGTTCTAAACGCTATGGGAGGACCCAACCCATTCCAGGTAATCTCAGATGGAAAGTTTGAATGAATAAGAAGTTGTTGATTCATGTTTCATCATTTCCTTTTTTATCTACATAGCAATAAACCTTAAAATTATTTTATTTCCGCCTTATCTCTACTTTTAAAGTATTTAAATAGTAGAAAAACAAACAGAAAAAAAATTATTTTCCAGAATTTGCAATATTTAAAATTTTATTGAGCATCCAAACCTAAGAGTTAAGATTAAGGAAAAACAGGAAGCAAGATCAGCCGGCGTAAAAAAAGTGTTCACTATGGTTTATAGGGATAACCATGGTTAAGTTTTTTGGGACAATGACGCAACACAAATCGTTGGGGTACATAACTCTTAACCGATCTTGAGCAAAATAAAATAATGCAAAGATCTCAATAACAAATTGGTATCAGGTTTACTAATACATCGTTTTATTTGTATGTGTGAGCCTGTGCCCACACCCTTTAATCAATAAATTATTAAAGTCAAAAAAAGTTTATTGAGCTTATATAAAGTTTTCACATTAAAATTATAGTTGAAAGATGATGTTTAGGATCTCCGACCTGGTGGTGCAGCTACTCCTAGTGTTCCTTCAACAGAGACAACAGCTCCAGCTCCTAATCCATGGTCAGCAGCTGCAGCAGCATCTACACTACCGAGTAAGAGATTACCATTAACCACTTTAATCTTTCTTGTGGAAGGACTGAAAGCTTAATTTGAAGTGGCCGGCCCTCCTCTTATATAGTAGTTTGTACGATTCAAATGGTGTCCTTCAAAGCTTTGTATAATTAAGAGCGAATGAGATATTTTTTTTACATTGAAAACTCAACATTTTAAAATGGAAAACTGGTAGATAAGTAGCCAGTCAAGACTAAATGTTTTTCAAAAATCTCTCCACATTCATAATTGGATCATACAACGCTTACAAGGATCATGTGAATCGGACATGCCAATCTGCATTCCCTACAGAACGAACGATGGAGGAATTGCTTGGATCGTTCAGAGAAATGAAAACAACTATCGTTTTTAAAACTACGAAAAAAAACTAAAACAAATGATTTTACGATTTTAAAAACGATTTTTTTTACTTAACGAACGATTTTTTAGAAAGATTTTGTTAAAACTAAAGTTATTTAGTGAAAAAACGATTTTAGTGAACGAACGATTTTACTGAACGATCGATCTCCACAGTCTAATTGGGGTCTAGGGAGTAATTCATCAAATAACAAACAAAACAAAATTTTTGATTTGTCTTGTCCAGGTTCTACTGGTGGTGTTGGTGCAGGAACAGCAGGATCCCTGGGATCATTACTAGGACAGGCAGGAGCAGGAGGATTGTTCTCATCTCCGGGTATGGAATCCCTTATGCAGCAGATGTCAGACAATCCAACTATGATGTCACAGGTAGAATAAGTTTGGGGGGGGGGGGGAAGGAAGGAAGAAATTATAAGCTGTCAACGATTAAAAATCTGACTACGTCTTCCAATATTTTCCTTTTTTGTATTTGGTCCGTAATTTATTTTTATTTTTGCTAATTAAGCGATACAAAAAATGATATCCTTGAAATTGTTTTCCATCAAATATATACCCTTGTGATAGAACTAAAATATTACCTCAAGAAATGCTTTTATGAAGTGTCAAAATTTTTAAAGAAAATTAGTCTTTCGTGTATAAAAGAGTGGAGTTGTTATTTAGAAATAAACAGATTTTATAAAAGTTCCTAAAATCATTGTTTTTAGATGATGTCTGCTCCGTATATGCAGAGTATGTTTAGCACCTTGCAGCAGAACCCTGAACAAGCAGCATCAATGATGCAAGGAGCTTTTGCATCAAATCCCCAGCTTCAACAGCAGGTTTGTATCACGTTGAATTATTGCATTTTACAACATTAAATAGAGTTTAAAAACTTTAAAGATATCGAGGTGAAAGAGAATAAAACTTTTTATAGTTCTACCCACAATCATTATCTTCGGTTGGGAGCTTTAGATTTACAAAATCTTTCCATATGGCTTTCCATCCGGATTCGCAACATTTTCTTTCGAGAAAAGTCCTGGATTTTAGTTAATTCGGGATTCATAATTCTTGACTTTTTTGAAATTCTGATCTAAATTTTCCTACGTAACTTTCAATCCCGAAACAATGAGAATTAATTGACTTTATTCAGATTTTATTAAAAATAGATTTCAAGTCTTCCTATTGTCGCATCACATACTGCATATCCGACTATTCTTTACTTACCTTAGAGCGGTAAATATTCTGTTTACACTTCATGCATGTTCGGTGCACAACAAAATTATTTAAAGCTTTATTGACAATAAATGAGATAGCCATGTTTTTCTCTTTGAAGATTTATAATTTATAATTGTGAAATCCTATCAAAAACATTGGAAGAAATTGTGAGAATTAAATATTTTTCGAGCCATAAAAACAACGATTTTTTCTCCAAATGATTGAACCGATTAATGTTAAAAAGGTACTGTCGTGAATCGGCTACGTCCAAAGGTTCATTTGACATTACGACGAAAGTCCCTATAACAAAATTATTATGTTCTAGATGGGTTCCATGATGCCCCAGCTACTGCAGCAGATGCAGAATCCTAGTGTACAGCAGTTAATGTCCAACCCTGAAGCACTACAGGCGATTATGCAGATCCAGCAGGGGATTGAACGGTTGAGAGTAGCTGCTCCTGATGTATATAACTCAATGGGTTTACCCTCCCTCCCTCCAGGCTTTCCTAATCTAGGTTCTACTACACCCAATTCAGGATCTTCACCTGCCCCCGCCCCAGCAGCCGGGTCAACCTCCCCAGCCCCTGGTTCCGCCCCCCTACCACAGGCAGATGTTTTCTCACAGTTCATGACTCAGGTTAGAGAAATTTATCAACTATTTTCATTATTTATTCACATCAAAGTGTTATTTATATATTCGTAACAATATGTTCTAACTTTTTTTAGTAATAAAAAAAAAAAAAATAGGAAAGTGTCATAATTTTTTCACAATTATTCTTCATAATCAAACAATTTATCTTTATTATTAATTTTTATAATATTTAAAAATTCAGATGATTGGGCAGATGAGAGCAGGTGATGCTAACCAGCCTCCTGAGGAAAGATTTGCATCCCAGCTGGATCAATTGGCTAGTATGGGCTTTGCAGATAGACAGGCTAATATTCAAGGTAAACTACCAGCTACTAATTTTAGTATTTTCTCAGTCAAGATCTTTTAGATATGTTCCTGAATTTTTACATGTATTACACATCTAGTCTTTTCATTTCAAATGATCCAAATAGTTAATTTTAACCCGTTTTATTGGATGAAAATAATTTTTTATTGTGACTTCTGTTTTTTGAAGAAGAAAAACTCTCTTATGAAAGAAAAAATCTTTTTTAACAAATAAAATAAATTTTTCCCACAAACTCTTGATTTCTCTATCCCTATATCTTGCAACCGAATGTCGTAGACCTTAGATATTTTTAACAATGAATTCTCTTTGATCAAATAATCTTAGTTATCAAATTATATTTTTAGCTCTGGTGGCAACATTTGGAGACGTGAACGCTGCTGTAGAACGTCTTCTACAGTCTAGACTACAAAACAGTCTTAGCTAAATATAAATATTCTACTCACAGCTACAACTGTTATTTAAAATAGCCATATCTGTATCTGTTATTTTTGCTGACAGCTACAGCTGGTATCTTACAACATCTTAAGCTGTTATCTGCTGAAATTTCCATCTCTGTTATCTGGTGACAGCTCCAGCTCTGTTGTCTGCTGACAGCTACAGACGTTATCTGATGACAGCCACAACTGCTGTACGGTGACAGCTCCAGCTGTTATATGCCGACAACTCCATCTGTTATCTGCTAACATTTCCAGCTGTTATCTACTGGTAGTTTCAACTGTTATATGCTGACAACTCCAGCACTCATCCTTTCCCAAGTTCCTTTCCGGGGTATTCTGACGTGACTAATTGTGATTTATAAATATGATTTATTAATTTTCCTCAACACACTTAAAACCAACATATTGTAATTAAGTTATGGTCAAAATTCATGGTCATTTCGTTATTCGTGCATTTTCTACTCACCTTCAGCTGAAGTTGGCATTGTCCTGATGTATAAGCAACTTTCTTTTGTTACAGTTTTTCATTTGTTTTGTTTAAAAAATAATTGCTTTGATATTTTTGATTAATATGCCATTGCAAGTGTATTTGCTTTAACATTCATTCCTAAAGTATTATCTCCAGGCTTAATTTTCATCAAATTCATGTTTTCGTTAAGGAAAATAAATATTCTCAGTCACGTTAATATTTGATTCAATATTATTTCAACACATTTCTTAACACTGTTCGTGTTTATACTGTACAAAGCCAACTAGTCCTCATGTTTCTCTGTGTTGGATCTATCAAAGCTTCAATCTAGATATGTGACGACTAAAGTCTGTTAAACTATGTATATGCATTACGCACGACTGATCTTAGAAAAAACAAAAGGCAGTTGGAATCGTTCATATCATCAAGAATGTAAAACCCTTTTTTTCTCGAATTTTCGAACCTACATCATTTTTGAACTTGATGTTTAGAGAACCTTCTAAAAATTCCCCGACAGATTAAAACAAGAAAGAGGAGTAAATACTTGCTATTTCGTAAGAGTTGATTTTAAGTGTGCATTTATTTACATTAATAAAGAATACTATTTATTTTTAGAGTTATTGATAACACAGAAGCCGAGTCCCTTAAAGCTAATTAGCATGATAACGTTTTGATAATTTTATTTAAATCCATTGTCTGCAGTGGCAGGCCTTCAGAAATATGAATACAGCGAGAAGCAGAATACCGATCCCGAATGGAAGGAAGATAAACCTAAAAAATGTGAAATCGGTGAACAGTCTAGGTTAAGTTCGTGTCGAATGAAAATAAATATCTGGCGACAAAGGTTTAAAAAATTGAAAATTATGGAATAGAAGGTTGTGCCTTAAGTCATCTTTTGCCTTAATTTTCGGCCTCTGAACATTAATTGACCCCTTAATTCTTAAGACTGTTTCTAACTCTTCCATTCTTTGAAATAAAGGGTGTCTCAATAAACATGGGAATTCAGTGACGAATTCAATATCGTCTTTTAAAATAATTCTTTGATTTAGTATAGTGATACCTACTGAGAAAGCTGTAATCTGTAAGAGCTTCGTCTGCTATGTTCACATTTTGTTTGTTTATGTTTTGATTGCATACGGTTGTACTTAGTAAAACAAGAAAATTGCAGTATACAAACAGAGTAAACTTGTCCGTCATCACTGTTCATCTTGCGGAGACATTATAGACACATCTTTACAGTCTTTTACCCTTTTTATAAAACAAACTCTAGCAGACATAACAATATTATGGGTTTTGAAATTAGGTATTACAATGCTAATTCATAGCAAAGACGATATCGAATTCGTCACTGAATTCCCATTTTTTTTGGGACACCCTGTATATTATTTATTGCCTGTACAAATTTTATGTTGAAGAAAAGAGGCTGAAAATGGAGATTAAAGATGATGATGTGTTTAGCTTGGTTAACTTTCATAGACACAGTTTAGTATGAAATCTAGTTAATAAACTATAAAATAATCAAAACACTTTTAATATTAACTTTTGCATAATTTCGAGAAAAAGGTTGTAAAGATATAAAGATATTTTTTATTGATAAGTTGCAAGTCTTACAGTCTTAAAAGTGTGTGTGTGGGTGTTGGGGGGGTTCTTACCTTAGATCACCAAGTTCATCCTCCTCCAAGGGTGATGCTGTAGTAAGTTGACCAACATATTTCTCTGGTTGGATTCTTTCCACGGATATAGGATACGGTTCATACAGATGTTTAGAGAACCCGGAGTATAACTCAACCTTGTCGGTCTTGTTATCCAAGTATTTCTCTAGAATCCAGCTTATAGCAGACTACATATTAGAAACCAAATGTAAAATTGACTAAGTTCATGTTCATTGTTCTTACTCTCGGTCGATCCACACATAAAAAATATCCTNCCCTTCCCCCACTGAAAAATATCCTACCCCCTGCATTAGCGTTCCATTTAAATTAAGCATTATTTTTGTACAATTTCTGTAATGAAAAATACTGGAACCAAACACGTAATTCTCGACTGTTCAACCTAAGACACTTCAGGTTCATGCCTCGGAATTGATAGACAATCCTTGATTTAAGTAGTTCATCCTAAGTTTAGTCGTTGAAGCTAAGCGCTATCCCAACCAAAAGTTTCTCCCTCGAATAAAAGAGAGAAAAAAATCCTGCAAATATAGCTTTGTGTAGACGACAGGGTTAAGTGAGACTTCAGAGACGACTGTATAAAATGTACCTTCATTTAAGTCTTATCCTGGCTCAGTAACATTTTGCCTTGTTACATTTTGCCTTTGTAACATCGTCCCTTGGTAACATTTTGCCTTGATAACATCCCTCTGTAATCTTGCCTTGAATAACTAAGAACTATTTATTATTATTACATTAAAGACATTTATTATTATTACAATACATATATCTATGATGCTAGGTTTGACAATGGACATTTTTGTTGAAACTTTAAGCATCATCATCTTTCTTAGCCAGGTTATGACTCATGAGCAATCATTCTGATGTAGTCTGAATTCGGGATGGTTTCATAGCTCTCTGCTACATATTTTAACCTGCCTAGGCCGTCTAAGGATTTCTGTTTTCTTCTGCTGTTTGTTGATATGTCTTGTATCAGCTTCTGTGCTTCTGAAGAGTTCGTGAATATTCTAAACATCGGGCTGAAAAAAAAGTTTGCGTACTTCTAAAAAAATTGCGCATTTTGACTTTTGACAAATCAAGGTTCCTATCAAATAAAATTGTTCAAGGCAAAATTGTAGTAAAATGTTACCATGGCAAAATGATATCAAGGCAAAATGTTTCCAAGACAGAACGTTACAAGGCAAAATGTGACTAGGCAAAGTGTAACAAGGCAAAATGTTACTGAGCCCCTATCCTTTGTGGGTAACCCTGTCTGAGTATGAGTTCAATCATTATATTTAGTTTCCTCTGTTGCAAGTTTATTGTTAGAGTTTGACTCGGATAAGTTCAAGTTCAGACTGAGTGCAGTGTATCCATAGTAGGGATAGAACTCCTCTACATCCAACCCGTCATCCAACTTCGAAGATTCAGAATCTGTACTTCGCCAAATCTAAAAAATGCTTAAAAATATTTGTTTTAACATATAACCCACTTTTGGAATCTGCGACTCAAATCGGTTAAAGTACAAAACCGACCTTTAGGCAGATATGCAGACAATAGAGAGCTTAATGAAACTATTATAGTAGTTCAAGAATCAGTATAATGTTTGATAAAACTAAAAAAATATTGTAAGTAATAAAAAATATGTTGGAATAAAGTTATGAATGTTTTAAGATTATTTTGAGATATCTTACGAACCGGTATTTCTGTCCAATTAAAAAGCTGAACCAACTCTCGTTCAACACTTTTCTTGAGGCTCAAAAATTGATCTGAAGAAAAGAAATGATTGTAATTTAAATTCATAAATTTCCAATATATTTATCTATATCCAATCTACTTATCTATACATTTTGATTTTCCGTCTGTTTGTATCCAATAAACGTCAAAACGGCTAAACCGTTAAGGCCAACATTTTTTGTGGCAAATCACATGACGTAAGGGAAGGTTTATTGCGGGGTTAAGAGCATATTTATCATCAGCTTAACCTTCAGCTGTTCTATTTACCTGTTCTTTGATCTCCGTATATAATGAAGTATTCTCTTTAGAAGGCTAAAACTTTTCTCTCCTTGTGTTAACAATGAATTCAGACAAATCCTTAGTCTTTGTCATCGTCAGGTGTTACTTTTTAAACGTAGTTTCCTTTTAATTTTCCAGGGGGGCAGTGCCGCGCCTGGAACTCCCAGGGGGGGGCAACAGGACTACTGCCCCCTAGGTACGCCGCTGTGCCTGGCCTGAGGAAGGGAAATGCAAGCAGATGTAATATTAAAAGAGCCTCCCTCATGGGTGCCCCCTCTCAGCCTCTCAGGGGGGGTTCCAGAGCATATCTATCATCAGTTTACCCTTCAGCTGTTCTATTTACCTGTCCTTTGATCTCCGTATAGTGGAGTCCAGAGCATATCTATCATCAGTTTAACCTTCATTTTTTCTGGTAACTCAAATCTATAAGAAAGGAGTGTATGTATAGCTTTTGGAGTAATATCATATGTTTTTTATAGCATTGGCAACTAGAACTTCTTCAAGGGCAAAATCTCTCCTTCAAAGAATTGAAATTCTTGAAAGCAAGATATCATCCTAAAATCTTTTTTTTCGCCGTTTTTGGACTTGTTAAGATTTTTGTAAAATTCACAATAAATAGTGTATATTATTATGATAGAAAGGGTTAAGGATAAAAGAATTAAACAATTTACCTGCAATCACACAGATTTACAGTGTTATCAGTGATCTTGACACCAAAAGGTCCGATTTTACTGAATGTTGTTGGAACCAATATCATCCTAGCAGATGGATCAATTGTGGTTGTGATAGCTGCAGCTTCATCAGGAGTGCTTTCTGTTTCAGCATTGGAACTTTCCGTTTCAGCATTGGAACTTTCCGTTTCAGTATTGGAACTTTCCGTTTCAGCATCGAAACTTTCCGTTTCAGCATCAGTAGCTTTTATTTCAGAAGTAGTACTTTCTGTCTCGACATCAGCTTTAACAGTTCCAATATCATCATAGGTATCCAATTCAAAATCAATAGTGTTGTCAGTATCAGTATCATCTTTGTTAGAAAAGCCAAAAACATCAATAATATCAATTCCCGTTCTGAGTTTAAGAGCAAACTTATCATCATCGTCCGTTTTAAATCCAAAATAATCAGAATCTTCCGTTACAGTATCAGCTTTCACAAGTCCAATGTCCTCAGCAGTTGTTGAAGAATCAGTAATTGTTGTAGTATCAGTGGTTGTTGTGGTATCAGTCATTGTTGTGGTATCAGTCATTGTTGTAGTATCAGTCATTGTTGTGGTATCAGTCGTTGTTGTGGTATCAGTAGTTGTTGTAGAATCAGTGGTTGTTGTAGAATCAGTAGTTGTTGTAGAATCAGTGGTTGCTGTAGAATAAGTGGTTGTTGTAGTATCAGTCGTTGTTGTGTTTTCAGTATTTGTTGTAGTATCAGTATTTGTTGTAGTATCAGTAGTTGTTGTAGTATCAGTAGCTGTTGTAGAATCAGTATTTGTTGTAGAATCAGTCGTTGTTGTGGTATCAGTATTTGTTGTAGTATCAGTAGTTGTTGTAGTATCAGTAATTGTTGTAAAATCTGTAGTTGTTGTAGTATCAGTAGTTGTTGTAGTATCAGTAGTTGTTGTATCAGTGGTTGTTGTAGTATCAGTGGTTGTTTTAGTATCAGTAGTTGTTGTGGTATCAGTCGTTGTTGTGGTATCAGTATTTGTTGCAGTATCAGTAGTTGTTGTAGAATCATCAGAAGTTGTCGTTGAATCAGCAGTTGTTGTAGAATCAGTAGTTGTTGTAGAATCAGTAGTTGTTGTAGAATCAGTAGTTGTTGTAGTATCAGTAGTGGTTGTAGTATCAGTGGTTGTTGTGGTATAAGTAGTCGTTGTAGTATCAGTGGTTGTTGTAGAATCAGCAGAAGTTGTCGTGGTTGTTGATGTTGATGAGGTACTTGTTGAAGTCGAAGTCGAAGAAGTACTTGTGGAAGTACTAGTCGTAGAAGTACTTGTAGTTGAAGTACTAGTTGTGGAGGTACTTGTTGTAGAAGTACTTGTTGTAGAAGTAGTTGTTGTAGAAGTACTTGTGGTTGAAGTACTTGTTGTAGAAGTACTTGTTGTAGAAGTAATTATAGCTAAAGTACTTGTGGATGAAGTACTTGTTGTAGAAGTGCTTGTAGTTAGAGTTGAAGTTGTTGTTGAAGTGCTTGTAGTTGTTGAACTGGTGGTTGTTGTGGATCCCGCTGTTACAGTGGTATATACTGTTGTAGTTTCTAAGAGTGAATAATTGTTCTTAAGTAGCAAATTCTATTTTCATGATTCTAAAAATTTAGTTAAACTGCCTTTAATTTTACTTCTGTGCATTTCTCACTGAAGAAATTAAAACGAATTTTAGGTAAATTTCCTTTTTATCATTTTTTATCAACCGGGATTTAAATTAAATTTTAAAATTAATTATTCACACAAACTTTTATTGGCCACAAATCATTCTAGAGCAAACAGTGTTTACTATTTTCTAATTTAAAAAGAGTTGAATGGATGGAATGGGATCTGCCGGTTTCTAAATTACTACAACTGGACCCGAACATTATTAATAGGTTAACATAGGTTATTCCAGAAAAGAAAGTTAATATCAAACTCATTTTTTTCACCTGAATCGTTCGAAAACATTTGTCTTAATATTTCATCAAAATCAATGGTCGTCTCTCCGTCGATCTGATCAAATAGTTTATACTTTTAGAAACTTATCTTTTTAAAAGTGAATGATTTAAAATTAAAGTTTGAACACAATTCTACCAATATTTTAATTCAAGAGAGAAACTCTTTATAATTCTTATTGATCTTTCATCCTATGTAAATAATAACAGTCATCCCATCAATAAAAATACAACAGATTCATTTTATGAAAATTTTTCAGTGGCGCTGGTTGTGTGAACATAAGTACATGTTTATGATACGTGTTTACGTTTACTGTTTAATGCAGCTGTCGTGTATTTTCCCAAGCTGTGAAAGGTTGTAAATAGTTACTTTAAATAAATATATTTATACACTCCTTTAAGGTAACATTAACAAATTGATTTCGAGACCAAATTGTCTTTGCAAATATGAAAGTAAATAATGTCAACCATATCAAGTAGATAAATAAATGCAACAAAGAAAATGCCTGCTTCGGTCTGTTTACATTGACTATTGTTAAAGCGCACCGTACCAAGGGTGTAATGCAAGGAAAGTCAATTGCGGTCTTGTATTCTCTGCGTACAAATTGAAACCAGTTCTCTTTAGGCGGAATTTGTAAACAAGAATAGATGCATCAATGTTCTTCAAGTATCTGAGGAGAATAAAACCATTTAATCTTGATAATTGACATAATTGATAATAGTTTCCTATGACCAGAATATTTGATTTTTTTATGTGAAAGATGGATCCCATGTCAGGCTTTGACATCCGTCTTGTGTTTACATTACCGCCCAGAGACATTACACTGCAGTACAAAAGATGTGTACAGTTCTGAATTAACTTTCCTTTCACCGTACCATAGTTTCTGTTGCAGTTTCGACTGGAACCGTAGGGTATCCATATTCTTCTACATACAGCATTCTAAATCAGAAAATTTGAAAAAGGAAAAAAAAATAGGTTTATTCGGAAGTTATTTACCTTAAATGCTGTGAGAATCGGAAAACTTTGGAATAGGAAGTCGACTTTTAGACTCAAGTTATGACTTTGATTAGTCCAATCAACGTGAGACACAGCAATTGTGCAGTGTAAACAGACTCATTTCACTTAATAAGTGATTACTTACTACTTAAACTATTGTTTTTTTATCAACATCAAATTGACTTCAGTATTGCTTTCATGTCGATCGTCTCTCTAATCTTCAGTTTTCTTGTTTTTACTGTATATTTTACAGGCCATATATTAAAACTACATGATTTGGAACTTTTTAAATATTTATTAGTAGTATTTCATGCATATTAAACTTTTTGTCGACACAAAGTAAACAAATATGAAAAATTATGAATTATGAAATTTAATAACCTTGCAACTTGTAGACAGTGGTCAAGGAAACACATGCATGTATTATCAGGATAGGAATTCATCCAACAGGTTGGGGAAACCTAGAATATAAATATCAGAAGTTTATCCAATAGGGTGGGGAAACCTAGAATATAAATATCAGGAGTTCACCCAATAGGTCAGGGAAACCTAGAATATGAATATCAGGAGTTCATCCAACAGGTCGGGGAAACCTAGAATATAAATATCAGGAGTTCATCCAANATTATTATTATTATTATTATTATTATTATTATTATTATTATTATTATTATTATTATTATTATTATTATTATTATTATTATTATTATTATTATTATTATTATTATTATTATTATTATTATTATTATTATTATTATTATTATTATTATTATTATTATTATTATTATTATTATTATTATTATTATTATTATTATTATTATTATTATTATTATTATTATTATTATTATTATTATTATTATTATTATTATTATTATTATTATTATTATTATTATTATTATTATTATTATTATTATTATTATTATTATTATTATTATTATTATTATTATTATTATTATTATTATTATTATTATTATTATTATTATTATTATTATTATTATTATTATTATTATTATTATTATTATTATTATTATTATTATTATTATTATTATTATTATTATTATTATTATTATTATTATTATTATTATTATTATTATTATTATTATTATTATTATTATTATTATTATTATTATTATTATTATTATTATTATTATTATTATTATTATTATTATTATTATTATTATTATTATTATTATTATTATTATTATTATTATTACTACTATTATTATTATTATTTTATCATGATTATTATTATTATTATTATCATTTTCATCATTGCAGATAGAAATCTTTATGATCAGTACTCACTATCGTCTCTCCCGGATCCGGGGGCTTTCCCCTGATAACACCCATGATGCCTAGGTACAGAACTAACAAGCAAACATTCATTATTTCTCAATTTTTATCCTTTCTAATTTTATAATTCTGAAATCTGTGCAACATTACTTTATAGTAATCAATATATAAATTTAGCTTGTCTTGGTGTCTGTTTATTTGTGTTCAATTAACGTCAGAACGGCTGAACCGATCGGGCCCAAATTTGTGTGGGACCTCACGTGACCCCTGGGAAGGTTTATGAATGATCAAATTTTAAAAATTTGTGTTTTAAAGTTTTTTTATTTTGTAAAATTTTGAAAATGCGCGAAAAAATATTGTAAAATCCGCAAACTTTTTTTTGTTTTTGTTTTATACTGTATACAAAGAGAAGATGCTCGCAGATAAATCCAGAATTAAAAGTTGAAACAGAAGATGGGCGCGAAGCGCCCTTAGAGCCTAGTAGTTTATATTTTGCTTGCTAGTCTGTTTGTTTGTCTGTATCCATGATAATTATGGTAAAATGGTTAGACAGATGGGCCAATTATTTTGTGGTATCTTACATAGCGTCAACATTTAAAATATCTTAAATTTTTGTTGGAATAAAAGCCGAGATGCGGCCTAAAAGCGTAACACTTTGAAAATAACCAAATCATAAGAAAAAAATGTTTTTGAAACTATAGTGCATTTTTTACGGTGAATTCCATTCTAGTATTGACTACTAAATAATCATCGTGCAGGTCATACATTATATCAAGGTACTGCTACGAAGTTCATTAAATTATCGGGTTAAAAAAAATGTTTAGCAAACTTTTAGAATATTTGGTTCAATCATCGTTCCAAATAAAGATACTTTATTTCTGTTTCGTCCGAAAGCCTGTTATATCCAGAAATAACCAGAATTATCAAGAAAGTTTAGAATGACGTGGTGTAATTTTTTTGGACTACAATTTTACTCTTTATCTCGAAAATTCTCGGATATTTGTTAAACCACCTAAATATTCATTATAAATAGTTAATTAAAACATGGGGTGTTTGCTTTACTATCAAAATATGATATTAATGAATATTCCTGCGTATATCAGTATCTCCCTCTGCATTAGAAACAATATCTGGAACTAGTAAACAATAAATAAAACTAAAAAGTGTATTTAAGTAAAATATAAAACAAAAGATTGGCCATCAAAGTTATAACCTACACAATCTGATCAAAGACATGGTTGAATTATTATAAAGCTCTAATAAAGTGACTACTGGATAAGGTTAGGGACCAAGAATACTAGATAAGGTTAGGGACCAAGAATACGGGATAAGGTTAAGGACCAAGAATACTGAATAAGGTTAGGGACCAAGAATACGGGATAAGGTTAGGGACCAAGAATACGGGATAAGGTTAGGAGAAAAGAATATTGGATAAGGTTAGGGACCAAGAGATAAGGTTAGGGACCAAGAATTCTGGATAAGGTAAGAGGCCAAGTATGCTGGATAAGGTTAGGGACCAAGAATACGGGATAAGGTAAGAGGCAAAGAATACTGGATATGGTTACAGGTCAAGTATACTGGATAAGGTTAGACCAACTATGCTGGATAAGGTTACAGGTCAAATATACTGGATAAGGTTACAGGTCAAATATACTGGATAAGGTTTAAGGTCAAGTATACTGGATAAGGTTACAGGTCAAGTATACTACAGGTCAAGTGTACTAGGTAAGGTTAGAGGCCAAGTATATTGGATAAGGTTAGAGGCCAAGTATACTGGATAAGTTTACAGGTCAAGTATACTGGATAAGGTTACAGGACAAGTATACTGGATAAGGTTACAGGTCAAGTATACTGGATAAGGTTACAGGTCAAGTATACTGGATAACCTTACAGGTCAAGTATACTGAATGAGGTTACAGGTCAAGTATACTGGATAAGTTTACAGGAAAAGGTTATAGATCAAGAACACGGTATAAAGTTAAGGGCCAAGAAAACTGCATAGAAATTGGGTTTATAGGATTAATGACTTTCAGTAATCAACAAGTTTACTTAGACTGAGGTTACGTAGTTTTAAATCCAAGGTATCAGACCATGGTAACAGATATACAAACGACTTTCTGCTTTTCATTTTTTTAATTGGCAAGTTGAACTAGCAGTAAAATTAAATGCAAAAATCAATATTTCAGTTCTGGGATTTCAGGTGTATATGTAGAAACATATTTACACTTCCAAATACTGAGATCTATTATGTATTGTGCGTATTGGAATTTTATTCACAATAAATAATTTTTAAATAGAAATCTAAAAATATGTTTAGATTTCTAATAAACTACCTGAAACTATAGATTAAATTTCATAAATATTAAAAACATAAAATTAAATAATAAAACGTGAAAACATGACATTGAAATACCCACCAAGTCCCTTTTTATGAAACGAAAATAAAAAACAAATTCCTTCTTAATAAATTCTTCACTTTTGAAAATACAGCGATTTTTCTTACTATGACAAATAGTTCATAAGTTTTCTTTCATTCATTTAGATTTCTATCATTTTTAACAATGGTTCAAAATTTTTGCACGAATAAGGAATATTAGGGAATTTTTTACGATTTATTTCAAGAATGTTTCCGCAGGCAAACATTTCTTAAAAATTTGTTTTTGGTTTAGGTCTTTTTCCCGGGGGGGGGGGGGCATCCCTCTAAGCCGCTCTGAACTCTGTGATCCAGAATGTGCATTCTCTCAAGTAAAAATCTATTATCATTTTGTCAATTATTTCTCTTAAACTGAAGGTAGAAACAAGCAAGTTCTAAAATTTACAAGCAAAGGGTTACAAAAATGTTTTAGTACGTTAAAATTATAAATCAAAAGTCCAAGGCATTGCGACACTTCAAACTATACCTAATCTTAAAAATTGACGCGCAATTTTACGAGCTTTCCGGATCTCTGTGAAGTGTATATACATTATAGAATATAAATATCCTGCTACTGTATATCAGAGCATGCAAATATTGACAATATGTATATAAATATATTTATAGACATATATAATGGATTATTCATTAACAGTAAGTGGTGGCTCAACAGAAAAGATAAGCTGAGATCGAACCGTTTGTTTGGAAATTGTTATTTTTGAACGCTTGATCTAGATATCCAATGTAAAAAATTTTTAATTTGAAAAATCAATGCTTTATCCCTTAATTAGGGTATGACACTGACTATCAAAGAGTAATAAAATTACTTCCAAAGTCTGCACACTGAAAACCAAGAATGTGCACGCGCTCAAACAAAAATCGAGCAGAATTTTGCCAATTACTCTTTTTAAACTTAAGGTAGAAACAAGTGCTTTGCATATGTATATGTTTAAAGCTACAAAAAAGTAAAAGTGAGTTGGTTAATTAAAAACCAAAAAAAGACCAAGTCGTTGCGACACTTAATAACCGAGGCTGTCTAAAAAATGTATGAGTAAGTTTTACAGTTAGATTTGAGTTTGCAATAAGATGGAGATGAATGCATGATCCTGAGATTGACAGCACAAAAGGTCTGAGAACTGGGTAGATTACATTTATTTGTATTGTTTAACAAAACTAAAACTATAATACATTTTATCTCAGCTCCCGAGTGCGTAATCCCATCTTTTTTAAAATTCTTTCTTTCAAATGTCCTAGCTGCAGTACAGTCATGATATTATCAAACATTCAAAGTGGCGCAAACGTGTCTTTCTAACCCTTTGATTAATAGTAGGATTCTTGGATATTGGTTACTTGGGTATTAAACTTAATTTATACTTTTTGTTGAAATACAATTCTAAAATCAATTCCTAAAATTAACTGACAAACATAAACAATTTTTATTTTCAAGATCGAACTATTCCTAAGTTTAGTTTTGAACATGTATATGTGTTTATTTCATCCAATAACAAACAAACAAACAAAATTCAATGAAAAGAAAAATTAGTAAACATTATAAGTTTTACGAATGTAAGATACTTTTTTTTAGATAAATGAATTAATTAACATGACAACAGTCTACAAATTAGAGTTAAATGGTGTAACCAGCACAATTTTGTTCTCTTCTAGGGTCTGAAGTTTTTATTTTACCTTCTATGGGTTTGTTTGATCTAGGTGTGAATTACGGTTGTTCTTTAATTCCTATGTAATACCAAAGATCTCACACGAAATGGGCTAATTTTTCCAACAATAATTGATAAACGTATAATTTTCTGTGATTTTATTCTTAAACTAGCTTTGTTACCCAATTTTGTCTGGAAAATAATTTTTCATGTTAAAGTCAACCCGCTCAAATTAGAGCAACCAGAACACATTCCCTTGGTTCTACCTAGTTCTCTAATTTTTCGTGTTAAAGTCAACCCGCTCAAATTAGAACAACCAGAACACATTCACTTGGTTCTACCTAGTTCTCTAACTTTTCGTGTTAAAGTCAACCCGCTCAAATTAGAACAACCAGAACACATTCACTTGGTTCTACCTAGTTCTCTAATTTTTCGTGTTAAAGTCAACCCGCTCAAATTAGAACAACCAGAACACATTCCCTTGGTTCTACCTAGTTCTCTAATTGTTGAGGCCAGTTGGACCAGTGGTAGATGAGTTATAATGGGACATCCTATTAAACAAACGGTGATTACGACTTTATATGTATAAACAATAATACTTCTGTGCCCCCCCCCCTCTATACACCTACCAAGTTACAAGTTATAAATGACACCTGAGGTGTTTATCAAGGATTAACAAGTGTCCCCAGTTCTCTTTACTCCGTCCTTCATGAAGGTTCAGAAACTTTATCTTCTCCTTCAATTAGGAAACTGCTTTTTAAAACTTATAATATTCATACAATCGTATCTCAAGGAAGATATACAGGGTTACCCACAAAGGTTGAGACTGCAAAGACGACCTGAAAATCTTTAAATATGACGATCTCAAGGTTAAATTGAGTCGTATGCCTTGAATATAGCCTTTTATTGGCTTATTAAATGATTTGGCAAAGAATGACAAAGTTTGAAATTATGATTAAAGGAATTAGACAATACAAATTTTGTACGGTCGGCTCTAAAGTAGCATCTTTTGTAGGTAACCATGTACCAGCAAATCAAACACATTTGTACATTTGTACATGTTAGTTTAAATTGCACCCTGCGACCGACGTGTTTCCCAACGCTCTAGCACCCTCGTACGTGAAGGATCCGGTTGGCAAGCACATTTTTGGAACACAATTTATTTGTAAACAAAGATATGGAGGTTATTCTTGCTTACACTAAATCAACTTTTACCAAAGTTAAAAAAAGTGCAAAAACTTTATTCCCATTTCCCTCATGTCAAAGGGAAAAGTAGTTAAACCAACAGTTTGCGACATAATAGGTATATTTAAAATGTTTACTATTGCAATTAAAGGGAAGATTCCAGATTTACAACGTTAATTTTATCAAAAATGTGGAAGATAGCGTCGCTTTTCTGACTCGAAAAGTCTTTACTTCTTTATTGCTCTTTCGCAGAGAAACTGCAAATGAAAATAAACAGTTTTAAGAAATAAAAACATTGATTTCCAATTCATACATTATCAGACATATTTTTTATGGGTACCATTGTAAATCTGGCATGGCCATCTTTGTATGGAGGGTCACTTAAAAAATTACATTTACAGTCCCTTTAAGATGGGAACGAAGTTTAGTATTTTCATAATAAAAAAAGTTTTAATAAGCAAGCACTGTCTAGTCCTGCTATCAAGTATACCTGGATACAGAACTGTTAACTCACAACACCATGGACAGGTTGGATTTTAATTGTACTGCACCATGGACAGGTTGGATTTTAATTGTACTGCACCATGAACAGGTTGTATTGTAATCGTACTGCACCATGGACAGGTTGTATTGTAATTGTTCTGCACCATGGACAGTTTGTATAGTTATTGTAATTGTACTCGCCATGGACAGGTTGTATTGTAGTTGTACTGCACCATGGACAGGTTGTATTGTAATTGTTCTGTCCCATGGAGAGGTTGCATTGTAATTGTACTACACCATGGACAGGTTGTATTGTAATTGTTCTGTCGTATGGAGAGGTTGTATTGTAATTTTACTGCACCATGAACATGTTGTATTGTAATTTTTCAGTTCTATGTACAGGTTGTATTGTAATTGTTCTGCACCATGGACAGGTTGTATTGTAATTGATCTGTTCTATGTAGAGGTTGTATTGTAATTGTACTGCACCATGAACATGTGGCATTGTAATTTTTCTGTTCTATGTAGAGGTTGTATTATAATTGTACTGCACCATGGACAGGTTGTATCGTAATTGTACTGCACCATGACGAGGTTGTATTTTAATTGTTCTGCCCCATGGACAGGTTGAATTGTTATTGTAATTGTACTCGCCATGGACAGGTTGTATTGTTATTGTAATTGTACTCGCCATGGACAGGTTGTATTGTAATTGTACTTCATTATGGAATGGTTGTATTGTAATTGTACTTCATTATGGACAGATTGTATTGTAATTGTACTTCAATATGGACAGATTGCATTTTAATTGTACTTCATTATGGACAGGTTGTATTGTAATTGTAATTCATTATGGACAGGTTGTATTGTAATTGTGCTAAATTATGGACAGATTGTATTGTAATTGTACTTCATTATGGACAGGTTGTATTGGTATTGTGATTGTGCTCATAATTAACAGGTTTTATTGTTTTTGGAATCGTTCTGCACCACAAAGAAATAAAAAACACAGAGTACAAGCTTTATTATTTTAAAATTAACTTGGATAAACTCAATTTGAACCACCCCAAGCAAGTATTCTGCAATAGAAACTAGAATCATTTTATAGAATGGCTTAGGACATTTGGTGAACTGTACCGTTAAGCCTTGTGTAGTCGGTATGTGTACTGTACAGCTTTATCTAGCATGCTTGAAAATATGCCCTGTACTTGAAATGAATTGGGAGTTCACAGCATGGTTTTTGCATTCATCTGAGCTTAAACTTCTATAAATATATATAAACAAATATAAAAAGTAAATAATAAGTAATAAGGTTGATATATGAATTATTTAACTATATTACTGTACGTACCACTAATTATATATAATTATACTAAAGAAAATAAATTATTTTTCAACTACACGTTGTATACCTCATATTGTAGTTGTTATGTACAGGATGCAGCAAATAAATGGATGAATTATTGAACTATATTACTAAACCTGTATATGTAAAGGATGCAACAAATGAATGAACTATATTACTAAATCTGTATATGTAAAGGATGCAACAAATGAATGGATGAACTATTGAACTATATTACTAAACCTGTATATGTAAAGGATGCAGCAAATGAATGGATGAATTATTTAACTATATTACTAAACCTGTATATGTAAAGGATGCAACAAATGAATGGATGAATTATTGAACTATATTACTAAACCTGTATATGTAAAGGATGCAACAAATGAAGGGATGAATTATTGAACTATATTACTAAACCTGTATATGTAAAGGATGCAACAAATGAATGGATGAATTATTGAACTATATATTACTAAACCTGTATATGTAAAGGATGCAACAAATGAATGGATGAACTATTGAACTATATTACTAAACCTGTATATGTAAAGGATGCAACAAATGAATGGATGAATTATTGAACTATATTACTAAACCTGTATATGTAAAGGATGCAACAAATGAATGGATGAATAGGTGGATTGTTGAACTAGAGTCTGGAGAAGAAGCCGAGGTGATTTTAACAGAATTAAGTTTGCAGGAAGAGAAATAGTTTAGATAAAAATTCTTTGTGAATATATATTTTCTTTCATTTTAGCAAGGCATCTTAAAAAATTGTCTTTCCTCCAAAATACAATTTTTGATTAAGAATTTTTTTTAGATCTTTGCAGACGAAGTTAACCTCAGGTACTTTTTTATGTAACTTATGTCTCATTCATCCATTGATCTTATTCTAAAATTTCTATATAATAAAAAAGAAAAATTCTAAACATAAAAATAAAAAGATAAAGAAAAAATATCAACATGTCAGGTAATAACTTAAAAAAATCTAGTTATTATATTGACCATATTAATCAAAAACCATTCATACTAAATCTTTTTGATACATGTTTTTTTGTCAATATTCACCTAAAAATTCCCGTGGTTTAAATAGATGTATTGATCAGGATGGTTGGAGAACTACCAGGTTTTCCTCACCATTATCTTCTAGAGAGAACAGTTCTTGACAGAACAGAACAACAAGGGGGACAGGATACATCCTTGACTAATCTACTAGTATCAGACAATAGGTATACTTCTGATTATTAAATCAAGGGGGACAGTATACATCCTTGACTAATCTACTAGTATCAGACAATAGGTATACTTCTGATTATTTAATCAAGGGGGACAGGATACGTCCTTGACTAATCTACTAGTATCAGACAATAGGTATACTTCTGATTATTTAATCAAGGGGGACAGGATACGTCCTTGACTAATCTACTAGTATCAGACAATAGGTATACTTCTGATTTTTTAATCAAGGGGGACAGGATACATCCTTGACTAATCTACTAGTATCAGACAATAGGTATTCTTCTGATTATTTAATCAAGGGGAACAGGATACATCCTTGACTAATCTATTAGTATCAGACATTAGGTATATTTCTGATTATTTAATCAAAGGGGACAGGATACATCCTTGACTAATCTACTAGTATCAGACAATGGGTATACTTCTGATTATTTAATCAAGGGGGACAGGATACATCCTTGACTAATCTACTAGTATCAGACAACAGGTATACTTCTGATTATTTAATCAAGGGGGACAGGATACATCCCTGACTAATTTACTAGTATCAGACAATAGGTATACTTCTGATTATCAAATCAAGGGGGACAGGATACATCCTTGACTAATCTACTAGTATGAGACAACAGGTATACTTCTGATTATTTAATCAAGGGGAACAGGATACATCCTCGACTAATCTACTAGTATGAGACAATAGGTATACTTCTGATTATTTAATCAAGGGGGACAGGATACATCCTTGACTAATCTACTAGTATCAGACAATATGTATACTTCTGATTATTAAATCAAAAAGAACAGCATATATCCTTGCCTAATCTACTAGTATCAGACAATAGGTATACTTCTGATTATTAAATTAAGGAGAACAGCATACATCCTTGACTAATTTACTAGTATCAGACAATAGGTATACTTCTGATTATTTAATCAAGGGGGACAGGATACAACCTTGACTAATCTACTAGTATCAGACAACAGGTATACTTCTGATTATTAAATCAAGGGGGACAGTTTACATCCATGACTAATCTACTAGTATCAGACAATAGGTATACTTCTGATTATTAAATCAAGGGGAACAGGATAACTCCTTGACTAATCTTTAGTATGAGACAATATGTATACTTCTGATTATTAAATCAAGGGGAACAGGATAAATCCTTGACTAATCGTTAGTATGAGACAATATGTATACTTCTGATTATTAAATCAAGGGGAACAGGATAACTCCTTGACTAATCTTTAGTATGAGACAATATGTATACTTCTGATTATTAAATCAAGGGGAACAGGATAAATCCTTGACTAATCGTTAGTATGAGACAATATGTATACTTCTGATTATTAAATCAAGGGAACAGGATACATCCTTGACATAATCTACTAGTATCAGACAACAGGTATACTTCTGATTATTAAATCAAGGGGGACAGGATACATCCTTGACTAATCAACTAGTATGAGACAACAGGCAAACTTCTGATTATTAAAACATTGTAGATTGGAAAGTCATTGTAAAGTATGTAATTAACAAAAAAAATAATCATTTGATGTTATGCATTAACTGTTACAAATCCTTTTCAAGAGTGAAATGGGCTGAGCAACAGTTCGAGAAAGTTCGAGTAAAACGAGGAGTTTATCTACCCTACTATATTTTCTCAGAAACATCAGGTAAAAGCTGTTAAAAAATATTAGTTAAAGGTACAATTCAAAACAACTAGGCTTGCAACGTGCTAAAAACCTCTTTTGAATATCTTAGTGTTTGGTTGCGGATCTGTCTGAAAGCCTACCTTAATTTAGTTTAATAAAAATATGAGGGTTTTACAATTCCAATTTTTTTTACCAAAAATTCAGACAAGCCAAAAATGTTTACTGTTCCTTTGTCAGATGTAAATTTAAAACGAACTTGTAGATTTAAAAGATGAGAGGCCGGTCGGGTGGGGGACATCAACGCAGTACCCCACTCCCCAAAAATCAACATTTGAAACTGAACTTCAACAAAAAAATTGTTATTTTCCAATTATGATTTGATATAACTGAAGTATAAAGTAATGAATTTTTACATACAGTAAAATCATTGAATTAACATATTCTCTTTGCACCACCGAGCGGTATGATATGAATTGTATGTATCGTAGGATTACGAAGTATAGAGAAAAGTATTCCTGCAGAACTATTAGAACTCTGGAGAGAAGAGGAGAATTATAATAAACCGGAATTACCAAAACAGGTTTAAAACGGGTTTAGGAAAAATATTACCAACAAAGGATGAGATTATAAAGAAGACCTGAAAAAATCTACAAGTATGACGATTCCAAGGGTAAATGAAGTCTTCTGTCCTGATGATAGTTATTATTTGGCCTTTGTAATGATTTTGCAAGAAGAGAAACAAGTTTACGGTTGCAAAGAAGCATAAATATAAGGAAATAGACCATATAAATTCCACACAGTCGTCTCTGAAATCTCATCCTTTCTGGGTAACCCTGTATACATATAAAAAAGAATAGTATTTGTATTGTATTGTATTTGGGAACCCGACGTTGCCCAGGATTTTATAATTATATAAAATCATCTTCCGGCCGACGTTTTAATTATAGTTTTAGCCGAAGTGCCCGTCATTTCCCGTGAAATTTAAAATAAAATAAAGCTTATGTTACCCCGGGTTTCCTCGAAAAATTTCAGCCAATTTGGTCCACCCATTTAGCCAGCTATGCTTAAATATGTAACTATATATGAGCGAAGAGCTTTAATATAATATATAAATATAGAATTTAGACGTATGAAATATGTTTATTTAGAAAAAGGAGTTGTTTAATGATGAACTTTGGGATCATCAATGGTATCTACACGACACAAGGAAACTGAATATTTAAAAGTAAAAAAGTTTGATTTGTTGATTTAACTATTTATTTACATAACTCAATTTACATAAATCAATATATATATATAAGCCGGACTAATAAATACCAAGAAGAAATTACCCAAATAAGTGAACGGTCCCTTTTAAGGAATTAAGTTGTTGCCAAAAACACTGCTTTTCAAATCACTATATCGTTGCAACCTAATGTCGTAGTTTGATATTTCAAACTATGAAGTCGATCAAATCAAAGGTTTACACCATTAGATTCCAGAGATATAGGAGTTAGAAATAGAATATGTGAATTTGTGGCAAAGTCTCAATTCTTTTAGTTTGAATAGTTTGAAATATTCTATCAGATCCCAAGCTGGATTACCAGATATATCCCTTCATGTAGTTGGAGCCTGGAGCCGAGGTATAGATGGGACCGGAGTTAATGTAATAGTTCTTGACGATGGATTAGACTACACTCATCCTGATCTAGCTGGAAACTATAATCCACAACTCAGCTATGATTTCAATGATAATGATCCTGATCCTAAACCTAAGGTTATTATATATATGTAGTAAACACCTACTCCATAATAAGTTCTCGAAACGTATCTATCAAGGTACAAACCATCCGCTATCAAAGTAAACCAGGACACAATCCACATGGTTACAATCCCGCTAACTATCAACGCCACTGCCGCTGGGCGCGATCTCTGTAGCTATTGAACCAAGCTATTAATCCAGGCTCTAAATGCCAAACAGGGACACAAGCGTAGCTAGCCAACAAGCTATTAATCCAGTGCTGGCACATTTAGCTATATGAACAATCTACGACATGATTTACTATGGGCCTCTTTGTTTGCTACATATATACATGCAAAGTATATTTTAAGGTAGGGGGGATAGGATATGCGTACATTACGCTCACATATTTGAACTGCTCAGAAACTAGTTTGTGAGCAATAACAATAACAAAGATTGTAGGTTTAATGAAAACAAAAATCCCCACTACCCTTTAAAATATCCTAGTTGCGTCTAGCTGGGTGTGTAGTTATCTTCAATCGTTCATTTACATCTAAAGTCAGCTGTTTGTTTGTTTACCTTATTATTTACAACTAATTGTTCTTATTCTTATAAAATTGTTGGTATGAAATGAAAAAATCATGAAAAACGTTCAACAAATTTTGAAAAGAAACAAGAGAGGATAATGTAATAAAACTAGCATGACTCAGACAATGGTTTCAATAGAAAAGTTTTAAAATATTTATCTTAGAATGATGATTGTAAATACTTTTTTCTTTTAAATTAAATTTCTTAGATTTTGACATCTCAAAATATCTGTAACCATAATAAAATACAATACAGTTATAATTGCTATTGGAGTATTTTAACGTATTAGTTTTGAAAAAATTGACTTTATTTTGCCTAGAGTGAGACGGCTAGTCATGGAACACGTTGTGCAGGGGAGATTGCCATGCTACCCAATAATCATCTGTGTGGGGTGGGAGTAGCCTTCAACTCTACTATTGGTAAATACTGAACATAACCCTTTAACAAAAATATAAGAGTTTTAAAAAAGAAACTACAACCTTTAACAAAAAAAAAGTTTTTAAAAAGAAACTCACCTCTACCTCTTTCCAATTCCCATATATTTTGATCTAGCAAAATTCAAGCTAAATCTAGTCAAAAAAATATAATGACTAGAGAACGAGTTTGAGGATGATTGTATCTTTAATAGATGGCGGCACAATTCTTGAAAATTGTTTTCAAAGAAAATACAAAAAAGAAACTATTTATGAGAATAAAAATCATGATGGAAAATACATTAATTTAAACTTTAGTCTAAAAAAAGAATCCTCGTTGCGGCTAGGATTTGGAAAAATTATTAAACTGTTCTCTTTTTATGTTATACTTTGGACTTTAAAGAATTTTTTAAATCTGAAGAGATTTTAAAAAGTTAACATTTTCCATAAAAGATCACATGTAACCAGGGTTCTATTTGTTTAAAAGCTAAGTTGTTAACAAAAACTGAAAAGACTTTAGTTTAGTGTAAATAATTGCAACTATGCTATGTACAAGTAAACATTTATGAACAGATAAACATATACACACATTACAGGTATCAATATATAGTGTATGCATGTACAGATAAACATTTACATACAAACAGGTGCATATGTAGTATATACATGTAAATACATACAGGTACAGATTTGCATGGTACAGATTCCAACTTTTTCTAACCGTTTCATTAACAGTTAGTTCCAACCGTTAAAAAAGAAAAATTTCAGGTAGCCGTTAATTTTAAAGGTAAGAACGGAATTCGTTAACGGCATTTACCGTTTTTTTAAATTACCGTTAGTTAACGATCTCAATTTTATCAACTACGTTAGGCGGGATTAGACTTCTGGATGGAAAAATATCTGATGAATTAGAGGGAAAAGCTTTGTCCTGGGCTCTAGACAAGGTAAAGTAAATTGACATTTCTAAGAATCAGAATCCTGTATTATCATAATAAATAATAAATTCGTCATTTTTTGCGATCTTTTTAAAGACCAAATCAAAAAAATTGATAAGTATATATTTTCGGCATGTCCGATTCACAACAATAAACATAAAAGCTTTGTCTGATCAAGGATGCGTGAGATGTTTATCATCTTTTTTTAAAAGTTTATTATTTTCAATTGTGATTTCTCTAAAAAGTTATATAAAGGGAATCGGGGGCATTCTTCTCTTGCAATGTATAAGATCACTGCAAATTACAAAGCCAGTTCCTTTAAGGTTGATATATTCTCCTCCTCCTGGGGTCCTAACGACGACGGAGCAACTGTTGAAGGTCCAGGCCGACTTGCAACCAAGGCTCTAGAGAGGGGTATAAGAGAGGGTAGAGGAGGGAAGGGTGTTATATATGTTTGGGCGAGTGGTAATGGTGGAAGTCATGGAGATGATTGTAACTGTGATGGATATACAGCTAGTATTTATACATTGTCAGTTAGGTAAGTTGTATTTTATATCACATTTAATCATAATCTATGTTTAGGAATATGATACAGTAAGAACCAAAAAACTGAATTGTATTTGATTTTGGTTACACTGTCGTTTTTCTTATAGCTTATAAATCACTCAGTAAGTGAAATGGGTCTGTGTACACTGCACAAATCATGTCTCATATTCATTAGACTATTCTAAGTCCTAACTTGTGTCTAAAAGTCGTCTTCATAATCCAGTTTTCTGATTCACACTGCAGGATGATACATTAACCGACAGATTCTGACATTTTTGATCTTTCAGATTATATTTGATGCCGCAATATTTAAACAATTGTATTTTTGAAGGTTTAAGGCCAAAAGGTCGTCACTAAAGCCTTATCCTTTGTCGGTTACAAATTCATTTACAATCAATCTGGAAAACCAATTCTCAGAAATAATTACAATTCAGAGTTAGTAAAATTAGCCAAGACATTGTAAGTTAGAATCATGCCTAAATTACATAAGTAGTGCAGTATGTTAATAATTGATTACCTATTACTAGCTCAGCTAGTCAGCAAGGGTCAGCTACATGGTATGGAGAATCTTGTTCTTCTACTCTTACATCAGCTTTCAGCAGTGGAGCATATACTGATCAGAAGATTGCAACTACAGATTTAGGCAGGAACTTTCTTTTTATAATAGGAAAAAAATCACTACAGATTAGCTTAATATAGTTTACGAAATATTTTGATTTTGGCGATTACTTTGAGGTCGGAACTGAGTAAGAAAATTCAATGTCTTTAGAAATAAGAATTGCCGAAAAACTAAAATGGTGTGGCATTGCAAAGAGATTATTTTTGGCTAATTGCTGCCGGAAAATAGAAATGTTAAAAATTATAGTAATAGGAATTTGTTTCCCGGTCAATTTGAATAATATAAAAAAATGTTCTATTAGTGAATTGACTAATAAATAATTAGGAGGTGGATGCACTGTTAGCCATACAGGAACCTCTGCTGCAGCTCCCCTGGCAGCTGGTATATTTGCTCTGGTTCTCCAGGTTTAGAGATGGGCATTGTTTTTGTGAACGAACATAAGGATCGTTCAGAGTAAAGACTATCGTTAGTAATCGTTTTTATGTGTCAGTCAATACTCGATCTTTAAAGAACAATTTCAAAATCGGTTGTTCGAAGAAACGAACGAACGATTTGATTGAACAATCCTTCAGTTAGAAAATGAACGAAATTGATGGAAAATGAACGAATGAATAAAAAAATGAACGTGCCTATTTCTATCCAGGTAGCTCCAACCCTGACATGGAGAGATGTTCAGTACCTGGCAGTCTATACCTCGGATCCAACTACATTAATGGAGAACACAGGATGGAGAAAAAATGGAGTTGGGCTTCTGTTTAATCCAAGGTGCTAATTAAACTGAAGGTTACGAGTCCCGGATATCTTGTGAATTTGAGAACCGTACCCCGGCCTAAAAATTAAGTGATGGGTCGACTTTTAGAGGGAAAACTTCAAACAAAAGCTGGGTTCAGCACCTAGTAAGTTATGCATAAAGTAATAATCTCTTTTACTATGTCCAATCATAACTCGGGAGCCCCTTGGACGATTTGTTTAAAATTTGGTTGGGGAACTCGATGAAATCTAGGACACGTTCTTAAGTTTTGTTTAAAACAAGTTGAGTAGGTATTACAAGGAAAACTTTGTGTCCAGGCAAAGCAGGGTTTCCAAGCCTATATTTAATATACATATGTAAATGCGAAGGAATGTTACTGAGATTAAAATATCTTAGAGATCTTCAATTTGTTTCAATTAAATCGAATTTCCAAATTAGACCAATTAAAGTAAAGTTTAATTTTGGTTTGTTTAGTTTTGGGTTTGGAGTTCTAAACGCTGACGAGATCGTATCCGCCGCAGAAGATTGGGAAAATGTTCCTCCTGGAGACTCCTGTGAGATCCATCCAGGAGCAGAGAATACTAATTTACAGGGTGGACCAGGAGATGTGATCATACTACGGTTCAATGCATCAAACTGTAGTATTAACTATGCGGAACATGTCCAGGTTCAGAAATAAATGACCGATGAGTTTGGAATTTTCAAAAAGTAGTTTTCACATCTTGTGTAATTTGCGTCTAATATTTATATTTCTCTCATTACAAAATCATTATCCTGTTTTTAAATATTTTTTTGATTTTACTTATTATATATTTCTTCAGGCGTTTGTTTCCATAACACATCCGAACAGAGGAAATTTAGACATAGTTCTGCGTTCACCTATGAGGACAGCAACAAGGTTAGATAGCATCATCTTACAAATAAAGGAATTGAGTTTTTGTCATAAAGTCAAATTTTCTAACTGCTACATATATCTTTGCAACGTGATGATTAAACCTTTGATATGGGTTGCAAAGATAAAGGGATTAGAAATTCCGAGTTACAAAAATACCGGAAAAAATTCAGAGCTGGAAACTTTTGAATGGTGGATATCGGGATTAATGCTTATTCCTTTTCTTATCCTCCAGAGCTGAGAACTTTAGAATGGTGGATATTAGGATTATTGCTTAATCCACTCTTTTTCTTAATCTCCAGATTAAATATTGCTTGTTTTCCTCATGAATTTAATCTCCAGATTAATTAACAGATCGGGATTAAGGATATCACATTCTAAAGTTTTCAGCTCAGATTAAATAATGCTTGTTTTCCTCTTGTTTTTAATCTCCAGATTAATCAACTGATCGGGATTAAGGATATCCAATTCTAAAGTTCCCAGATTAATCAAGATGGTGTCTTTAAAAATATCCACAATTTATTTCTGGATTTAAAACTACAAAAACAAACATTGTGGTTTCAGTGCGGTCCAAATATAAAATTCAAAGTCCAAGCAAATAAATGCACTAGCATCTTTCTCAGCCCCCCTCCCCCCCCCCATCTAATAAAACCCAACTTATTTTGAGGTATTCTAAACCATCTCGATCTAAACCTATATCTTATCACAAAGACTCTAAAATGTTTGCATTGCCGAATGTGTGGGTTGCCCAATTCACAACGGTTCCACTTTAATCTTTTTCTAAACCACGTAAAAATTATCAAGTTTAAGATGAAAACAATGGATTTTTTTAGACTAAGGTAAAGAGTGCCGTTGTAAATCAGACATGCTCATTTTAACTTGAGGGTTACTTAAAGTTTCCTTAATCTTGATTTTATTTCAGATTGTTGGCTCCCCGGCCTAAGGATAAGTCTGACCGTGGATTCCATGACTGGGGTCTAATGTCAGTTGAAACCTGGGGGGAGGCCCCACAAGGTAAATATACCCCCCCCCCTCCCCCACCATATCTTTTTAACAAAATAATTCTGTTTTTGGAAGGAATATAATCAAAGAGTAGTAAGTTTTTCCTACTGCAGTAGACTTCACAAGTAAATAAATATTTGGGGGATTCCTTGTTTACCTTCCTTGAATTTACATTGTGTTGACCGCTATTTGCTTGACCGGGCCTAGTGGTGCAGTGAGGGGGGGGGGTGGTATTTTTTAATAAATTCTTTTAGATGGCCGACTATGGAAAATTAGTAATTCTGCCAGTTTAAAAAAAAATTTGAATAAAAAAGTTAGATTTTTAGACTTTTGTTTTACCATTTTCCAACGATTATTAAATCAATATCATTGCTTAAGGACTTAAAATTATAATACAAATATTTCTAGGAGAATGGATGCTTTATATATCAGATCGAAGCTCAGGGTCTGATTTGAACTGGAAGGTCGAGAGTAGTAAACTTGTTATACACGGGATAAAAACCCTTCAGAACAAAAACATTCGTATACTGAGAAACATTACTAAAATGCTTGTGTGAAAAAAATAAAAATTTATACAATATTCTGAAAAAATGAGGATTTTTAAAATAAAAATATACTTTTAACTAATTACTTTAATTCAGAAAACATAGAGAAAAATATATACCAGGGTTTAGTGATATAATTGGGAGTTCAGAGTAAATAATCTTTATTTTCGATATTGAGACAATTCAGATTTGATTCTTTAATTGAAAATGTGGTCACTCTTCTCATTAAATCTTTTAATTCAAAAACTATGACTTATTACGTGATGCTCATTAATTTAGATGCAATACTCCTAAAATATAAATAAAAATGTCGTCCCTGATTTTCTTTGGAAGGCTTATATAATTATTTTAACTAAACGAGTATGTTCAGTTCAACCCATTATTAAAATTAATTATTTATTTAGTTAGAAAGCAGTTTTAACTAGTATTTTATCTGATATAATTCTGTTAAAATAAATTTAAAAGGTTTAATTCTTTGAAATATAAAATCATTTTTAAAACACTCACAATAATATTTTCAACAAAGAAAGCGGTAAAAAAATAAAGACAGAAAAAAACTGTGATATTAAAATCATTAGTCACCGGTTCATCAGGCGACTGAGTCGATTAAACAGAAAAATTTGTCAGAAATCAAAACAAAAGCAATCGGCCTTCAATAATTTTTTATGTTTGTTTAACCTAAATGTCTTAAATATATATTTGTACGCAAAAGGAAAAATAGTCAACAAGTGGAATGAAATATATAAACTTTTTATTACAGAATTGAAACCTTTTTTCATGAATAATGCGTTTCGAAATTATTGCTAATTGTGGGGGGGGGGGGTATACATAGGAAATTGGTGTTAAAAGAAGAGGAATAATGAAATAGACAATTATTTAGTTGGAAACACAATTAATTTTTATAACAAAAAGAAAAATATTTTCGCAGCCGGCAGGATTCGAACCTGCGCGGGGAAACCCCATTGGATTTCAAGTCCAACGCCTTAACCACTCGGCCACGACTGCATGTAATTACGTGATCAAATATATACATAGCGTTAAAACCTAAATTTAAACGCTGAAAAAAATAACAGTTGAAAAGCTATTGGCTATTTTAATAACTAACGATTCTATTTAAACAAAAAATGTATTAAATTTTATAATGAAACAAAAATGCCTCCAGAGAGGATTGAACTCTCGACCCCTGGTTTACAAGACCAGTGCTCTGCCACTGAGCTATAGAGGCTTACATACATTGGAGTAAAATCTTCCCAGGAAGATAATATTTGAAGCACATCTGTTACACAAATGATTTAAAATTCAGTGATGGTGATGGACCAAACCTCTGTAGAGTAAAAAAGTAGATGTTAGTTCCACATTTATTGAAAATATATTTCGGTCTGGGTTGACCCTCGTCAGTTCTAACGATATAATAACCATCAAAATCGATAAAAAAAATAAAAAATGTAAAAATCACAAGAAGATAAACAAACAATAAGATTATTCAAAATAAAAATTTGGGCTGTCAAATGGACTTACGGGAAAAGAACTCAGATTATGAGATGGGAAAAAATTTGCAAAATTCACTTTTTAAAAAATGCGTTAAGACAATTATTATTCCTTGAGATTGTTTCTTCACAAAGGTTAAAAACAAACTGTGTAGATGTGTGCATATAGAGTTGGGGTGGGGGTCGATCTAATTAACGTGAGTCGGGAGAGGGGGAGGGGGGGACGGCTTGTTTAAGGAGGGGTATTTAAAACCTTTTAAAGAATTGGACATAAAAAACTCTTTTTTTAAAACATACTGAATTGCAGTTAATAATTAAATAAAACTATTTTTTTCTGTTCATTCCTCTGAGTTCAGTCATAAAATCTCTGATGTATTTAGATTCTCGTACTTCAAGTAAACTTCTTCTCTAGAACGCTAACTTTTAGATGGCAGAGTTCATGTCCAGGAAGGTTAAAATGTTCTCCTGTAGGCTGGTTTGTATGGAGATTTCTAATGTAACCCATATGTTCTCTCACTCTTTCATCTAAAGATCTTGTTGTCTGTCCTATATATTGTAGTTTACAGTGTTCACATGTAATACAGTAAACTACATTTCTGGTCTTACAGTTGAAAGTTCCATTAATCTCAATCTTCTTGCTGGTATTAGAGGATTGTATAACTGTTCCAGTCTCTATGTAGGGACAAGTTGGGCAATTTAAACCACAAGGTTTCATACCAGGTATAATTGCCATGAACATAAAATATACGTTTTTAAATAAAATAGACACATTAAAAAAGTAGCTACATCTGGATATTTTATTTTTAGTTTAAAATCTAGATTCAAATTTAAACCCGCCGGTGATAAAAAGTTGGAGATGCCGGGGATCGAACCCGGGGCCTCATACATGCAAAGCATGCGCTCTACCACTGAGCTACATCCCCGCTTATGTATATGTACAAATATTTTAACAATGACAAAAAGGAAACAAGCTTTTTTTTGGAAATATGTCCTCCATTTTTATCTTTATCTTCATCTAGAAAAGTGACGAAACGCATTATTAGTAAAAAAATTTTTTAACAGGATTTATTCTAAGAGATGAGATGTGAATTATAAAAATAAGATCTGTCAGGTGTGGGGTTCGAACCCACGCAATCTTACGATTATGAGAGCTTAAATCTCACGCCTTAGACCACTCGGCCAACCTGACTGTGTTTCCAATGATAAAAATAATGATTAAAATTAAAAAAGCTCCGTTGTCACTGTGTCGTATAAAAAATTAATTTACCAAACTATGACTTATTACGAGGAAACCTATTTTTAGCTAAGAAAGATAATTATTCATTAATTTTTTTGGACTTAGAATTTCTTTTTGTTACAGAAAATTTTATCATTTTCAGTGAGTTTTAACTTACATTTACAATAATATAGTAAAGTGCGTTATTTGGTTATATTAAAAAATTGCTGAATTCGGTTATATCTATCTTGCAACCCCAAAAATTATTGTATTTTTCCTGAAAATCTGAAAAGTTAAGCTTAACTTTAACCAAATCACGAACTTTACTCTAAACCAATACATTTAAAGAAAAACTTGTATGTGAGGGGGGTGTCGTTAGTATGAAAGTTTAGTAGTCGAATACACTCCGAATAAGCAGGCAGTTTGGCCGAGTGGTCTAAGGCGCTGGTTTTAGGCACCAGTCCGAAAGGGCGTGGGTTCGAATCCCACAGCTGTCAAATATTTCTTTTCTTTCGTCCTATCCGGTCATTCCCGCCCTTGTCGATGTCGAGGTTTAGTGAGGAAATTCTTGCGACATATAATTTACTTTCACTTGTAAAGTACTTGTAGCCTGGCCCTATCTCACTGACACAGGCGACACGGGCAGGGAGGTTTAGAGAGTTCTAAATATTTTCCTAGATATTCTCTCTACATTATACACAGTCTAGGATGTTAGTATTTGTTGATAATTTTTGTGGCAACATTTTAGACCTGAAATAGAAAAATTATATTTTCTGTATAAAATGTAAAACATGTTAAGGTGAGTACTGAGTTTTTCACCCTCTAAAACTTTGCAACATTTTTTACAATAAACACAGCGTGTGTATACTTCACATAACACAAGCTGAGCAAGAATGAATTTTGTCTGATAAGAGAAACTGTTCTGTAAACCGAAATATTCCTACACTTACACAATACTTGCAAGTAATAGTCCCCAGAAAAAAAGCCTTTAATTCTTAATTAAGTTTGACAAAAAAGAGAAATGTATAATAGAAATAATAAGAAAAAAAATTTTAAAAAATAAAAGGATAGAAAAATAGTGGTGAAAACTAGAACTATAATAGAAAACAAATATAGAGAAAAAAATAAATTAATTAGAAATATTCTAAGTTAAAAAACACTTTAGCAAACGCTTATTTTCGTCTGCACTTTAATTAATAACTAATAGGTATATATGAACTAATAGTGATGAAGCCACTTAAGGACGCACAGTTAGGACATACAGTAAAGACGCAAAGCAAGGACACACATTAAAAAAGCATTTTTGATAACGTTCAGCTGCCAGCTGGGCATATTTTTTGCTTTCCAAGAGGGGGGGGGGGGGCTCAGAGATTGTTTCTTCACAAATGTTAAAAACAAACTGTGTAGATGTGTTCATATAGAGTTGGGGTGGGGGGGTGGATATCGGGATTAATGCTTATTCCTTTTCTNCCATAAATTTCACTTATCCAGGAGGGGGGCTCGAAACCATAGATTTCACTGATCCAGGGGGGCGCTCTTAACCATAGATTTCACTAATCCAGAGGGAGGGAGGCTCTAAACATCCCAGGGGGGTGGAGGGGGGCACCTCCTTTATACGCCTCTATTAACATCAGTCTATCAAGGGAAAACATACACACATACAATACATACGTCACAGGATAGCTAGCTGTACATTACAGGATAGCTAGCAGTACATTACAGGATAGCTAGCTGTACATTACAGGATAGCATAACTAAATTTTCATTAAAATTATTTGATAAAACCGAAATAGATACATAATTATAATTTCTAAATGACTTTTTATATTTTAAAGTAGAAAATATATAAAGAAAAAAATAGAAATGTATATGCACACACATATAGATATAAAATATTTTAATTCTTTTTCGTTTAAATATATTTTTATATGTTTAAATATATATTTACCTAAACTAATGTTTTATGGGTCTAACCCAATCTTCCGTTGTAATATATATATATATATTTAATAGAAACTTATTTTAAAATATCAATTATAAATGAAATAAAAAATAAAATATTAAAATTGAATTTACAAAAACTACAGAATCAAGTAAATATATAATATAGAAATATTCACAAAAAAGAATGGATATGTAAACTTTGTAAAAATGCGTATAAATTAAAGGAATGAGAAAATGAAATTTTATATTAAATAAAAAATAAATGTGAAAAATTTCAAAAAATACAAACATTTGAAAGTAAATGTGTATATATGTTTTAATATTTTTTTTTTATATATTTTATTTAAAATAGTTATTTTCAAATATTTCTAGTTTTACATATATTTATTTCTTTTTTATATACATTTATATTTCCATATTTTTCCTCCTTTTTTACATGTAAGTACACTGTACTTTTTACTTTTTGTATGTATTTTTTAAAACACTAGGCTTACAGGGCGCTTCGCGCCCATTTTCCATTTTAATTGTGACATTTTCACTTTGTACACATTGTAAGACAAAAACAAACAAAAATTTCGCGGATTTTATAAAATTTTTTTGTGGATTTTCAAAATCTTCAAAAATCGAATTTTGTCAGAGGCAAACTTTTCAAAATTCGATCATCCATAAACCAATTTTTTGTGGGACCTCATGTGATCCACATGAGGTCCCACAAAAAATTGGATCCGATCAATTTAGCCGTTTTGACGTTTATTGAATACAATCAAACAAACAGACAGACAAGCAAAGTATATAAATAGATCCAAATTTCTGATTGCTCGCAAATGGCAAAACAAACATTTCCCTTAAACAGATAAAATACAAGTCCAAGAAACTGAAATCAATGCACGAGAGATAAATGAATTATTTCAATTCCTCTCTGAGATTCCATGTTGCAGGGATAACTTTATTTGAGGGATCAAACATCGATTGTCAAAACTAAAAGTGTCCGTATTGGATATCAAGATTATGCGTTCAAGATTATTGATACTCTACAATAAAGTTGCGACCTATGGACCATTTGTTTTTTTTTGGATAAAGTTGTAATTGACAAATCTTAAATCTACATAGATGCTTAGATCGAAAACCGTTAGGTTTGTGATTTAAATATCTTCAAATCTGTAGGCATTTTACTTTTAGTTTTTCAAACTCATCATTCTTGGGGTTTAACTTGTGATTAAAATTAACATTTATTAAGTCTGGATTTAATTGGTTTCCCTAGTTCTGTATGGTTTGATTTCTTGACCTTGCTTTTATTAAAAGTTTTATGAAACGATTTGCAAGTAAGGCTCAATTTTAATGTGAATAACTGAGAGATTAAAAAAAAATATAAAACCAATTAAAAAGAAAATTTCAATCTTTTCTTTTTCTCATTTTTCTTCTTCAGATTTATTAATACACGATTTTACTCAGAAGATCTTGTGTTTCTATATAGTGTTAAAGCATTTTAATGAACATGAACATTGAACATTGGACAAAGGACAATGGAAAAATGAATATTTAAAAGATTTATTTTTTCTAAGAACTTAACTAAGTATCAAATATCTATTATCAATTTAAAGAGTGGACTTTCCAAGAATTAAATATATGGCTAAAACTATAATTTCTCTCTATTTCTTCGTTTTAGTTCCTGAAGATAGTTTTAGAAGATATCTAGGTTTGGAGAAGGTTTGTGTTCAAACCAACGAGGTTATAGTGTATAGAGTGATGTTGTACGCTAATACTTTACTAATTTTATAGGCCATAAACTATACCGAGAGCGTACTGCATATTTGTTTATTATAAGTTGATTCTAGCCTAACCTATAGTACATCAATATTAGTAAACATTGTAAGTGTACATACAGTACAGCTAAATGAGCCCCAGAGCCCGAAATTTAAAAGAGTATCGTTGAACGAAACTCTCGAGTTTCCTTTTTGTGGTCTTAACATTTGTGTAGATTTTGATTTAAGAGATTCGAAAAAAATGGAGAATCTAAATCAAGTGAAAAAAAAATAATATTTTATTACAAAAATATTGATATTCATAAAACTGCCTAACCCCATTTTTTAAACCCGGGTTTTAAAACTGGTTTTCATAACGATACCCTGTCTTAAGTTTTGGGCTCAGGTAGAGAACTATGATCCCCCTGGTTCAAACTCATAGATTTTAACTTTCTGCTTAACCTTTCATGTTGACGATAAGTGTAGATTGTTTTTCTTTCTGAACCCTGAAAGTAGTAGAACGACTCCATTAGTTTCTCATTTTATATAGTTTTGCTACGCTAATTAGTAAAGCAAAAGTTTGCCTCCTGTGAGGATCGAACTCACGACCCCTGGTTTACGAGACCAGTGCTCTACCACTGAGCTAAAGAGGCTTCTCATAGTGCGAGTATTACTCCTTAAAAATGTACTTTGTGAAAATTTAACAAAGTTGCAACATGCTTGATAACATAAACCATAAACAATTAATTCTGAACAAAATTTTAACGAACAGTTTCGAAATAATATTAGAAAACCTCATAAGAAATAACCCCGAACATAAAATTGAGAAAGAAATAATTGTAATTTTCAATATTTTCTAAGTTGGGAAAAGAAATTGACGGAACGTCTGCCACGACAAAATTGAAATAAAGTTTCTATTGCGACACTTTCTTCAATTTATTTTTTAAAAAGATTTATGCAAAAAAAACTAGCAACAATATATATGCGCAAAGACGACTGAAATTTAAAATTTGTCATGAATTATTTTTTTTATCAATGTTAAAACGATTGTTATGTAACTGTCCAAATAATCACCGGCATTTGCTTGGGAGCGGGAGCTAGGGGTAATGTTAATTCCTTGATGTGAAAATGTTAAGAATAAATTGCTAAAATTTGGAATCTTTCTCGGACAACATAATTTTACCATTTCTCACCCTTTTCGCCTCAGCAAATAATATTCTAAAACATCATCAAAGGCGATTTTAAACCAAGTTCTTTTTTCTTCACTTAAATTGTAATATTGAAAGC